GTGACTGGTAGGTGGCTGCTACAAACTCGGTGCACACGTTCGAGACCCGGTATGGGCCCGGTATGGAAACGGCCAGAAGATGGCAACGAAACGGTGAAAAGATTAATTTTATGAATTTTTTTTTTGCGGCCGGGGACAAGTTCGCTCAAAACCCAACGTTCTGGACTCTGTTGTTTTTTAATAGCCCGGCAGGTGGACGGTAGGCCTACACGGCAGAGTGTGAGAGCTCCATAAGGGCCTGTTAGTGGCCAAAGAGACCAGCCGAGACCCGACAAAAGTTGTGGGCATGCCCAAAGCTTTCGTCGTGTGGGCACAAGCGGAGGCACACAGTGAGAACCCGGTATGAGGACTATAAGAGGACGGTATAAGGACGGTGGGCTGGTACGAGGCCGTTCGTGGGGCACGAAAACGGTGACGTGACGATGTGTCATATTTTGTCCAAAGGCGGGCTGTTACTGTATACCAGCCTCGTTACGGGTTTTCTGCGGGCTCTCACCGTTCGCTCATCGATGACCCACCGCCTCATACCGCCCCCCCCCCCCACCGATCATTAACGGTCAACCGCTCTCTTAACGACCTGATAACGTCATCTTACCATTCCACCGACCTCGTAACGTCTCCATACCGGCCTAGCTGTTGCCGTGTTTTACATTGTGCCCGTTCAGAAACCGTGCCAGACACCGTGACTCCATATTTTACTGCATACAAAATGCTTCCTCTGTTGTTTCCTGCGGATCAAGCTTCCTATAGCTTGACCCCTCACCCTGCTATCCCTCCATGTAGAGACGCCGCTCCGGTGTGGGGGGGGGGGGGGGGCTGGTGTGCACTGCCCCCTCCCCAGTTTCGAAGTACCCCAGAAGTGCCCCTTTGTACATAGGAAAATTGCCCCTTTTACTTTGACAAGTGCACCTATTACTTTATTAAAGTGCCCATTTGTAGGTGCCCTTTTTGTTGCCCCCCCCCTCTAATTTGTTAGTCGCTCTGCCGCCCCTGCTTCCATGTGTAGGCATTATGAAGAATTATGAAGATTTATGATGAATTGTTGAGAAGAACAATGAGGACGTACATCCGTGAACTTAAGAAATGAAGTGTGACCGGTAGCTAGGGTGAGTGTCCAGCATTCATATACCGTGTGACGTCTTCAAGGCCAAGCGATTGTTTAGCGAATGGCTCTTTTATGGTTGCGTTACGGGTGGTAAGCAGCAGGTACCCACCCGGTGGGGCTCTGGTGAGACCCGGCGAGGGAAAGGCCAACACGGTGACACTAGCTGGCACGAGCACGCTGTAAGTGGTAAGGGACCATATCCAGACGGAATGGAAACTATAAGGGCACAGTGGAAAAATGAAACACCATGGGACAGCACAATAATACAGACACAGATTACCAGCACATCTGTGTCTTCGGCTGTGGTTACTATGGATCTGTATCCATCCTCCGCAGCATGCCATGCATGAAGAAGCATTCGTGTGTCAGCTTCCTCTTGTGTTGTCTTCAGAGTTATGATTTATTCATAGTGCTTCTCCACTTGCCACATAAAGTGACTTATCATGAAGCTTCTCCCTCTCTGCAGGCTGCTTCCACTGATCGTCCAAAAATTTAATCTAGGCTTATTTTTGTTTTCAGGGTTTCTTCGGAATTTTATCCACTGCAAACTGTTGTGACAAGGTGCAATGTTCTTCCACTATGTTTCAGAGGTGGAACCTCTGATGTATTTCTCAGCATTCTTGATGGACTCATCCCTGTAGACATCGAACACGACATCAGTCCTGGCACTATCAGTGCCTTCGTGCAGAGCTATCGTCAGTGCAGCATCTGCTTGATGTGCAAATGACTTGCCACCCCCTTTGAGTCTATGGACAAGGCTCATTCCATCAATGATACAAGCTGAACGCTTCGGAGTTAGATCTTCTGGTGACACAATTTTCTCCAGCCCTGTTTTATTGGTCCGAGTGGGCGTGCTAAACCTCTCTAATAGATAGCGCTCTGCTGTGAGCAATGATGATCATGCATGCGCCCAAAGAGGTTTCGGTCTGCCTTCACGATTACCTGATTCCCTTTAGCTTTGTAACCAGCCTGCTTTTTATTGATGTTGAGGAAGGTCTTCAGGCCCTCTTTTTTCATCTTGTCATGAAAGTTTACCATGGGTTGCTCTTTTTCCAAACGATCTTCTCGGTATGCTTCTTTTCCAACTTTGTGAACTTTCAGCAGGTCTTTGGCAATATCTGGTGGGGCCAGGATACAGTAGACAAGTTGACCAACTCTGTTTCATCATGGCTCAGCTGTTCTTGATCAGTTCCACAAATGAACAAACATCGGTCTCATCTTTTCTTATCCGGCTTAGTTGCAGGTCCGGATGATTGAAGTGCTGTAAACTGTTTTTGCTGACCATGTCTCTCAACTCCCTCAAAATAATATGAGCTTCTGACCTTCTGTACTCAGATGTCAGGTAGTACCTACTGTCAGCTCCTGGTTTTAGGCTGAACCTTTTGTCCCCCCAACCCAGTGGTCTGTGTGTCCTTGTTGATGGTTTCTTCAATTTTCTGGTCGACTGGGATTCTGCCAAAGAGGTCCTACCAAGTTGTACAGAAAATATCTGGCCCTGCATGAATTGTTCATGCACATCTGGGTGATCAATTGGCCAGCCGGGACATTTGTACATAATAACTATAGTAGAGAAGAAAGCGTGCTTAGTTCAGTTTGTCGTCGGCGAAGCACCAGGGAATCATTGCACGAATAAAAGCGAGGTGTAGCACCCATGCAGACACCCTCTCTAGATGCCCGAACCAAACCTCGACGATGTCCACATACATCCAGAAGGCCGAGAGGGTCCCATTCTCCTGTATCAGGTAATCAAGGTAGACATCAAATAGCTTGAAGATGGGCTCAAAGGACTGGTTCTCAAAGATCTCACAGCCAGCAGCTTGAGAAACATCTTCACATAGGCTGCTCACGACTCTAAGGCTTTCTTCCAGGTGAACCTGGTCATCAGTGTGGTTAGTTTCTAGACAGGGTAGGAAGCCTTTCCACGCCTGTCGCATAAATGCCTCGTACAACAACTTTACTGCACGGTTGTACTTGCAGCATTCAATCACCCCAGCTACAGAGCCAATATCGGTGACACCTGACTCTACACATATGTCCCTCAGTCCAGCATTTGAAACATCTGCTCGATGGGTGACCACAGTGTGCATATGCCAAGAGATATACATTCCAGGGTCTTCACAGTTTTGATACAATAACAAACAAATGGTCATTAATGTGATGAATCTGTGCTGGTTCCAACATTGCATACAATCAAATGAAGTTTTCCAGCATCTTATGTAGTCATGACAATGTTATATCTTTCTTAACCCTAAGAAAAAGCTTGTAATATGCAGTGGCAGAATACTTTTATGGTCATTTTGCTCTGATTTTATGCAAATGTATGAAAAATAGCAGTGATGTCCTACGTTAATGTCCAAAATAATGTTTAAGCTGTTTCCTGTGCCTGAAAACCTGGGTATAGACACCAAAATGAACGTTCAACACCTCTCCAATCCCAAGATATAGCCAAAATATGGCATATAGTACCGTACAGGGCATCTTGTTAACTCTAATTCATGTTGCCATGGTAAAAATGGGAATGTACTAAATAGCATATTCTTGGGTGATGTATTAGTCATATAGTTGTTTCATTACATTGGAAAGGGGACTTTAACTTGTCTTGAATGAGAATATTGTCTAATATGTTACTGAAATCACTCCAAAATCCTTGATTTTAGGCTATTCTAGGGTCGTTACTATGGCAACCGTTATAAATGTTAATGTAATTTGCATTTCATTACTTTTCTTCATGGTGAGGAATTCTAAACTTTTATTCTGTGGGCCTTAAAACCTGGGTATAGACACCAAAATAAACTTTCAACAGCTCTCCAATGCCAAAATATTGCCAGAATATGGCATATAGTACCATACAGGGCATCTTGTTAACTCTAATTCATGTTGCCATGGTAAAAATGGGAATGTGCTATATAGCGTATTCTTGGCTTATATGATGTATTAGTCATATAGTTGTGTCATTAAATTGGAAAGGGGACTTTAACTTGTATTGAAAGGGCATATTGTCTAATATGCTACTGAAAATACGCCAAAATCCTTGATTTTAGGCCATTCTGGGGTCGTTTCTATGGCAACCGTTATAAATGGTAATGTAATTTGCATTTCATTACTTTTCTTTATTTTGAGGTATTCTAAACTTTTATTCTGTGGGCCTGAAAACCTGGGTATAGACAACAAAATAAACTTTCAACAGCTCTCCAATGCCAAAATATAGCCAGAATATGGCATATAGTACCATACAGGGCATCTTGTTAACTCTAATTCATGTTGCCATGGTAACAATGGGAATGTACTATATAGCATATTATTGGCTTATATGATGTATTAGTCATATAGTTGTGTCATTATTTTGGAAAGGGGACTTTAACTGGTCTTGAATGAGTATATTGTGTAATATATTACTGAAATTACTCCAAAATCCTTGATTTTAGGCCATTCTGGGGTCGTTACCATGGCAACCGTTATAAATGGTGATGTAATTTGCATTTCATTGCTTTTCTTTATGGTGAGGTATTCTAAACTGTATATTTTTACGCATTCAAAAGTGTTTTTATAATTTTTAAATGACTTTAACTGTTTCTTTGAATAATACCAGTTTTAGTCTAGTGTTGCCATGGAAACTGCTGATTATATGAATAAGCTGTACATTCGGAAATGCTATCATAACTTTTTACACGTATATATGCCTTACAAACAAAAAAAAAGTACAAAGGTTTTGCCACCTCTGGTGGTACCAATATCTGGTCTGGCCCATGGACTATATTGAACATTTATATAGTTCGCCCTCTGCGAACATTTTCTAACCATATCACTGCACTGCGCATGAGCAAATTTTCATTAATTTTCGCTGCTCCTGGGCGTATTTTTTAATGTAAAAATGAATCGGAGAAGTACGTAGAAAAAATCAAAACTTTGTACCAGCGAAAATTTATATCTTGTACAATTTTGCAACGGTGATCTATATTTTTGGAGGAATAGGACATGTTTTAGGTTATATTTCACTCTTAAGGTAAGAATCGAGTATTTGAAATCGAATTTTATGATCGTGTAGAGTGGTGTATTATGATGTTTTACAATTGTGAAGTTTAATAGATATGAAAATAACTTTTACAGCTAATAATTGAACAGCTAGCGTACGATTCGCGACTTGGATTAATTGCTGCCGAGCTGTGTATGGTGGCATATTGGTTGCGGTTCGTAGCGGGTAGTTGTGCGAGGGATGGGCCGTTTGGACCCGGTGACATGGCCCTTTCTGGACACTCCACAGCATCTTCTTCTTCTCCTTTTGTTTTGGCTCAATGGCGATTAGTCAGGTGTAACTATTGCGGGTGCTAGTTCAGAAGTGTATCCAGACTTTGACCTGTAATTCCGGCGTGGAGACTGGAGATACCACGCGCGCTGTACAGTGAGTGAGTGAGTTTACGAGCTCTCATTGGCCGATCGATCCGCTCGAGTGGCTTCGAATTTAAGTGAGAGAGGGCCTAGACAGTCAGACCGCAGCGTGCGCGATAATGAGGCTGTACGCTGATTTTTATTCAGCGTCCCTTTGGTAATGTCGTACATTCACGTGCGCTAAAATTCACGAGATTTTCAGTGAGATTTGTAAGGGTGTACATGCAGTAGACCGAAAGCTTCAGTCTCTATACCGTCGGTTGTTCCACTGAGACTACGTCTGGCTCCACTAGACCTCCGGTTATAGAGACAGAACGATCGCCTATGCCAGCCTATGTTGAAGATATCACGGCTAGATTTTAGCCGTTAGGCCCCTCCCACAAACATGAACAAACTTGCCACGGCCGTATTGTTATATGCCCCCAAAATCCCCCAAAATGTCATTTTACCTCGTGCATATCCAATTTTACATTAGGCCTAGGCTATAATACATCGGTTCCACTTACTAACTTGATTGAAATAATCTGTTTAATGGTCCCTTTTAAGGAAATTATGGGTCAAAATCGACATCCATGTTGAAAATCTTGCAAGCCGTGTTAAACTCTCGCTGCCGTCAATCTCATCCCTTCTAGTCTACGCCGAAGGCAAAATGATTATGAAGGAAAAACTGTGCGCCATCTACACGTTCGTAATGGCGTTATCACAGTTTTTCCTTCATAATCATTTTTGCCTTCGGCGTAGACTAGAAGGGATGAGATTGACGGCAGCGAGAGTTTAACACGGCTTGCAAGATTTTCAACATGGATGTCGATTTTGACCCATAATTTCCTTAAAAGGGACCATTAAACGGATTATTTCAATCAAGTTAGTAAGTGGAACCGATGTATTATAGCCTAGGCCTAATGTAAAATTGGATATGCAGGAGGTAAAATGACATTTTGGGGGATTTTGGGGGCATAACGATACGGCCGTGGCAAGTTTGTTCATGTTTGTGGGAGGGGCCTAACGGCTAAAATCTAGCCGTGATATCTTCAACATAGGCTGGCATAGGCGATCGTTCAGTCTCTATAACCGGAGGTCTAGTGGAGCCAGACGTAGTCTCAGTGGAACAACCGACGGTATAGAGACTGAAGCTTTCGGTCTATACATGCAGCTGCTTTTGTGGTCGATAATTTTAGTCAACATGGCAGCACGCAACGGTAATTACTCTCAAGATTTTCAGCTTCGGTTTGATATGAAACTTGCCATATTTCACAATTTTGAAACAATCCTTTTTCACCACTTTTATTGTCGTTATTTTTGTAACATTTCAACAGCTATTTTGTACCCGGAATTTTGCTTTTGGTTCCTGACTCTGGTACATAATTAATTTGTTTACCTTGAGATTCGTTGGAAAGATAAAAAGTCACTGATGAAAATAATGTCAAAACCTAATTGACGCAAATTCATGTTCTCTTTATAATCATAGTAATTAAGACCCTAAAACCCGTAAATTACCAATTTGTTCTTTCTATGATGGCGCGAAATTGTGTGATTTCATACTCGTGCACGCTCGGCGTCTGAGCAATGGCAATGCATAACTGATTGTTAAACTCCAGGGAGCGGGGGGAAACTGCATTCAGATAAGGATTAAGAGTCGAGAACGGTACAACAAATCGTCTTCTAATTCTTCCTCTAGTAATCTAATGAAACGTCAAAGCGGGAAACTACCCCCTCCCTGCACCCACCCCCTAGGGAGCGCACTGTAAGTGATTCGCACGCTTCGCATGCTCATTACCGCTCCCCTAAAATAAAATCCTGGCTACGCGTTTGATAAACTGGCAGACAATACAGCCTTTTGGTACATAACGTATAGTGAGCCGTATCGCTCTTGGAAGTGTAAAATGGCCGCCGCGCGTGCTAGCCCACTCCAAGCCTTAGCACGGGCGGGAATGGGCGATGATCCGTCCAGGTGGTAGAGGTCAGTGGTAGACACGCACATTTTGTCCATTGTCATTAAAATCCAAGATGGTTTTGCCTCTTTTCTTAGACTAGTCTATTTTAACAATTTCAAAGTCATGAAAAGGCACTTAATATCAACAAACATGGTCTACAACAATTCTAAATGACAAAATAATCCCAGCTATGCATGTTGTTTTTAGTAGTGCTGTAACATCACGGATATCTCCAATTCCGTTTAACCGCCAGTCAAAACAGGACGGTTTTCGGTTAAACGATTAAAAAAAAAATTATTAAAAAAAAAATCGTTTTTTGTTGTTGACCGACTCTGTCAGCAGCAACAAGCCAGGTCCGTGTGAAAAAGCGGGAAGGACTGTCATTTAACTGCAAGGTGCATTTGAAGGCGCCGATTTGTGCTTGTGAACTTGTCACAAATAATAGTAACAACAATGTCGTTTTTAGAAGAATGGGTAAGATCATTAATGTAAATTAAAAACAGTAGAGGACCTAGGATAGGACCTTGTGGTACCCAGTGTGTAAAAGTTGGATGAATTATTATTATAAATTGAGATCTATTACAAAGATTACTTTCAAACCAAGATGACAGACAAATTGGAGTGTTGTTCTAGTTTGAGAGTGGTGAGTCAACACACAGATTACTGAGCTGGGAGACATTGCCAGGCATAATGCCAGGTGGAGGGGCATAAGTCGAAACCTTAAAAAAAACAAAAAACAGGAAAACAAAACCGTCCAATTGAAAATGGAATCCGCCATGGGCGGTCGGATACCGGACGGTTAAACGTTTGACTACAGCACTAGTTTTAAGCATTAGATACATGTAGTGCAAAACTTGAAAGTTTTCGGCATAAAATTTGTTTTAATTTTTAAATTGGATACTGATCAAAGGTGCGAGGGTGTCGCTCCAATCTTCCAATCTGATCAAAGCCCCAACTTACAGGGTTAGTGTACATGTACTGTACATGTACAGTCAGTGTGTAAGTGTATCTTTTCAATGCTCTTACATGTACATGTACATTACAGACATTGGGGGTAATAAATGAAAGGTAAAACAAGTACATTAATTGCTTACAAATGTCACTTTCAGAGAAATATTTCACATTTTCATTCATTGCTTGTTAGTAGTAAACTTACATATGTACTTGCATAGTACAGTGACAAAAGCATTCAAATTGTGTGTACACTGTATGTGACAAAATACATGTACATGTTGCCTCCTGCCTCCTAGATATTTTTGTGTGGGTGGACTTGTACAGTGTACATGTTATGTAGCAATTACATGTAGCTGATTCAGTCCAGTATGCTAGATACATGTATGTACATGTACATGTACATAATAATAATAATAATAATAATAATGATAGTGTAAACTTATAAAGCGCATACACCGTCCATACATGTACTTATGCATTTTATAATGCAATATTTGTTATAAACAAAATATTTATGTTTTCTTTGTCTTATCCTTAGCAGATTACTGCCTTGACAGATGTAAGGAAACAGAAAGTCACAGATGATGTTACTTATAGATTATGCCAAGGACATACATGTACTCCTACTTGGACTATAATCAGAGACCCTTCAAGGAGTTGCCATCCGTGTTTCTTTATTTACCTGTGATCTGGCTTTAAAGGTTTCTCTCCCGTCTGAGCTGAAGATAGATCGGGAGGGGAGGGGTTCAACATGGACTCCGTCCCAGAGGTCACACCCATGAGGAGCTATAACTTCAGGAAGGTGGGTTCTCTATCATAGACTGTCTTTGATTTGAAATTAATTGAATCAAGGAATGCATACATGTAAATGTAATAACTAATATACTGTACATGTTTTTCGTCTATCCTAGACCTCATCTTAAAGTTGCTTGATTTTAGCTTCTATGACTCATAATAGAAATCATGCTGTGATTTTCTGCTGAACAACATTTTTGGGCATACACCTGTATTGTTCATACTGTAGTATCAATATTGCCAACTTGACTTACCATTGTTTGATTTAACAACCATGTACAGCGTTTGTATTTTTAAAGTTATACATTCATACTGTTATTCTTTTTAGCATTAATGTTTTTATTGCTGATGTTATTATTATTATTACTTTAAACTTTTGTTTAAATAGTGTTTAAGTTTAATAGTACTTGTATCTACTATACAAGTACTGTACATGTGTTGAAGGGCCCTATGACATCAAGCACATAACTATGAAAGGAATGTACATTGATTCCTTTAAAATACTGCTTGTTTTGAAAAATTGTGTGCTTCTTTTTCTTACTTATAATGCAGGCCAAACTGAACTCCTCTGTAGCTTGGCTCCTTACCAAAGCATACAGTGATAGAGAGGAACCTCCAGCCGATCTACTTGATCCCCTTTATCAAGACGATGTAAGTCAAATCACAAATTATTCCTTGATTGTTGATGATCAGTACAACATTTGCCATTTCTTGTTTTGGAATCGTAGTGTGCATGTATATTTCTTTCTTATATTTCATTCCTCAGTATGACTGTTATGCTTGACTTTAAATTTAATGAATGCTGTTGATTAAAGGATGGGCCCTGTGAAGCTTTGGCATTTCTGGAAGCAAACCACGATACATGTAGGTGTTTGTTTTCAGAGGTACATGTACGTGTACATCCAATGTTGAACTGTGTACAGGTCTAGATAACAGTTTCCTGTTATACTTGATTAAGGTACATGTACATTACATGTAAAATGTACATGTACTCGGTCATGTGTTGAAAGGAATGTCTAAAAGCGATCGATAAATTATGGAATATTAGTATGTGCTCTTTAATATACAGTGTAAGCAAACACATGTAGGTTCCAATCTGTGAAGAGAATAAATTATATTGAATTATGAATGTTGATACATATTCTTTAGGCTCTTACATGTACATAACTGTATGAATATTATGACTGGGGATCCTTTAACATAGAAATATTTTGTGTACATTGGTAGCTGTTACATGTTGGGGTCAGCTGTTTGTTAATGTTGTCCATTGGTATAATTTGTTGTACTTGATGATTTGAGTACCCAGCTAGAATAATCAAGAGTCTCATACTCATACTCATACTTGGAATTATTAAAAGGATTATGGGATACCATTTTCCAAACTCTTTGTATTTACCCATGTACACTGTATGCACATATCAGTCACTGCTAAAATAATAATATTCCATGTCGTCATCTTATTCAATGTTAGGGTGAAGACCATGTCAAACCATCGGTCATCTACCAGCTAGCATCAGGAGAGTTGTACAGTCGAGTGTGCTCCAACATCTTTCCTCCTACTATCCATCCATGGGATGGGCATGTAGCCATCATCCAAGGCTTCTCAAGGAGGGGCATCTATGTGGTGGATGATCGTAACCAACCAGTCACAGAATCTATACTCTCACAGACTCAGAAGATCAAACTGGTGAGTTGATGATAATCAGTTGTACTATTGTTTGAAATTTAACATCCCCCTTTATCTGCCATTCAGTTTGACTATGTAATTTCTGTTTGCCCCCCCCCCCTTCTTCCTCACCACATCAGTACTAATTAGTTGTTTAGGCTCTTTTTTAATCTTCCTTTTTAATTTTCTTCCCTTTTCCTGCAAATGTGCCTTACTTGTTGATGTTTTCCTCTCTTTGTTTTGTCTTTATCCATTATTCTATTTTGTTGTTGTTCTTTATTTTTTATTTTTGTATAATGTATTAATGCTTATTTTCATCTAAATTACCAGTATTTGTAGTGCCTATGTTCTTCTTCTTTCTCTCCTTTTATGAACCTACCTCTAGTACCATCCAATTGTTTTGGTTGTTGTTCTTATCATTCCTCCCACAATACAAACATACACTGTAAGTTATAATTTCATATCTAAACTGTTTGGGAACACAAACACTCCCTCCACCTATTTGTATGATTTTTTTATAATAAATTGGTGAAGAAAACAAATTATTGGTGAAAATGACGTTCAAGCAAAATATGTCATCTAAATGCAAATGGAAAAGGATGATTAGACCTTACTTACACAATTGTGGGGACTTTTAAGAAGTGTACGTGACAAATTTAATGTACTAAAACTTGTGAGAGTCTTATCCTATTCTTATACAGTTCATCTGCCTCATGCAGAAAGATTTACATGTAGCATAATATAAATATTTTAAAAGAACTGTGGGTTTTTTTCTCCTTTTTTCTGAGTAAACTGAAATGTGACATGTAAATAATAATGATATTGATTTTATATTCAATGCACATTTCAACGGATGTACATGTACATGTAAAGCAAATTTTGTAAAAAACATTTTAATGTTCACTTTACTTTTCAGTATGTACATGTACACTGTAGGCCTACATGTAGTTTACACTTTAATTATTGGAACTTCATAAGTTCATTAGAAATAATATTTGTACATGTACATGATTCAGAATGACTGCATGAAACCAACCTGTTAACAAAAATGATACATCATAAAACCTCATTCTAAAACAATGCATCTGGAGGCTTTATGATGAATTGCTTTTCATAACTAGGTCGTAATGTTTCAAAGAAAACAATTGATGGGCGTGAGCCTTTCCAAACAGAGACAAATGATTCTGTCCACAGGAATTTCTGTATTAGTAACTGTGCCTAAATTATCATCTGGCATGCACGACCAGCAGCCGGCTGCACAGTCGTATGTCGTTAGTGTAAGTGTGAAATGAACAAGTGAGTCATACGTATATCTACACACACTGCACAGACACGTACACACATGGGTACTGTGTACAATGTATTCTAGACACCGACAGTACATTTGGACTTGCCTATGAACTGTTCATGAGCCGTTTGGATTGCGTAGTGATGATTCGGGGACTGCAACTGCAAGATAGACTTGAAGAGATTCTGTGTAACCACAGTGCATACAAGTGGGCAGGGTGCACCAAATGATTCACACAGTCACTGCATCAAAGTGCATTTATGAATTCAATGTATAATTGCCCAATACTGTTTGATTATGGAACACAAAATGTGTCATATTCTGTTTTTACGTCAAATTGATTTTCCCTGTCTCCTTGATACATGTGTACTGTATGTACATGTAGATTATAAAATATTTTACTGAACCATCATTGATTTTAACTACCGTATTTGCCGGCATAAAGGCCGCAGTATTTTTGGAAGAGAAAATATCAAAAAGTCAGGGTGTGGCCTTTACGACGAAAGAGTAAAAAAAAAAAAAACATTTGCCGATATATATCTTGATCTTAGTTTGTGCCAATGCATTGCAAAAGTAAAGGAAGGGACCGTTTAACGGACCTGCCGCGAAGGATCCATCTGAAGTCGCCATTTTGTTTTTCCATTTCATGCCATTTCGCATTACACCGTACATTGTGGTAGGGGTATTTCGGACACCAAAATCTGCCTGCAATCACTTTTTTAACTAAACTTCCGGTAAATTATAAGAATATTGATGAATTTGGTATTAGTTTGTAAAAAAAAATAGTGTTTTAAGAGAAAATTACGATTATTTTGTTTTGTCCGTTTGTTTTTTGTTTTTTGTTTGTTTTTGTTTTTTTCTTTCCCTCTTTGAAATGTCAAAGTTGGGGTGCGGCCTATGCGGCGGTGCGGCCTTATCGCGGGCAAATACGGTACATGTACTGTACATTCACTTTACATGTAACACACTCTGGGCTAATTCTGTTTCATCTTATTTTAAATGTAAAAAGTACCTTCAGGCCTGAGTACCTTCATGATAAAATGTTTCCAATCTCCTTTTCATTTCTAAGAATTCCCATGCCATGCATCCAAAGATAGAAAGAAAAGTGAACATTTTTTACTTCAAGATGTAAAAGAATGTTTGAGGAGTCGTGGATTTGTGGAAGCCATAATATAAAAGACAGTACCGGTATTGTAGTCTTCTTGTTGAATATCAATTTTCCGGTGCATTGTACAAAACTAAAGTCGAAAGCTCTTTATATTGTCCACTGGTTCGGCCCTATTGAAATCTTTATCCCCCCTGCTTGGTCGGCTTGGTGCATTGTGAATGCAGAGAGGTGAATCGCCATTGATTTGTTTACTACCCAAGGGTCTGCTGATGTAAAACCCGTTGCATGCATCAGTATACAAAGTCTATTATGAATGCAGACTGCCCATTTAGGTATACTGTACAATGTACATTTCCATGAACTGGCCTGGATACTTACATCATTGTAGATTATAATCTACTTTACCGGTACTTTACTTTGCCATAAAATGTACATTTAGCATTTAAATGTAATATGTACTTAAGGCCCTACATGTACACTGTACATCTGTATGTACAGTACATGTAAATGCCAAGTACAGTATAGTTGAAACATTTGGATGTGACAGAATACTAAAAATATACAAACTAAAGGTACTTTCCCTGTTTTCGCAGATCATGAAAATATTGTTCACGCTTTGTGATTAAATGCACTTGTTGTACATACATGTACAGTATGTGTGCATGTATTATAACTCTGCATCCATGGTACTAATTATCAGGACATACATACTGTATACATGTAGCCCATTTGATTGATTTGGTTCTAGAACAAAATGTAATGTTCCCATGACTACATGTACGTGTACGTGTACACAATGTACATTTGTAAGTACATGTACATGTAGGCTGCACATGAAGGCCTAACGATGAGTACATAAAAGTCATTGGTGCTTATATCTGTACTGTACATTATTAGGGGCAAGGGATTGTACTCTGTAGCCTACTAAACTATTTTCTCTATCACAGTGATATTTTAGCCCTTTATAAAGTATTCATTGTAATGGTGGGTCCTAGCCAGATGTGTGGCGTGGGTGTCTGGGTGAGACTTCACACATTGTGTATGCCAGACGAACAATTGGCATGACCCTGAGGTACGCTATCTCTCCAAAAATGGTACATATCTGACACAGGTTGCACAAACATTTATTATCACCTAGGGCAGTACAAGAATTCAAGCTCTTTTAATCAAAATATTTTTGTTCTATTCTGGCTTTGTCAGTGTGGAGTTTAGATTGTCTGACCTCTTTTGCAGACATGATTATAGAGATACACTGTAGGATACAGTTGCAAGAAATTATTTATTTTCAGTTTGGTTTTGATACAGACTACAGTCATGACATACATGCACACACATACACACACATACCGTAAATGTACTGTACAGTATTATTATGAATGTTTACTTCAATAGAACTTGGTCAGATCAGACACACTCAATTCATGTATACTGTAGGTTTTATGCTAAAAAAAAACAATGAAAGAGGAGCAATACTACATGTATGGGCCTTTTATGAATGAAAGGACCCACAAATATTGTATTCTTGTTCATTTACATTTTATAATGATCATGATCAAGTCAACCCATGCAAATTCAAAAAATGATTGGACAAACAGCTACATACAAAGTGCAATGTAAGAAAAATACAAATGTATTAGACATTGAAAATGAAATAACCTTTAAATTCTTTATAATCATAGCTACATGAACATGAATCTAAAGTAGTCTCTATTTACACTCTCTCCCACACAAAGTTGAAGCAGTCTTTCCTCATTCAAAACATTTCAAAAATGACATTGACCTGTAGTCCCACACCATTCATTTCTGAGGAAGTGTCGATTAGAGATTAGACTTTCCCGAAGGATATGTAAGGACCTTACACAATTTACACCACTACTCTCGACCATTTCCCTTCTGATTACATTAATCATAACGCCAATCAGGGATTTCCTACAGTACACATTAGGATTACAAGATTATGTGTTGATTCTGAGTTTACAATTTGTTTCTACTTTTACATGTGTGTATGATTGTGCTTTATTGCTTTCTTCAGTGTGCTGATTGACAATTATGTTGCTACATGTAGTACATTTTATTGATTGCATTATACATGCTTTTAATGTGATGGTAAAGTACATCATATTTACGTCAACTTACATGTATGTTTCATTGGAATCATTTGGAGAGAACAATGGTATGAGTCACATCTTATTTGTGTCTTGGTTGAACATGACATTGAACATGACATTATTTTAGGAGCCCTAAATGTTCATGCATCTTCGGAGACATGTCATTCAGACATGTATGTTGGGAAAGAGTCCCATTTGCCAACATGTACATTGTTAAATCATGGACCTACTACTGTATGTACACAAAACATTTCAAATTGCAAGACAAATTGCTTATCATGGTCTAAGAATGTGCAGTGCAAATAAAAGCTGGTATTTACCGGTAACCACATTTTTACGAGGTGTGGAAACTGTGGATGATTTATTAACTGTTAGAAGTTATTGCTTCCTGGAGCTCTGTACGTTTGTGTACAAAACAAAAACAGATAATGCCACAGAGTAGAAACCAACGGATGTGGGTATACATTGTACCCCTGCAATGTACATGTAAACTACATACATGTAGACCCTTAGGCATACACATGTTTACAGTACATGAAAGCATTTCCTTTTTCCATCTCTTTATTATGGACAGATATATGATAAATTAATTAAATCATAAATGACCCAAAGTATATATTGCTCCATACTACATGTAATTGGAATTTCAAAATGATGCTAAAATGGGAACATGGCCATAAATGCCATTTTCTAGACACACTGTACTTGTAGGGTTGAATTCTGTTATTCATGAACACACTTTAAAGTACCATATCATGCATGGTCAGTCATTTGTGATGTTTATCCTATTTGGAACTCAGAGCCACAATGCTGATATCTTGGGCAATGGCTAACATAATAGGATCACTGAATTGTTGATAAGTCACTTCCAGCTCTATTAAAATGTACTAAAATTTTGTTTGAATAGGGATTTAGGTGTTTGGATTCATGATTAGTGCAGTACATTATGTCCACCATCAATGTTACTTTAGGACACATTTGAGTTTTGTACATACAGTGTATGTGAATATTTGTGAACCTACCCTGTACACTGTAATGTACATGTTGGACGGGAATGATGCATGTAACCTACATGTACATGTACTCCATGTATGTTGACAACAATGTACAGGTGTTTGTGTAATTATTTACATGTAGGATCTACAGTACATGCTTGGGAACTGTTTAGGCCTGTCCTCATCAGCTCGAGATTGCCAAATATCCCGCTATTTGAACTATCCCGATCACAAATTATCCAGTTAATTTGTGTCTTCATCAGCCCGAAGTTGCAATTAGCGGGATATTTGGTTGAGATAATCATCCCAGGATATCTTGGGCTAGTTTGCAAAATATCCTGCTATTTGGCAAAATATCCCACTATTTGTCCGGTGCATCCTCACCAGCTCGAAGACTCACACTATACGCGAACGCTCAGCAAAATATCTCGAGCTAATTTCTTGATCTAGAGTTTCAAGTTTCAAGGTCAAATCTCGAGCTGATGAGGACGCGATTTGTAACTTCGGGATTATATCCCAAATCAGAAATAGCGGGCTATTTGTCGATCTCGAGATGATGAAAACAGGCCTTTTGTGAAGTGCTCTGAACGTTTGTTTGCTCAGAGCCCAAATCAGTTGAGCTAATAAAATTTCCTTGTTTGCTTCTATATTATTAGAGATAATAATATGAACCAGTGACACACTAGCCTCACACCATACATCTCCTCACGCTATTATCCACTGACTCCAGTGTTCTCTGCTCATGTTCATAAACCCTTATTTAATAAGCCTAGTTGTCAACTAACATACTATTGTCTATGTAATTAGTTGACAAATAGCTTACATGTTTGTAAGGTTTTATGAATATGAGCCCTGGTGTATATTTACATGTATATTCTTGCATTCCTACATTAAATGTAAATTTCCATTTTCTCTTTCTCTCTACAGTGTGTATCTATCCCTCGGACATTTAACATATTGGTTGGTACTTTTTATTTAGTTGATAAAAGCAAACAATTCTAACAGCTTAAAAGAGCTTTGCGACATAAAGTGAACTAACTTACATTTTTAATTCATGGCCTAAATAATACATACCAGTATCCAAAGATTTCATTGAACACAACACATTGAAACAATATTTCATTTTTCCAAGAAGCCCGAGAGTATTCCTAACATGTAGTAACACGTGAATGCTCTTGTACATGTACACATACATTGTAGACCTAAATTTCCATTAAACTGCCTGTCACATTTACTAATTGGAGCCTTGGCCTTGAACTACAATGTTGCACAAATCTCCTGACTTTTAGTTCTGTAGAAATGTATCTATGGGGAAAAAATATATTGCAGGCTTTTCATGCCTTTGTACTCCGCTTGATGCTTTGTCTGGTTTAAGCTCAAAGGTACATACAAGCCATATTTGCAGACATTTGTTTACAAATGTATGTGGCTTCCGGTTTGCCAGTCTACATTGTGATGACATACAATGTACATATTTGTATAGCTGTTCATGAAGGCCTTTATCGCTATTCATTGGATTTTTATACCTTACATTAATAGAGTTCCTGCATGTTCTGTATCTACATGCGTATTATTACTTTATTATGGGCCCTTCTTGAAAGTACTATATATGTTACCGTACATATTTGTATGTGTTTATAACCAGGAAAATTGTATTTTTGATCAATCTAACACTACAGCCACAGGAGGTATTAAATCTATCAGTCTCATTTTCATCTTTGTTAACCTTGTTTATTTGCAGTCTCCATTTGACACTAAATGAATACAATAAAATGAATAGCATAGTTTGGCTAGCAGTCCTTGCAAATGCAAGAAGGTGATTTTTTTCCATACACAGTCCAGTTTAGACTTTAGAAAAAGTGTAGACAACTGCTGCGATGGAATGTGACTTTTTGTTGTCATGTTTGAGAAATCTTGCAAATGTTTACAGTTATGGGACACACAATGCATAATTGTGTGAATGGATCATGGATGATTGGATATTCAAGGATATTGGAAGAAGATATCTTCTTCAAATATTTGGTTGCAAAGTTTGATACTTATTTAGTGTTTGCCCTCCATATTTATTTTCTTCTTTGATACACTGTTTATACTTTTGAAATACAGTTGAGAATTGCATTGTTCAAACACATTTGATCTACTATGAATCAAATGATTTTTTTTGGATGGGGGGGGGGGGGGGGGTGTTTGTTAAAAATTTGACTTCTTGTAGCAGAGAGCATTAAAGAAGTTGTTTGTAAAAAGGAATGTGGACAATAATACTTCTCAATTCAGGCTATTTCTGTGTTCTCTTTTCTCATCTCCCTGTACAATGACATTTGCAGTGTGGTATTTTTTTAAAATACACCCTGGTAACATGAAGAATATATGAGAATTCATAGAATTAGAAGAAGAAAAAAAATGATTTAACATTTGATTACTTCTTTAGGGAATACATTATTCCACTTTTCCTGCATTACTGGTATGATTTAGTTGTAACTATAGTCCAGAGCATATGTCAAGTAGATTAGAACTGTAGGTACATCATGTGTAGCAGTTGCCTTGCATTTAATCAATGTGTATAATGGCATTAGATCAGTCTTATTTCATAGTGTTATTATTTCATATTTCATGATCAATAACTACATGTACATATGATTGATTAATCAGCCCTTTAGCATGTCTTAATTGTGTACAGTATGAACACATTTAGTATTTATGATAATCTATCCAACTGATTTAATTCATTCAATGATCATCATTAACCCAAAACTTATTACTGTAAATGCCTATACTGTACATGTGCATCTTCAATGAAGATTCTTCATCTTCATTATGTTTAAAACAACAGTTGCAAATATACACGCTGTTCATTTTGTGGTACATGTATTTGTGTGGAATACGGTAAGCATTTACAAGGTCAATTATCATTTCAAAGAATTATGCTATTGGCAACATGTTGTCCTTACCCAAGCAAATGACAAGCTACATCTAGAACACAGGAACATTGAAAACTGGGTGTGTTAAAGCAAGTTTTGAGTGGGAGTAATATCATTTGCGACAGATGTGCGCGATATTTCTCACGTTTAACTACACATCTGTGTGTCCACTAATATGATGAAGCATCGTTCATCAAGGATAGTAATTAGAATTTACTTGATATTATTGAAGCATGATTAATCAAATGATTAAGTATTAAAATTCACACCAATGTATGTAAGCAAATATGCATTTAGAAACATATAAATGGCCTAGTACCGTTGATATCCAGTCACTTTGATAAAATATTTCTTGTAGGACTCTATTCATTATTAATACTGCTTTTCAGTTCTGAAATAATTTATTTTGAATTGTGAATTTGCATCTGAAGATGAGCCTGGACACTCTACAACAAGCAATTGTAAGTCTGACTTTTGGGGTTTAATTTTGCACTGTCACGGAAGAGTTTTGAGTGCTTCTCATTTTATCTACACCATGTAGGTACTTTTGTCACTTTGATTTTGCAGGATCTTTTCCAGTTTGATGTACACACTGTAGATGAGTGTTAGAGCTTAACTTTATATAGGCATACACGTACATGTGAGGTCTTCTTACATGTAGTTCTTAATACAAATGGTCACACTCAATAAAAGTAGCTTTAATTACGAGTGAAATACTTCTCCAGCTGAAAGAGTCTGTAGAGAAAGTGTACTGTAGCGTTAGAATGAATTCAGTTTTAATACCAGGTACAGTTGTACATCTACATGTAGGAGTAAGGTGAAAATATAAACTTCCATTGTGTTACTTGGTCTTATCATCTTGCTCCAGCTGGTAGTGGATATCTATCAATATTTCATTCTATTGTTGTTTATTAAGGCTCTTCCATTTACATTTTTAACAAATTCATTTGCTCACAGGAAAACAAGGAGAAGATTTTACTTGTGCACTTTAGAAGGCAATCTTCTTGTTTTGAAAACCCACCTTGATGTGGAATGTGGAGATTGATATTGACAATTTGTAGGTTTATACCAAACCCAAATATTTTCAAAGTTGTGTGTTTGTTCTTCTTTTCCTCCTTTTCTTCCCACACCTTAACTTTTGAGCTCGACAATTGTACAAGTTTGTGTACATGTGACATTAGCTGTAGGGTCTTTACTATTCAATGGAAACTTAAGAGCTTTTGTGTGGATGGTTGGAGGTGTGTCTGAAATGATCACAAAGCATGACCCAAATCTTGTTAGTTTTGTGGACAAGACCATTTCAAGTTTGCAAATTTTTTCCTTCATTCCTCTCAAGTGTGTTTTCCCTTTTTCAAGTGTGTTCTCACTGAATCCAGTTCGGGAAGAAAATCAGCTTCAGCACGATAATCATGCACGTGTAGCCTAGCTGCACTAGTGCACAGCAAAGAGTGGTTGTGAAATGCAAAGTAGTCTATAAGTAATGAGGTGTTAGTTGTAATACCACCAGATTTTGCCTTCGGGAAATTATTCCAAGTTATATTTTCTTATTAAAGCATGACATACAGGAGCCAAGTACATATCCCCCCCCCCCAAGTTTTATTCCTGGAACCCAGAAATTTCATAAAAGCAAAACTTTCAAAAATCTCAACCAGGATCCATAAAAAGAAACAAGCTTTGAGCCCTGTATTGCACAAGCAAGGCAATGGTTTGTGTTTTATGACGAACACTCCCATAATTACTGCTATTTCTTGTGATGATGTAAACACCCCTTTTGGTCAAGACTGAGAACAAAATGTGTGTTTCTGTGAGCCGTGCTGTGGGCCGTGCAATTACACTTTGATTTTATTTACACAGTACTCAGTTTGTTTAGGGGATCTATACAGTCTATTCTGGGTGCTAGATGTGACACCTTTGTTGTCTTTTTGTACTGACTTTAAATTTCAAAGCAAATTTATCAAAGAGTGGTTTTATAAGTGGAGTGTCAGAGTCTCTCAAATATACACATGTCGTGTCAATGATGTGAAGTGGAGAAATCAATTGAAGGAATAGTATGCTTCATTTGCTGAGGATCATGAATGTTTTTTCTGATGAGATCAGTCACCCTCTTAGATGTTATGTTTTTCTTCTTCTATTTTTAAAGGTTATGAATATGGTTTATGTGTGATGTGTTGCCAGATTGCTTCAGGGGCCTTTCTGCAATTCCCCCAAGCAATCCATGGCAGAGTGTTGATTTTAATCATCACCTCAAAGACTGCATCCAGCAGGAACACATAGTTTAGGCCTCAAGTACTTAAAATCAGGAACTTCGGTTTGCATGAAACTTACACAATATTTTGTTACTGGTCCAGATGTGTGAAAGATTCATGCTGTTATATACGATTTTATGACATCGGTAAAAAAAAAAAAATTGCAATTTAATAGTAAAAGTTACCAGCCACAATAATGGCCCCCATGAATATTTTACAAAAGTTTTGGTTTGATAGTACAATGTGTTCATTTACGAGCTAGCAGTTCCAAATTCCATTTTTAATCTCCTCATTATGAAATGGCTACTACATGTATATGAAATCCTGCAAAGTCCTGCACAGAACATACTTATATGAAAATCAATTCCTTACAATATGTATGAAAGGAGTTAGTTCAGACTTGCTTATTCTGTCTATTCATAGATTTATGTGCATGTGGGTGCGGATTGTAGAAGCACCATGCTCCTAACAATCACTTTAACCCCATACACCCACCTATCCTACGGCACACCCACCAGCCCTATGGCACACCTTCAGAAAAACCCAATTAAGAAAACTAAGCTTCAAGTTATCCAAATATACAAGTGTATGTTCTTTATGCAGTGCGGTGGCTGTAACCTTTAGGGGATACAAGTGACTGCACTGAAGAAATGTCAATAGAATATTCATGTATGACAGTTATGCCTCGTCCATAATAACCCGTTATTCATATTCTATTTGCTTATCCTGTCAACCTGATGAGACTCCGTAGAGACAAAGGAACCATCTTATTTATTTGCCATTCATAGAAGTTATGATTTCCATGGTACATCAGTTGTGAACTAATCTGTGTCTATAGTGAAACAGGAAAATAAATAGACTGCTATGCAATCAATTAAATCTATGGTCACACTGTGCAGCTTTTGGAAACTATCTTTCTGCTTTGTGCCCTTGAGTTGATTTGAACCTGTTTTCTCTGGTACTGCAAGTGTTGACAACTTGCGCTTTTGTTTTGTAAATGACAAAGAATTGAGTTGGGGAATTGCAATGTACAGGTACATTGTACAACTGTATGTACATGTCTGTACTGCTACATGTAATTTTATTCATGGACACTCACTGAGTCTTGCTGTCTATAAATGATCTGCATCACTTATACTCATAGCTGATCTTAGAGAGTGTCAAATGTAGACTGGAAAATACCCCTCTCACGTGGTGCCACACCCTTTCTTCCATCTCCAGATGATGCAGTATTCAGCAATAAATAGAGAAAATAGATGGGCTGTCCTGGGGCATCATTAATGATCAATCCTACTCCCTGTTATATCCCTCACATCAATACATTCATGGAGCTGAGTGGGATGATTTTATGTGCCCGGTGTCTGCTCAGTGTCTGCGCGAATGACTCAGACCGTTGTCTAAATTAGATGTCTGGCGAGAGATGCGATTTATGAGGTTTTGATGGATGCATGCCTTGATTACCAGGATCTTGTACATTTCAGTTTAAAGATACATACCTTTAGTATACTTTAAAGAAAGGAAGTGTCCAATGTAATTAATGGCATGGTTATTAAAAGACAGAAAGATATCCCTTTACTTTATGACATTAATTTTAGTTAGTATTTTTAATAGAGATCTTGAAATTAACATTTAAGATGAACGAGATAAGGAGAGTCCTAAGAGTAATAATATTATTGATTGACCATTTGTTTACATTAGAAACTTTTGTTTAATGCATATGAATTTAGCGTGTCAAATGATAATGAAGAACTTGGTGGAGAAAAAATATTATTGTCTGGAAAACCCCAGTAGAAACATTGTCTCCTAGTACAGGGTAGTTCAAACACAATCGTGGTAGGTCCATGGTTTAACTAGTATCTCTACATCTGTATACAGTACGTGTTGTCTTAACTCTCAGCGGAGAAATGTAAACTCCATGAGGAGGAGCAAAGCAGTGACGTGATGAATTACAATATGTCTGCTTGAGGTAGATCATGACTGAATTATGCACGTAAGAGACCTACACACATTGACTAATGCGTGACCTGGAAGCAATTGACTCAAAGGGAAATCAAGAAGATTTGTGTTTTCCTATGCACGTCTCCCTCCGTTTATTTGTGATTGGATGTGTAGGCCTATACGGTGGTATGATTAAATGCTGGGGTATAGTTCATTGTTACAAGTGCAGTTCATATCATTGAATACATTATCTAAAGAACTGTAAAAGAATTTTATTGTTCACATACACTGTAGATTCAAAGTTTAATGGACACATACATATATATTCAGCAAGCTGCATTTTATAAAGGACTTTGTGTGTAAATGTACATGTAAAAGTGATTGAGAAGTAACTCATTCTCACATGTTTGTAGAATAAAGTTTGCAACGTAATCCTCAATTCCATTGGTAATGTAAGTACAAAATGTATGTTCCTTCAAATTAAGATGAAAGATATGCTGCATACTCTGTTCTCTTTGACCTACGATTTTCCTTACAAATGTGTAGTCCACAATGCCAGAAATAAATGTACTACCGTAAAATATTGATACATGAGCCTGGTTTTATAAACATGTACCAAAAGAAAATGGGTTTGTATTTGATGAATGATGATGTATTCAAGCTGTCATAAATCATACAAATGTATGTACAAATCTGATTAGTAAGAAACCACAAAAATGGAGTGGTTTAAACCACCATTATTTCATAAACTCTGTAAGGTTAATGTCATACATTTGCCTCGATCCTTGATACTTTAATGTATGTAGATCTGCAGTTAGACATTCAAGTCTGCAATTGCTTTTGTTGTGCGGGAACACTTATTGCTAACTGAATCCATTAGAGTTTGAAGGACTCTTAACTAATATTGATCCATTTTTCTCAGTCTCATTAGACCATGACATTTAATCTGACATAATGTACCGGTGGTATTTGTGTTATAATCACATGTATTTTCCTCTGTCAGAATGAATGTCTCCTTCATACATTATGTGTATTTTTTTTTTTAATGGCATACCAAGAGTAAATCAAAGTCTGTATGTAAACACAGAGCAATAAAATATACTAGTAATCCTGAATTTCCTTGAAGACTAGAATTCATCAGACTTTGTGATACTTTGCAAATGTCATATTGACGTAATTCTTTGTATAGCCAATGATTGTTTCTTGATCATGTTATTTTATCACCGCAATTCATCATTCATCCAATTCTTCCAGACACATTGATTATGGTCATAAAATACTTTGTATTTAACTGCTCTTTTCTTTTTTTCCTTCTTTTTTTTCCCTTCTCCAATGTAGAATGCCCATGTAGGAATGATGGATGCAATCATGAAGGCTTATGTCAATGAGACGATCTCCATTGAAAGCGTCGTACAGGCTGTCAGGTAATTTTGATTTATACGTGGTGCGAGGGCACTGCATGATTGTCTTCTTTCACCAAATAAATTTATCATTTATAAAAACTCAAAACTTGCAATAATATACCAAAAGTCAGTGGTCAATCACATTTACCTCTAAGTCTCTCCCATCCTGCCAACTGCCTCATAATCAAAATAAACATGCCTGTTCCTTTTGATAGCTACTTTTAGTTTCATTTCAGTTTCCATACAGAGAAAAAAAATAGAGCTTTTATGAGCAGTTATCAACAGTACACTGTGATTAGGGATTATCTGGTATGGAGGAGATGGCTATTACATGAAGGCCAGTTCTGAAAGAATTCAAAACACATGTATTTTTTCCTTCTGTGGCAGGTTCTGGCTAGTTGAATTGCCATTCTAAAGTCAAATCAAACAATTGCATATTATTTCACCTAGAGAGAGAGAGAGAGGGGGAGGGGGTGAGAGAAACCCTGCTTGTAGGCACAGGCAGGCAGGCTTGTTTAACCCTTCAGGTCCAGAAAAAAATTAAAGTGATCATGATCAACAACGACAACAAAATAAAAAAAACATGGTCAACTCAAAGTTCAAGTTATAGGAATCACAGACTGACATGTCAAACTAACCGTAATTAACGGTGTATTAAGCGCATCTTTTTGCCGCCAAAAAAACTTCAAAGTCGGGGGTGCGGTTTTTACACGGTACACCGCAATATCTCCCAGCTCAGTAATCGGTGTGTTGACTCACCACTCGGAAACTAGAACAACACTAAAATTTGTCTGTCATCTTGGTTTGAAAGTAATCTTTCTGATAGATTTCAATATGTAGTTGATACAAATAATTCCTCCAATTTTTCTTCTATTACAAGGCGTACCACAAGGTTCTATCCTAGGCCCTCTACTGTTTTTTAAGTCTGCAAAAAAAAGTCGGCTAAAAAAAAACAAACCTTAATTACGGTAGTGAAGCAATTAGTTTTTAGAACCACTCATATAAAAGTCTAGCATATATTTTGGATGTTGCATTGTAGTACAATATTTGTGAGCTTTATTCAAATGTTCATGTATTTGTGGTTAATGGTTATACATGTGATAAGCATTATGCTTTGATACGTTTATCTATTAATGTGTCTGAACATTGCACACAGGAAATTTACCACATTCAATGCGTCGAGTGACCTGCCCTTTGACCTGGAGGATGCACTTCACTTCTGGATCACCAAGGTGTGTTTAGCTGTGGAACACCAGGTGGATAGAGATAGAAAGGCACACCAGGCTAACATCATGCAGTCAGCAGCACCCGCTGTAAGTCCCACTCATTACTATTCATTTTGAACATTTTGCTAAAGGGGAAGACCAACCTGATTTCAATAAAAGCAGGTAAAATGAAAGAAAATGAGTCTTTGTAATGTTGGTTCTGATGGGGCAGTTAAAGATGTAATGCCCCTTAATTTCAATAAAAGATGAAAATTTAAAGATGAAAATAGTTCAGTGAAGTTTGAGAGGTAGTTAAGAATTTTGAAAATGTTTTGCGAATAAACTACTGTAAATGCTGTTATTTTTGCGTGATTAATTTTTATGCTGAGCGATCCCAAAGCATATTCGCTGGTTCTTAAATTCGCGTTGGACGTAATTCAGCCTGTTCAAAACATGCATAAGAAGTCATGCATATTATATAAAATATGTTCATTTGATTTGTTCAAAAGATTTCATTGTTTTTTTTAATCAAAGCTGTGCCTAAAATGTGGAAATTTTAAAAAGTATTTTGATAGGTTTTACCGTATATAGTTATACACCTTAGTCAGAACTCTAAAATAGATAGTAGCTCATGAATGCTATTAAAGAGTTTTCAATTCATTTCATGCAGGGGTCTTTAAAATTTAAAAGCCTTATGTATTGTAGTATGTATCAGTTCAATTGGGTGGGATTTACCTTTAACATAGGTCTACCCTAAAAGGAAATGTGGTGAACAGAGTGATGAGGGACTTTACTCTCATGTTGTTATCATAACCTTTTGGAACAATAAGTAACGTAAATTGCACAATCAGTATTTCATGTAGGTGTCTATACAAATGCCATTTCACTAGTTCCCCTTACTCCAAATGCATTCTTTGAATTGAGCATATTTTCTTGTTCTTAATGAATTCTGCTTCCCTTTTGAAATGTCAAAGTTGTTATATACATGTTTGTGTATTTCTTGCTCTCCATCCTCTTCCTCATTGCTTTGTTGTTGTTGTTGCTTGTCGTTTTGTTCATGCCCTCTAATCTTTTACCTGTGTTCTTCCACCTCTCTCTGTCTCTCTGTATATCTCCCCCCCCCCCCCCCCCCCCCCCGTCTCTCTCCCTCTCTCTCTCTCTCTCTCACTCTCTCTCTCTCTCTCTTTCTCTTTCTCTTTCTATTTCTCTTTCTCTTACTCTTTCTCTTTCTCTTTCTCTCTCTCTCTCTTTCTATTTCCCTCTCTCTCTCTCTTTCTATTTCCCTCTCTCTTTCTCTCTCTTTCTATTTCCCTCTCTCTTTCTATTTCCCTCTCTGCACTTTTGTATTACCTTGTCTTCTCTCTTTCTACATCACATGTCTTCATTTTTTTAATTGTGTTAATCAGATCCGGGTGAAGAGGGACCAGGTGCAGCCAAAGGAGATGCTACACTTCCCCAAGATGAACGACATGATGAAGGATCTATCAGATGGATGTTGCCTAGCAACCATTATCCATCACTACTATCCTCACCTTCTCTCATTAGAAGGTAAGAGTTTGTATGAGATGATATTGTCCTCCTGACATTTGTGACTGGTGGCATTTTGTTAATTGGATCAGTATGCCCCCGCTTCCAAAGATAACAAGATAATAGAGAGTCATATTTGAATGGTGTGCCGCAAGGCTGTCATCTGTATGAGAATGAAAAATGTTTGCATATATTCTCCCCTCCCCTGATAATGTGTTATCAATATACCCTTAGATTATCTGTGAGTCTAATTCTTGATGTATTATGAAAGAGTTTCATTAGGATGGATGTAATAGTGATTTTAAAGTTTGTGTATCACATCCAAAAGGACAATTTTACTTGTAACATTTTCAATGCCTAGAGTTCAGACATCTTCCTCACACATGAAGTTTCAGTCTGCCAATTCACGTTTGAGGAAGAAGTCTGAACTCTAGACATTGAAACTGTTACAGGTTTAAACAAATGTGGATATGATAGAAGAACTTTCAAATCATAATTCTTTGCAATGCTGAAGGCCCTGGCTTTGTTTTTTAACCTCTATTTCAGTTCAAGACCTCTCAATTATCACTTGACTTTTTTCAGAGTTTTTTTTAATTTAAAAAAAAATATATATTCTCTCTTATAATGTGTACTGATTTACCTTTATTAAGGATTTCCTTTATCTCTTATATCTCTCTTAATTTGACATAGATGTGACTCTGCATGAGTCGATGTCCCTTGCCGACTCACTGCACAATCTTCAGGTGGTAACGTCATTTTTCCAGCGTAATCTACCGCACCTCCTTCACTTCACGTTAGAAGATCTACTCTACTGCCACGACTCCATGAAATCCAACATCCTGGCGTTGGTTGCAGAGATGTTCTGGTGCTTCGAGGTGGAGAAACCAAGCCATCTAGAAGCTAATCAAGGTAAACACCCGACACTGAATGTGGTTTGCTGCCCTGAGTGTAGTTTATAGTTCAGTGTTCAGTGTTAGCCATCTAGAAGCTAATGTAGGTAAACACCCGACACTGAATGTAGTATATAGCTCAGTGTTCAGTGTTAGTGCTGATGTGAAATTTATGTTGAATAATAGCTAAGGTAATGCAAAACACATTAGCACTTTCATAATGAGGAAGCATATTATTTGTTGCAGAGTGTGGTGTTAGTGTACAGTGTTATTTGTTTCTTTTTTAAGGAGCCAATGAAATGAACAAAACAGGCTCTTAATCAAACATATCTCAGAGAGCAGAATTGTTTGTTGTTTCAGTGTTAAATGTAAATTCGAAGTATAGACACCTACTTAAATGTACTTTTTATGGGTTCAATATTAGTTTAGAAATGTATGTGATTTTTTGTTAATTTGAGTTCAAATAATGTCTTGACATATTACATAATGTAGAAAGCAAGTGTTTAACAAGTAGCATGTCTTCATTAATAATTGTTGTGATTGTTTCCACTGTTCTGTTCAAGTGTAAAATTGTTCTTCAATTATTTCTGTGACCAATATATTTTTTTAATCAGGTAAAGGCTTTTATCATCAGCTCAGTTCGTAATTACAGATTGTTTATATCCATTATAAACTTGTTAAAAACTCATGAAATACTTATGAAATACCCTCCAAATGATCTACCTTTCAAAGTTGCCCAGACTTTTTGGTGTTTCCAAGCCCAACCAGCTGGCCTTGCTGGTTTAGGTAAGAATTAACATGAAATCATGATATTTAAATAACAAATAGCTTGCAAATGCATGCTTCATTAGACGGCCACACAAGAAAAGCAGGCAAGTGGAATATCCCTTCGCAGGATTATCTACTGATATCTTCACAGTAAATAGTTAATTCATTAGCTGTTAAAATGACAGTAGACAGTCTTCTATTTGTATATCTCCAATTTCCTCCATCAATGTTTTTGCCCTTGAATGGATTATGTCGCATGAAAAGTCACATATTTGGATGGACAGTCAATAGGAAAGTGTTGGATAATACATAGGGGTTACTGCATGCACATGTATTGAATATCTGGTTTAAAGAGATTTTAAGTAAACACTTTGTTGTTAAAATCAACCTCATAGTAAGGAATTTTTTGTCTCTGCCTTGTGCTGAAGAATGCTAGGTTAATTGTATGTTCCTTCAAACTTTTTGCATGGAATGTATCTTGTTTGCATGTTTCTTCTATTTTGCAGTATAGAATAGTGTAGTTGCATGTGAAAAAGTATGAAATCAAGAAATATACCTTGAAATATGTCAGAATTTTTTTACTTACAAGCTCATCTGCAACCTTACCACATGAGAATATCATAAATGATTGCTATAAATTTTTCACACTTTTCAGCATGTACAGTTCTCCACTGCCATGTTAGTACTGAAGTAATTAATGGATAATCAATTCACACAAGCATTTTCTTTATGAAGAAGATAATGTTCTCATATTTTAGACTAGAAAGAGTCTATAGACTCAATTACAATTAATTGCAATTTTTATCAAATTTTTGACTAAAAATTAATAATAATATTCCGCTTTTATATAGCGCTTAATACATCTAGCTGTCTCTAAGTGCTTTACAGATATACTATTACCCAGTTCATTGGATTCAATACTTCCCCGCACATATTGTAGCATTTCAAAATTTATTTCTCACACTGACAACATGTTAGCACACATTTTTTATATATTTTTCCTGAACTCCTACCATTTTCTTTAACATCAATTTCCCCAGACTTTATTTCTTCAAAGATTTAGGGTTTGCTTGTAATTTGGTTTTAGGTTAGTTTTAGGGTTAGATATATATACTGTTCGATTCACCGTTGACAATGGGAATTTGGTCAGTGTAGGTTAGTGACCACAGACCAATCACCACTGGGGCATGTATCCTACAACCAGTTTTCTGTCAAAAAGTCATATTTCTCCCATCCATAGGGGCCAACCATTCCTATTTTGGAGGGAGCATTCCCATTTTTCAGCCTTCAAACTAATGTTTTAAACCTTAGGTTCTTTTGTTGTTCTTTAAACATATGTGTCAAAGACATACAAAATATACTAATTTTACCCTGAGAAAAACCCTAATTTTAGCTTTAGAAGATTTAGCTTTGGAATGATGGAAGGTATGTACACCTGGGCCCCCGTCTTACCAAGAGTTGATATCAATTGCAACTATGTACATAAGAGGTAGGAAACTGCAAACTTGCGATTGATTAGAGGACTTGCGATTGATTTGGATCAATCGTAAGTCTTTTTAAGACGGGGGCCCTGATCATTCATCCTTGTGTTTACACCATTCATTGCAGGAGGGATTCAGTCATCTGCATTCACACAGATGAACTCTCCGATGAGCATGGCAGCAAGGCCCCCTCTTCCTATCAGTGATGCAACCAAGAGAAGCTTTCATGCACAGTCACCCAAGACAGATATGCAGAGTGTGGATCTCACCAAAGTACCATCAAGTCCAAAGTAAGTTTTTTGTTTAGGCAAAAGAAGTTCTAGTTTGGTCCCAAAAGAATGGTTTTACCCATTATTACTACATTATTGAGGCAATTACTTACTGATGTTGTTATATTGGAGCACACCATGCCAGCACACATCCTAGGTACACCATATAAGCCTAGAATCTTCCATTGGTCTCGTGTCTGATGTGCATGTAGCAGCAAATTTAATATATTGTCCAGAAAACTGTCATTGGTTGGGGATTTGGGATAGTTATGAAATGGTTTGAGCTTGTACCTGCTAAATCTTAAGGCTGGTGAAACCTTGAAATACACCATCTCTTCAGAGTCAGAGGACATAAACTCTGTGGTAAAATGTAGGAGTTAACGCCTTCCTGGTTTTGAACAGACAAAATGTTACCAGTAATTAGAATATGGGATCTTCACTTCCAAACCAACTCGGCACCTACTCCAAACTGACCGATTCTTGGCCTTTCAGGGTAATATAATTTTTATTAGGACGGTCGTCAGTCTGAAGTCACGAGTCTCATTGGAGTGACTGAGGTATTAAAATTCTTCCTCAATGGACTTCGATTTGTCTGCAAGGTTAATGGCAAGGCATTAATCTTCATTTGCCACACTCGACCCAGGTGAGGTAAATGGGAACCTGGCAGGAATTCCTTGAAATGCTGGAGCGCTGTTAAAGCAGCTAGGCTAAAGCCGGGTTAATAATAAGTGCACCTCGGAATAGAATTTCTAGATAGACGGCGCTATATGTCTATTACTATTATTATTATAATGTATTAGCTTGTTAACCATTTGTTTGTTTGTTTACTAATAGCAGTCAGAGGAGGCTGTTGAACCGCCAGCAACAGGAGAGAAGTTCCATCTTTGGCGAGAGCCCAGGAGACGAGAACGCTTCACCCAGCGAGTTCCCGACCAGATCCCTGCAGCGCTCCACGTCAAGGGAGAAGCAACACCCCGGATCACAATCCATCCTGGCCTGGGAGGAGAAAGAACAGCAGGAGAACAGGTGAATTTTCTTTCTGTGATAATGGAGTACCTGGGACCCGTTTCACAAAGCCTTTTTTCAATGACAAATGACAGAAATCAGTGACAAATCTGCTGATAACCAATCAGAAGCAAGGATTTCAGTAGCTTATAACAAAGACTGTCATTTGTCACGAATGACAAGTTTTGAGAAATGGGTCCCTGAATATTTTACATTTGTGCTGTATGAATTCCATTGAATTGTGCATATATTTAAGGCAGATTTGAATGTTTTATGTCAAAATATGAATGTTTAGTATGAAAAGGAATTAAATCTCTTTGATTCTCAACATCTGATGTGAGGTAGAACAGACATGAGTAAGATTTGAAGCTTGCAGTGTAAAATGTTGGTGGGCATGTACTGAAACCATAAAGAAGTGAATAATTTCTCATAAATTGGTAATCTGTGCATGGTATCCTTACATACTACGATATGTTTACTCCATAGTACAGTTAAACCTGTCTTAGCGACCACCTGTCCATAACGACCAAATAAAACGATACCACTCTGTTGTATTTTTAGACGCCGAAAAAGAAACTAGCTTTGTTAGATTTATCGATCGGCTTAAAATGGCCAGCAACGCCAACCTGTCCACGACGACTGCTTTTAGTGTTTTCCTTGGGCGATGGCTATAGACAGGTTTGACTTTACTATGTTTTTCATATGAGAAATTGCACCAATGCATTTGATTTACTTTAATTTTGCCTTGTTTATCTTTCACCTTAGGACTCCTCAAAACACTGCAACCTTTACCAGACCAAGAAGATTACAAGAATCTCCAACAACAGTGAACATGATGTCTAGCCGAGCAGGCAGTCTCCTTGCTAATGTGAGCATCGATAGTGACATGAATGAGAGCCAAGACTTCTCAGGTCTAGACATTGAGATCAATCCCCTCCCAGAGAGAATGGGTTCTCCAAACTCACAGGGAAGTTATCAATCAGGACAGCAGCAGGGTCAGGACAGGTTAATGACCTTGACCCAGCAACGACCTGTGACCTCGGAGGGTCAGGTCGAGAGTGAGGACTTGGAAGTCGAGAGTTTGACATCGTCAAGGATGTCGCAGCAACAGGGAGGGTTTGGTGATCCCAAGGTTTCGTACAACCCCATGCTCACCCACAGAACTGATCCTGTTATGAATGGTGTCAACGGAAGTCAGGGAGCAGTGTCTAGTCCTGGGACCTTCAGAGGTAGTCAGAGAGAACATTTAGATAGTGCTATGAGCCCAGCGTCGGAAAATGGCGGTATGGATTCTACAATGTCTAGGAAGAATCTGAAGCTGGATGTCCATCCTGTTGATATTCTAGGCTCTCCTCGGGGTCCGACCAATGAGTTTATGCCTGCGATGGTACGACCATTGAAAGAGAAATCGCATCAGATTAGGAAGACGGATGAAAGGGGAGATCATATGAGGCATCGCAACAAGCACAGGTCAGGTGATCCTAGAATGAATGCTGCTTCTCAACAGTATCATGACCAAGGAAGTGATTCATCGGAGAGTGTGGATGCAACGACACCCCTGAGTGGAGAGAGCATTGCTGATTCCTTGGCAGGGGATCTTGCTCTGCAAAGGGCTCGCATTGCTAGAGGAGCCGGGGCTGGTGGCTTCATGTTGGCTCCTGCTGCTCAGAGTAACCAGCCTCAAGTAGCAAAAGGTAAACATGGTGAAGCATTCTTTATAAGTGGGAGCGAACAACTACTTCAAGATGATGATCACCACAGCTGTAGTGCTCCCTCAGGAAACAGGAGCTTCACTATAGCAGAAGGAGCCATGACAGTTGATGATGCGAAGGAGGCTGGAATTCCAGTGGTATCGGCATCCAGGTCTATGCAAGGTTTGAGTGAGCATGGTTTCCGCATGAGACCAGATGGAATGACGAGCAGTCAGTCTGACCAAGAGATCTACCAGCCGCACCCTCAACATTCCCACTCCTTCCAGAACCCAGTCTCTTCAGCCGCTGCACCTTCATCCTTGCCATATTCCATGCATGACTCTTATTCCAACCCTCATAATCCTCACCAGTATCAACCTAATCCACAGTTCAATCCCCAATCCTCTAACCCCCAGCATGCTAATCCTCACCATGGTAATCCTCATTCCAACCCCCATGGTAATCCTCACCATGACTTTCGCACCCACTCCCCGCACCATCACGTTTCTCAGCCTAACCCATACGGCCAGCAAGTCGACCCAGAGGCCTATGATCAACGTGGTGTCTCTACTTGGGGACACCATCAGCAGCAGCAACAGCAACAGTTTCATCCTCACAACACTAATCCAGGTATGTCACAATCCTTTACTAATCATTCTAACACTCCTACTAATCCAGACGTAGAGTCCCCCAAGCTGACGGCAGAGGCAGTCCAGTCTGAACATCAAGATAAGAGACCTGTTGCTATGGATTTCTTCCATGATCTTAGTCCTGTCCAGAAAGAAAATGGATATAGTCCTAGGGTGGAGAGAGATACGCCTGTCAATTTGTCACATACCGGTGCCATACTAACACAAGATCATGTTAACCATCCCAGTCCTGTTCAGTCACAACCGGTTGTAGATCAAAGGTCTGGTTCAGTTAGACCTCCAGTTCATGATATTCCCAATATCGAACCTCGTAATTCAATTGCACAGAACAGAAGTAGTTATACTAACCCACACACATTTGCAACAGATGTAGCAAATTTCCAATCTAACCAGTCTGCTTTCAGGGAACCTCCTAACCATTCTCTGACCACATGGTCTGCTAAACCTAAACATTCACCTAACACTGAATTTCCAACCACTCCCACTTCTTCTGTAACACCGATTAACACAGGTGCAGCAGGCAATGGATATCATATCAGTTCTGGAGACACGGCAAAGCCTAGAGATGGAAGTGTATCTTCATCGGAGTTGACACATGTACGACTCCGGCTAGAAGAGAAAAGAAGATTGATGGATTATGAGAGGCACAAGCTTGAGCGCACATGGAATAAGCAGAGGCAACGAGTTGGGAAGGCTGCTTTCCTGCAAGTGTTGGCCAACAAAAAACAGGAGAAAGAAGCCAACGGTGAAGGTCACTTAAGATCAGAACATCAAAGGAATATAGACAATGCTCACCGACCACAAGGGTTGACAACGTTTGCAGCCCTCAGTGCCAATCGTGAGAAGCCAACTCTGCAAGAACTTCCCATATCGGAACAAGAACAACACCAGCACACCATCCAGGAAAAACAATTGACACAGGCATACTTCCTGGCACAGCAGAACCAAATGTCCCAACAGCAAGGTCAGAGAACTCCTCTTAACCAACCTCCGCCACAGGCAGAACATCGCGCTCAGCAGCCCAGCCCGAGCCACATTGACCAGGTACAGATGGCTGAAGGTGGACGAAGGTCCAATGAGAGTCCAAGATCTGGCAGGGATTCTGATAGTCCACGTATGAGATCGGAATCACCAGGTCCCAGGAGAACTGAGAGTCCAGGAGGATCCAGTTCGGGGTCTCACTCACCGCACCTTACCCAGGAAGAGTATAACACTTCTCTGGAGAAGCTTAATGCTAATCTATCCCAGCTCCAGAACCAGATTATGAGGTTATCCTTACAGCAAGATGAAATCAAGAAAGGCATGCATGAATCTCCTAGACAGGTTCAAGATTCACCAAGACAGGTTCAAGATTCACCGAGACAGGTTCAGGAATCACCGAGACAAATGGGACAAGAAGAACATGGTGATTATCGAGATAGCCCAGAGCACAGAGATGTTCTAAGAGCTCCATCACAACCTCAACAGGACACTGCTGGTCAAATGACAGGGTTCTACATTGATAGTGGGGAGCAAAGGCCTTCAGAACAAGATCCCTATGTCCTGGAGGAAAATCCTGCATTCAATATACCACAGGGACAACAAAGAATTAGTCCCCAAGAAATGCAGCATATGCAACAGTCACCCCAAGGATTCTCCTTATCACAGCATAACCAACCAACAGACAATTTTAATGAAAAGCAAACGGCCAATGCTCAAAGATTATCAGACGTCACGTATGTAAAGTCAGAGATGAACGATAACAAGTATATTATTCCAGACCATCTTGAACAGGATGATGTTGTTGCGAATGTACACATGGAAAGAACATACAGTGGTCATAATCTGAATTTAGAAAATGAGAATCAGTCACAACTCAAGCACATGTCAGCTGAAGAAGAAGTTCATTCACCTCCAGCGAATCAGAAGAAAGGTCAGCCTATCATGGCCTTTGACATTGATTTTGGATCTCCTAAGCAACCTCGAGCTCCTCCAGCTAACCAGAGAAAGAAGGAAGCACCACCAAAGAAAGTTCAGGAGAAGAAAACGTCGCCTCCGAGGACTCCTGTCAAGAAGCAGGCTCCTCCATCTGTTTATGAAATCGTAGGTGAAGGGGAAGAAGACGTTCTTGTTCAAAGTGACATGGTAGTGCGCCCTCTAGAGCCTTTGAATATGAGCAAGGATGATGATGCCGCTGATACTAGTGGGATGGCTGCAGGGTTTATCATCGGAGAGGATGACAAGGTCAGTCAAATTCTTAATGGTTATACCGTTTTATGTAAATATGACTTCACATTACACAAAGCTGTCCATTGTTTCGGGTAACAAGATGATGAAAAAGCATTTTCCTTGTTCAAAATAGTTGGAAACAGGGCATGCAAATCCTCTCTTAAAATGAAAACGATAGCCATTTCCGTCAGAGTTTTGTACACTTTTTTTTCTGACACTTGTCACTGGTCAGGGCCTGGGGCACTGATAAGTAGAACGTCAAAATATGTAAAGTAATCTCTTTAATCTCTCTTGTCGTTGAGTTCATGATGTTTCTGTAACCAAGTGAACTCATCTTTCCAGTTTTGTTTTAAAAATTAGCTAACTTAAAGGGATTGGGTATCTTTGCCTCAGATTCTGAACAAAATCCTGGATTTGGCTCTTGCTGCAATCATATTTATAAACCTTTAGGTCAGTCAGGAATCCCATGACTTTTACAAGCCGATTGCCTGTCTGATTATCAAGATATTTACGATTGAAATTTCAAAAATCCGTTTTCCCAATGGTTTAACACTACCGTCTATTGGGGGAAAGGAGTATTGTAAAACCAGTCACTCAAAGATTTTTACTTTTTTGAGGCACTTGTTGATCATTTTGAAGCGCAATTTGTTCTGGGCTTCAATATTACACCATATCACAGACACTTATAACACGTAGGGCCATGCATCTCAGGTTTGTAAAACTGGAAACATTGTTAAACAATGCCTTTAAACATCTTTGTCTTGAATTGCAACCTTGGTATGGTAGGCTCAGGATGAGTTGGCAAAGAAAAAGGAGATGTTCCTGAAGGCTCGTCTAAAGAGAGAAGAGGAAGCTAAGGTCAAGAAAGCATCCAGAGAGGCTGAAGCAGAGAGGAAGAGGGAGGAGCTTAGGTAAGATACCTTCCATGTAATACAGAATCTAATGTCTATTAAACATCTAGTAGTGTTAAGATTACCGATCCTGTCAACATGAGGAATAGACCAGTTTACGGTCAGCACATGTCCAAAATGACCCTGAATACCCACAGATTTTCAAAACTTAAAGAGGTCCCACGATGTACATTTTGAAATAATCACTCCTACAGCGATGGATGTGCTACATAAATAGCTTTTATTTCCCCTTTTCAAAGAATACTTCCACCTGTGTATCATGGAGTACACTGCTTGTGCATAAATGAATAACTATTACATAACTTTCATATCCAGTACTTTGTCTCTATGTATTTCACAATTTGGTCTGCAATGGCCTTTATCTGCTCATGCTCAAACTGCAACTATGAACTGGCTGATTATGATCCCTATTCTAACTGATCACACTTAGCTGTAGAGTTGATTCTAGTCACATAAGAAACTTCCTGTAGTGTGGTCACACTAGCAAATATCAGTGGAATCAAATTTACCAGAATTAAATTTCTCAAAATTTAATGGAAATATGGAAGCTTCACTTGTAGTTTCTCAGGCAATTTACCTTCCTACTGGCAAAACTTTGGAAAGATACTCTTTCTGGCAGATTTACAACACCTTATTGTGTTTGAATCAAGATTACTTGAAAAAGACACATTTCTCACTCTCTTCCTCGTCTTGTAGGAAAAAGCAAGAGGAAGCTGAGATGAAGAAGGCAGAGCAAGCAGCCAGGAGAGAACAGATTAGACAGGAATACCAGAGAAAGAAACAGGCAGAATTGGTGAGTCAACATTCTATAAAATATCCCTTATTAGTAGCCCAAGGCCCCATTTCACAAAACTTGTCTGATGTCATCAGTGACAAATGACAGTTTTTGTTATAAGCTACTGAAATCCATGCTTCTGATTGGTTATTAGCAGATCTGTCACTGATTTTTGTCTTTTGTCATTGAAAAAAGGCTTTGTGAAACGGGTCATGCCATCGAAACTAACTGTAATAAAATATAACTTGTTTTAAAGGGGACCTTCAAGAACTGTGTTAGATGGGGTCTTTGTGAATGATTGTTTTCTTTTTTTGTGTGTGTGGGATGCATAGATCTTCATCAGGTTGATTATAAAGTGTCGTAAGATGCTGCTCCGTGGCAAAATTCAACTCTGTAACAATATAGGTCATATGAGGTATGAGGAAACGATTGTGTTGACCATCATACTTTGTAACCAAATTTTCTTTTGTGCTTTTTATGTCTCAACATTTTAACTAAAACTTTGGTCTAGATTTCTGCAGGAGGTTCTTTCCACAGAAAGTAGATTCTCTGAACCGTCTTGCTGCAGTTTGATTCTCATGTTTTTTATTTGAACGTTGTGGTGATGGATTGATTTCATCCTGCTTCACATCATGGCTGCGTATTATAAAGAGTTATGATTAATCTTAAGTTTGATCAATACACGATGAGCCATAGACTTACGATCAATCAAAAGGCTTTATAATACATGGCCCATATCATACATCATACATTTCCCCCTTATTTGCATATCTTAGGATCCTGACAGTGTGCCACCACCCCCAAGAAAGCAGAAGTCATCCCGACCCCGCCCCAAGTCACAGATGGTTACATCAGACAAGGGACCAACACACAGTCATGGCTATACTGCTCTGGATGGTGCCTCAGACATCGGACTCAGTAAGTTTATCACTTGTACAGATCTACTTGTAGTGCTGGTATGGACTTTTCTTTAGAAGAACAATGTGATAGGTTATTGTAGCATTTGTGAAGATTCTTGTATGAAATCTGACATTAATTGACATTTCTAAGTCTTTTGCTTAACCTATTTTCGACTCGATTCTCCCAATCTCATAGGCTTAATAGTTAATACTCTAGAGCAAGGTTTTCTGCCAGAATTTTTCAAGTGCTTTGCTGAGATGATTTTTCATGATGTAGAAAGGATGCAATGATATGATGGCATGCATCTTTGTAATATTCATGATATCCATGCTCTTTCTATTTCTTAATAAAGAAAATATAACATTTCAACATTTCATCTTCAGAACGTTTCTAAGTAGTTATTGCTTTGTATGTATCTTGTGTGCATTATGATGATACATGTATTGCTACTTGTACTTTGTAGGTACCAGTAAACTTTGTTTCTGCCATTGCTTTAGTTTGGGAATCAGTGCTTTGCAGGGTGCTACATTTCTTGTCATGGATTCATGATACATTACCTGATACACAGGCTCCTGAACACTCATTTACCTTCGCATACATGATATTTACAAATCTTGATTTAGAATTTTAAAACAGAATTCATTTGATCATCGTTGAACGCCACCTGTTTTGCTCTTGTGGAGCAAGCAAAATATCTTTGAAAAACTCGCCTTCCTGACGAGAATTCTAGCCCACAGCCATCGGGCAAATGCTTCATGTAGCACCATGCTATATGTCCATAGATTGCTTTCGTCTTTGGTGGCTGTCCCTCGGATCATAGTGCATGCAAACACCCCTACATGTCCAATGTACTATCCACCCATATTCAGGTGTACAGAAGAAGTCTTATACCATACAGTCATCGGCCGAAGGGGAAGCCCCTGTAGCAGGTGCTACAGCAGGTGCCACAGCACCCCAGCCCCAGGGCTCTGGTATGTAGCTCATCTAAGTGTTGTGTGGATTCATCGTCATCACCAACTTAAACGTTTCTACCCCCAATACATCGTGTGCTTATGCTCATATGTTTATTCCCAGAGTTCTTATCATGTAACCGTGTGGTGTTGTGTGTTGTTGTTACTAACAATTTGACTTTTAGAGGAATTAACCCATCCCAAAAAACAAAACAAAAATACATATATATTTCCAGATATATTAGCAGTGGAAATATGAACTACAAGATGCATTAACATTTAATAAGGCAAAAACAACGAAAAAGTAAAGTAGAAATATAGAAAAGGAGCAAATCGCATGTATTTACAAAAGTGCCTCATATTTTAAATGTCCAAACCTTGATAGAGATTGTTTCTCAGTAACAGATTGAAGTTTGTTTAGGTCTCAAAGTATAAGATGGCGAGAAGAAATCAACAGTTTTAGAGACTAAATAATAAAGGCCTGCATGATGCTTGTACCTCAAATGTCTTGGGTGCTGAAGAGTTTTAAGCTGATTTTCAAGGGACTATCATTGATATTAAATTTTTCACAAATAAATCGATCATAGATTTTGGATTAACTGCTGAGTCTGAGAATTTGTTCATGACCATTAACATGATTTTGACTTCAATATGATGAAGAACACAATGTGTATGGTTGGTGTGATTGATTTATAGCACTAACCACATGTGTCAGCTAAATTTTGAGATGCAATACTCCTCAACATGTGAAAATGTAAATCACTGATAAACGTTTTGTTTAATTAATTTTTAATTTATTTGTGTTTTCATTGTCTCAACTTTTCAGCACACTAACCACTCACTTTCTCTTACAGACCAGCTTTTCCTTAATCAGTGTTTGTTTTGTGTTTTTATGTTATGTGTTTTTATGTTTTGTGTTTTTATGTTTTTGTTTTTGGTGTTTCTAATCATTCTTTCCTCATTTATTTCCCAGTGTGATGTTACTTTCTACTGCAAACATGTTAAATTGAAGTGGAATTTAAATGAAATATGATGTCGTACAATAATTATTGCTCCCTTCTCTGATCATTAATAATTGAAGGAACTCAGAAACTGTAGTTTTCGCCATAGAACTAATTTTGCTTATCTTAACACCTAGCTATCTCTCTTTCACAAACACAAAACCTGTAATCTTATTTGTGAACAAAAAATAAAATGTCACACCATCCATGTCTTGACAAAGCTTTTGCACTTGCTCCATGCACACTGTATGAGATATATAAATATCAAAAAGGGAATGCACTCAAAATAAATACAAAGTATGAATTCATGCATTTTTTTAAAAGAAGAGAAATAAAGAGAGTGAATAGTGATGTCTTCTTTATTGTCAGTGCCTATTCAAAATGAAGATATGTACTTTTCCTTGCCTGCCTTAATGGTTGCTTGATTCATACTGTATGGGGAGTGCGGAGAATTAATTTGGAGGGTGTTTGTTTCTCATCATTCGTTTTCATCAATCATTGAACTGTAGCTTATAATTCCACCCTATCCTCTCTTTCTTTCTTTTTTTCCCCTGAAATCTATCATACCCACCTCTGCCCATCAACAGAGAATCAATCAAAAGCTCCAGCTCCTTCACAACAAGGAGACGCACCCCATCCCCCGCCCCAACCCGCACCCCAGGGGGCTGTTGCGGCCCCTCCCCAATCATCATCAACAACACCCCCATCTACAGCATCTCCCGCACCAGCCGACCAAGGGGCCAAAAAGTCCCCCTCCTCTGTACGGCGCATCCCAGAGGCTGTCAAACGCAGACCCCCTTCCCCCAGACCAAGGTCTAACACCCTACCCGGTAATCTGTCACCGATGCGCTCCCCAGAGAAACCTATTTCTCACAACCTCCCTCAGATTCAATCCCCTGAATCAGGGGCTGTTGTGGTGTCACCACAAGAGGGAGCTGTTGCCAATGTTTCTCCGAGCGTAGCATCCCAGGAGAGCAGTGGCTCCGGTGGAAGTCAGGCGGCTGATTATGCTGGTTCGTTTTACCGTCTCAAGTTTGCTCGATGTTTGCCTGCCGCAATATTTATTTTGCATGGACTACTAGAATATGCAAGAGTTGTATCAATCAAAATATTAAAATCTACAAAGCTCTAGTCTTAGACTAGCCCAGTATTACCTGCCTGCATGAATGTAATTTTTTTCTACATGCTAAACATCTACCGGTACTCTTCTCCCTAAACAAGAGCTCAACCGCAATGAGATTCTCCTTCCAATTATTCATTTACTTTAACCTCTAATTTGCTTCTTTCTTACCTCTCTCCCTCCTGATAAATCTAAAGCAAGGTTATGAAATACCAGTCCATCTAATCTTCATTTTAGTTTCTTTTATTTGGTTTGATGTGATGCTTGTGGTATATAGGCAGGTTTTTATTGTGATATTTCATATATTTGTTCTTTGTAAGTGCAAAATGATTTTGCATGAATATTATTTTGTATGCATGTTACATCTGTCTTTTTCTGTTTGTTTTTGGTACTCTCATGTATTATGCAGTTCATATTTTAATGTAGGTTGTATACATGCAATTGTTTTGTTTGAATTTATACTTATTATTTGTCACTAACATTCAAGATTATCCACAAAAATATTTCTCTAACATTGTTCATGATTAATATCAACCAATTATTGGTTGGTTGTTAGTGTTTTATCATTGAATATTATCATCAAATATTATCATGTAAGCATGAACACAGATGATTCAACTTTATGAATAATACCTTCCATATCTCATCAATATATAATTCCATAACATTTTCATATTGATGTTTTGATACTTACTTTTATATTACCCTGGCATAAAGAATACCTTATAGAAAACAAAGTTAAAATGTGGAAAGTTTTGTGAGCATTGCGGTTGCCACATTTGCTTTGTTGAAGGTATGTGTTAGAATGAAGTAATAGTTGGCTTGTGTTTGGAAAATTCAACAACGTTATTTCATTCCTGAAGACAAGTGATGATCTTTTCTTCATCAGTTGTCTTCAGGAATGAATTTAACCTGCTATTATCCTTTGTACTCCAATTGCAAGAAAGCAAATTGCATAAATAAGTTGGTGCTCTCTGGGGTGAAGGTTTCTCATAAATGCAATAGATTTGGCAACTGTTCCCCTGTTACATGTATATAGTTTTCACCAAATATTAATCCCTACCTTCTCAGCTATGATTTTTCCTCATTGGAAAATGAAGGTCTTGTTAATGATTTAAAAAGTCTTTTGAACTAAAGCTTGGTGCATTATAAACTTAAACTGGTACGTCACATTTTCAAGAAAATGGCTGCGCCCATGTCATGCTAAAAGGCATCATAAAATGCCAAGAATATATTCATTTATATATCTCCTGTAAAACAAAAAAGGGCCTGCAAAATTGGTGGACTTCAGTGCGTTAAAGTGTTTTCCTTATTCCCTTTTTCCTGACTTCAAATCTACTGGGTGTGTTGTTCTAAACTTCATGATTGTTAGCCAGTTCCTTCCCTCACTGTTATCCCCATAGTTGATTGTTGGCAAAAAGTGTTGAAGTTTGTTGATGTGTTGTTTTGATGTAGTGCAAACTTGTTTTATTTGTGAAAAAATGACTTGATTTGAAAGGGAACCAGTAATATATATATATATATATATATATATATATAACTATATATATATATATATATATATATATATATATACATTTTAATTCAAATAATACAATGATAAAGACACATTAATTTTGTTAGATGTAGTACGCAATATGAGTGGTTTAACCAATTAAAATTGTAGGCAAAATATGCAGGGAGGATAGAATGATAAACACCTGACTAGAATTGCAAAATTGCTAACTCTACATATGATATTTATCTTTTAAAAACATGGAAATATATACAAATTTGATGAATTTCCAAAATGGTTTTTGTAGGGAATGTAGTACCTGGTACTCTTTATAGTATATCACATTAAACAAGTCCAAAAGGGTTAAACCTTCCATGATTTGTTAAATATTCTTAGGAGAGACCCACAGTTGTGTTGTACATTGTACACACTGGGATAAATGAATATGGAGAAGCAATGAAATGGGTAATGCATCCTTAGAGTGTTAAAAGGAATTTTATGAAGGGTTTTGGACACTCTCGAGTCTTGATAACATTTAGAGATTCTCTCTCCCTCCCAATGTCACAGGTCCCAAGCTGTTTGTGAAACCAACCAGTAAGTCCAATCGTCACATCATCATCAATGCTATCTCTCACTGCATCTTGGCAGGAGTCGTCAATGAGAAAACCAAAGACAAAGTTCTACAGGTACAAAGCATGTATATACCTACTTTGCATTAAGTACAGTACAAGGACAGTATCAAGACAAAGTTGTAATTGCTTAGAACTAAAACCAGAGTTATTCTCCTTGCCTTGATATATGAGGACCCCAAGACTTGACTACATTACTGACCCAATAATCACTGCTGTCAAATGATATCAACATTTTTTTATTTATTTACCGGTATTTATTTATTTATTTATTTATTTATTTTTATTTATTTATTTTTTTTTTTTTGGGGGGGGGGGAGGATGGTACTTTCAAATTCCATTTCATTTTCAGGTGCTTGCACAATATTAGGGTAACAACTCCTTTTTTATACCAACATGTACAGCAAGAGCATAGAGGTACACTCATACAATTTCAATATCATCGCTTTGATGATCTCATATTATTTGGATAAAAGGAATAAAAAGAAGCAGTGGTTTTAATTGAGAGATTTTGTGCTCACAATTTCGACGACGGTATCTTTAGAGGAAAATGCCAGTTTCTGTTTTTACCCATGTCCATTCATCAATTCTCTCCCCCAACAGGAAATTGCCAAGGCAGACCAGAAGCATTTCATGATCTTGTTCCGTGATCACAGCCTTCAGTTCCGATCCCTCTATAGCTTCACTCCAGAGTCCGAGGAACTGACCAAGGTCTATGGTACAGGTCCGAGGCATATCACCAATAAGATGACCGACACTCTCTACAAGTAAGCAAAATTTGCTCTGAGGAGTGGATGTGTGTTTCTTACAATGTGTAACAGAGGTTCTACAAGTACATGTATATATATTATTGAAAACTTACATGAACATATCTCTAGATAGATATATAATTGCATTGATAGACAGATATGTGGATGGGTAGATAGATAGATAGATAGATAGATAGATAGACAGGTAGGTAGATTGATTGATAATAGAAATAGATAGAAAAATAGAGAGGTAAATAAATAGATAGATACATGTAAAATGGTAGACAGATTGATTGATCAACTGATTGATAAGCATAAGATTATTCACTAGCTGCTAGACCATTAACTACCGTATGATGTTTTTAATTATGTTATATGTTTTTGTTTGATTTTGTTTTTTTCCAGATACAACTCTGGTGGGAAGCATTTTGCCAAGGTTCCATCCAAGTCCCTGTCAGTGCAGATTGACGGTGTCACAATCAGCAGTGCCTTCTGGCAGTCCAAGAGAGCAGTCGCCACAAAGAAATAGTAGTACAGGTCAGGTCAAGGGTTCAAAGGTCAAAAGGTCAAGTAGTGTCGCCATCCAGAACTATCATCGGTATGTGACTTGTCAGAGGTGAAAGATTGGCATTATATTTAATGAAACTGAGAGATTTAAGTATGATGATTGAATTTTTATGATGTTAAGTGGGTCAGAGGTTAAAGGTTAAAGGTCAGGTGATCTTAAGTGAATACCTCCATGATTCTTTTTTCCACATGTAGTTGTAATCAACTAATTCATGCATGGCTGCCATATTCAACTCATAGTTTATGATGGACTAGACTTAGTCCAGTATCACAGTCACGTGCCATACACGTGCAGATAAATCTGCGGAGGTCGTCTTGATGAGGTCAGTTGTCGTCATGGCAATGGTACTGGAGTGAGATAATGTATGTATGGCTTCTTGTGATACATTAAGATTCACAGTGTATGAAATATTGAATGGCATCCTAGACTCTTTGTCTGAGTGAAACCATATGAAGACAATTAAATGTGGTTATCAACATTCAAGTAACCTTGTCTCTTTGCTAGGCTTCATGAAATGAATACTTTGTACGAATCACATGATGTGTTCAGATCTGTAGTGTATGGTATAGTATGGTTTCATCGCTCGAGCGATACTACATCTACAAGGCAATGTTGAATGTTTGTTAATAACAAGCATTTGTGGCTATGTGTACAGGCTACGCTGTATTGAAATGCTTGCAAAATGATAAACACTGGGTACAAATTATGTGCTGAACATACATTTCTTTATTTGATTTACTAGTAATCATTATTGATTGGCAATATCGATCACATTCTTGATTCGTTGACAACAAATATGGAATATGTCTTTATTTGGATGCAGTTACATTATATGATACCAAACTGCTTTTAACCATGTGCAATTAATGTGTTGAATGTGAAACACATCTACTATAGCTTGTATATAGCTAAATGTCTCTCTTTCTCTTTTCACTGTGAAATATTTACAAACCTATTTATTACCAGCAACATATGCACAGAGTTCAAATCAATTTTCATTTACGTTACTACTTATGGTGGTTTGGCAACAACAAACATGTTGAATATAACCTATAATGTTTATCATAATGATATGTAGGAGCAAAACACACTCTGCCTTTTGAGTGATGGATTAATAGAAAGCAGATTTTTCTTTTCGTCACAAGTGGAAATAACTTTTGTACTTACATGCTCAGTAATGCTGTAATCTTTTTTTTTGGATATACTGTGTATTTGCTTTTATCATATGTTCTCTTCATTTCATTTTATGTCATGCACAAATTTAGAAGTAGGCAAGAAGCAAAATCTTAACATTAATTTTGGATGATTAAGAGCTCTCATACTGACAAAGTGAAAAAATGTATTAGGAAGATAAAAGACAATGTATATTCAATATTTTGCCATGGTACCAATGTTTCTTCACCCTTTTGGTATTATTCGAAGTTCTGTGTTATAAAGGACCATTCAAAAAGATATCTCCAAGGACTTTAAAAGTAAGTTATATTCTTGTCCCATGTAGATGATGAGAATATTCATATTATTGATAGGTGTATTGTGAACTACACTATGGCTTTGATACCCATGCTTTTTCTTTCAATTTACTGTTTCTTATGACTTATTGACTTTTCATTGTTTTGTAATCATGCTTGCTTTTGCAGCTAATTAGATTCCTTTGTGCCTTGTTTTTGTCCTATTGATATTGATGCACACAGACCCTAATTGGGGGGAGACAGTATATTGTAGTGAATGTAATGAATTTCAAAAACAGCCATTCATCCTGTGAATGCGTACCCTAATTTTATTGCTAAATTTTTCAAATAATATAATTAACTTTATGATGTAATCCTTCATTTTCACGTGTTGTGATAACAAATTTCATGCGCATTTTATATCTCAAAATGACTTAAAGGTAAACACACTATTGCGCTGACCCCCTCAAATGTTTATAGTCCTTTAGTTTGCAGTGCAATTTAATATGTTTTTTTCTCTGCAACACTGTTTTCTTTATTCTGTTTGTTATCAATTGTAGAGGTGTAGTTTTAACATATTGGGCTGATTTTGGTCAGCTAAACTTATAAGGATTCATTCTGCATGAAGATATGTGATGTACATTATTTGGGTGAAATGTTCTGAACTTATTTATTCATGCACTTTTTGTTCCTAACACTGCATGGCCTACATTGTATACTTAAGGTTGAAGGACATTTCTTCACGTCATTGTGGAAATACATTGCACTGAGAAGGTTACTAATTTTGAGGTCCCTCTTGAATTCATTCATTTTGGATGGCAATTGACAAGACAAGGAAAATGGGATATCTTTCTTTTTCTTGTGACTTTTTGGAATTAATTGAATGATTCTAGTAGAGATATTTTGTTTTTATTAATGGGTGTATGTAATAATAACCAACCAATCTAGTCAATAGACGATCTTCACTTTATTTTTTACACAAAAATACTGATTGACAATAGAGGAGCATTTATTTATTTTTTATTTGTAATGTAGAAGCAATATACTTGTTTAATTATATGTTATTTTGCTGGTGTGTCTATCATTAGTTTACTAGAAAGCTAGTTTGTTCATGGGCTTCCATTTATTTATTTTTGCTTGCAAAATGATCAAGTGTGTTATTTTCTGAGAATTATTTTTACGTAGCAAAAATTCATCTTGTGTTTCATTATTGCATTTCATTATTGGAATGATTGCATAATATGAAGTGTGTGGATAGCTGTTTTTAATGTGGAAACTGCTCCAGATGAGAAAACTCCTAGTTCTTTTACTTTCTCCTCTTTCCCATTTCTGTCTTTTCTTCTTCTCCCCATCATTGCTATTTTTACATCTTAGTTATGTCTTTTCTTTTCCTCTCGGCACTTTTTCATACATGTTGGTAATTTCTTCCGCCCCCCCCCCCCCCCCCACCCTTCTCCTTCTCTATCTCTAATTCTTTCTCTCTGGCATTCTTTACCTAATTGATTACATCTGTAAGGGTTCAGAAATGTAATTACTGCCTGGCCCTTTTAGAAGGTTTTCATGCAGTAGAACTTTTCCATGCTGAAAATATCTTACTTTTTTGTTCATCTGAAACATGAATGAAATATCTGTGCAACGTCAGTGATGCAACCAATAATATGTGTATATTTGTTTGAGATTATACATATTCTTATGTTTATCACATTTTTGTTATTTTCGGTACATTGAATTCATCATTTTTATTTTCATTTTGCCTTTCTCTCTCTCTCTCTCTCTCTCTCTCTTGCTTGGTGATAAAGATTACTTTGGCTTTCTCCATGCCTTGTGACATTCCATCATTTATTTTTTTGTGCTAAAAGAATATCTATCTACCTGATAAAAGTTGGTCACCGTTCCCTTTCTTTCTATTCAATACTCTCTTGTATTTATGTTAAGAAGTAATAGATAAGGCAAAACATTTGCACAGTTATAATTGTATCTACTTATGGTAATATATGAATGTACCGGTATGTAGGTAAAGTGGCGATGTGACGTTTGTACGTGGGATCATCTTTCTTTTTTTAATATTAATGTTTCATAACCTTGTGTAAAGTAGATCATGAAGTTTGTATATAATGCTGTACATAATATATTACTTTGTACATAGAATAGTGTCAAATTTGAGTTGTGTACTATAAAGTTGCATTGAATTCAAATGCGGATGTACAGATGGATGTATTTAATGCCTTGTATAGCTCCTATTAACGGGACACGGAGAACATGCTGAAATTCAGAGTAGAATTAACGACACCATTGAAGGTTTTAAACAAGAGTTATATCGCCTATTTGCCTTTAGCATAGATTTTATCAAATATATTTAGAGTTGATTTATTATAGAGAAAATATGATTTGAGATTCTGAGCATGTGCGATTTATTTTTTGGGTGAAATTTCATTGATTTGTAAATGCTGATTTTGATGCATTCATGTATATGTTAATTCTAGCCTGGCTGGCCGACATTTAGTTGTATTTTGAAAGTCTATTCACTTGTCAATAATGAGAGCGCACATGATCGTGGGAAAACATTTGTATTTTAGGAATGTTGAGGATCGATACTTTGATCATCCATTTAAAATTCAAGAATCAGAACTGTTAGTGGTAGTAATAAATGCCTTGAAAACTAGAATTCAGAAGAGACATATTAGCTATATTAATGCAGAGTGGTTGGTAAAATATTAAAAAGAGATTTTAATAAAACAGGACTTGTCATGGAATATCCCGGATAAACTTAGGAATGTCTACAGCAATTATTAGCGAGGATGGACTATACTCATTGATCGCATCTGTACGCCTTTAGTTCGCTAATCTATTTATATAGTGTCTCCATCGTTCTAAATAAAATCTCATGAGACAAAATTGACATTAACTCCTTTTTGAGAATGCTATCTGCCTTAATGTTTTTTAATAGGAAGTTGATACTTGCACATGTAGGTCGTGTAATCATTCTCTCACATTAGAATGAATGTAGCTGTGTACAAAATCACCAAAATTGTACAACACTCATTAAACCAAATCCATGGATTAACAGTTGAGTTGCAAAGATTTATTTAATTATTGCTATCTGGAAATAATCTATGGTGTTGACGACATTCACATGTTCCCTGTATAAACTTTGTGGTTTTATATTTCATTGAAAAATGCAAAAACCTGAAAGTTATACATCATACTTTGTACCCGCGTGTATATTGACTCCACTTCATGCATTTTCATACTTAATTACATGATCATACTTGATGCATTTGATTTCAACTATATGTATTGTATTACTCTGATGGTAAAGCTTGCATTAACTGTAGAATCTGAGTCATGATTGAAAACAAAACATTGAATATAGGACAACAATTTGCAATCATTTCAACTGGAAGTCATTTTACATAATTTTACATAATTATATTAGTTTCTCTTAGATATTGAATTATCAAAATATAAAATAACATGGATCACAAACTATTCTGATGTGTAGAAAAGAAAATAATTTCATTTTTTTCCCTCAACAACTTACTGTAATACATTTAATGCAATGAGTGTAAACTGTATTCTGATATAGCTTTCAGTTAAAATCAGATCAAATCTTTCAATTAATAAGTTAATGTCTTACATTTAATAAAATGCATGTTGTCATTAAGAAGTGAATGTTAATGTACCTGAATATGCCCGATTTGATACACACACGTACATGTGATTGTGTCCGATTTAATGAATATATTTGTTATAAAAACGCTGCCAAAATGCTAGTATGTAAATCGGTTGATTTTCCATACTTCAGATTCAAATAAACCTATCTAGTTGTGTTTTGTCTTTCTTAAAGATATGCTAAAGGTATAATACTCGCCTGTGTATAGTCAATGCCATGTTTTCCAGAAATGAATGGTGTTTGAGTGTTAAAGAAACAATAGATATTGTGCCCGTTAATGTTGTAGATTTTAACTGTTATTTCTTTGTCTGTAAAAAGTCCCACTTGTTGTGTGCATATACAATGTATAATTATTGTAAACAAAATGGCTGGATACATGTGTGCAGCATTAAAATATGGAAAATAATTATGAACAGAAACATAGAATTGTGTAATTTCTTTTTATTTGCATTATCATTCTAAAATATTTGATGAAACATTATATTTAAGATAACATAGAAGATCAAAGAGGCTCTGAATTGTTGTCATCCGAAGATTTAAAATAGTTTTTGACAAAAAATTCTCTTAAAGCTATTCTTTCTCTTGTAGATGAAGATATACTTTATTTATTTGGCAGTCTTAAATTGAAATATCACATTTGAAGTACATAAAGTATGTTAGATTATTGCATAACCATGCATGAATTGATAACAGTTCCTCCAAATGCAATCAGCTTATATGAATGAATCATTTAAACATGAGCATTATAATATGCAGGCATCTGTATGTGTATTTAGTTTGACAAATAGCCTATGTCAATCAAAATATGAATCTCGCAAACAATCCTTCATATCCATGAATATAAAATCATCAACTGAAAATAATTGACAAGAAAACGGCAGGCCTGAACATTAACTCTCAACATTACTTCCGCTATAATAAGCAAAAATAATCAGTAGATATTGCTTTTACACAAGTGTAGTTTCACACACATAACAAAAATTGCAAGAGTTATCAAAACAAAATGATATCCAAACTGTTGACAAACTTGATTTTCATATTATTGTTCCAGCATTGAAATAATAACATGATCATCCCTTCGTTGCCACAGCATTTCTCCTTCAAAATCGATCTGTCCTTGCTTTCTGGCACGCATCAAAATCCCGACCAGTTTATTTGAAATATTCGAGTACACATCGAAAAGCTTCCCAAAGCGAATCCAATAACGAACTTGCCCATCATCGGTGGCCTGTTTTTGCCCATATTGTTGCATAATGCCGACGAGTTGCTTGATCTCGCCGCTGATGCGCTCCCCAGCCTTCTGCCCTCGTATAGCCGTCATCGAGCCTTCGACGGGGCGGGCGTAGTTGGGGTCGTCTTTGTCGAGTTTTGTCCTGGTGGACGACCCCGCCCATTCCGAGAAAGGGTTGATGAGTTGTTTGTGTTTGTGCTCGTCCTCGACATGTTTCCACTTGGCTATCCTGCTGCTCAGGCTTCCACCGGCCACCTCTCCCGTCCCATCGTCATCACCAGGGAGAGCGTTTTCTTCTTCGAGATCCATCTTGGACCGGAAAAGTTTTCTAAGTTCTCTAGAATCCTGAAATCATCTGTAAATGAATAAAAAATATCAGGTGAACTGTGACGAAATTCACTCAAGCCTCGAAGCCTAAGGACACCACCACACACAAATACACGCACACACAATAATATTAACTCACCAGTTGCTCTATCCCCAGACGGATCGAGTATCTCATTTATAACATTTTCTCATTTACAAAATTATTAATATAGGAATGTTGTAATTTCATTTAAGACACGTTTCTGCAAGGATTTTTGAAACAAATGTTTGAAGTCAAATATTGATGAAAGAATACAATATTTACGTTTTCTAAGTACAGAAACCCCAAATTATGTATAGGCCTAACTTTTATCAATATCTTACACGACGTCTTCATTCACATTATAATAAATTTTGCCGATCAAATTTTTGGCGAATTGGGGTTCCCACCCCCCCCCCCCCCCCCCCCTTTTCCGGGGAAAGAATACAATATTTACGTTTTCTAAGTAGAATACAGAAACCCCAAATTATGTAGATCTAGGCCTAACTTTTATCAATATCTTACATGACGTCTTCATTCACATTATAATAAATTTTGCCAATAAAATTTTTGGCGAATTGGGGTTCCCACCCCCCCCCCCCCCTTTTTCCGGGGGGGGGGGGGGGGGGACTCACATATTAGGACATACAGGGGGTGCCGCTCTAATGGGTAACCTTTTCACACAAAAATCCCTAAACATGGGTCCCACTTTGGCGCTAGTGTAGCAAGGTATCCAAAATATAGCTAGTGTAGCAAGGTATCCAAAATATAGCTTACTAAAACAGACCTCAAATTTTAGACCCCAAATTTCGTGTTTATCATTATCTCTAGGGTTAGGGTTAGGGTAAGGGTTAGGGTTAGGGTTCTAGGGTTAGGGTTAGGGTTCTAGGGTTAGGGTTAGGGTTAGGGTTAGGGTTAGGGTTAGGGTAATGATGACCACAAAATTTGGGGTCTGTTTTAGTAGGCTATATTTTGGATACCTTGCTACACTAGCGCCCCCACTTTTAACAACCATAACAAATCAGACTGTTTTTCAAAATTTCCAAAATTTCCATAACACCCGAAAATTGTGAAAAATTTGTCTTTTTTTCGAGAAAAAAAAATGACCCCTAAAAATGGGTACGGCTTTCGGAGCTTGAGCGGCACACCCCCGTCCAAACCAAATCTAAGTAGGCCTAGATCTAGCCTATAATTCAAGTCAGCTCCAGGCCACTTTTACATTTTTGTCCAGTATCGACTAGATCTAGACCTAAATCAAAAACAAATATTGAGCGCGTCTAGACGAGTTCAAATCAGCTGCAGGCCAGGGCAGCTGTAAACCAGTGAGAACTGGTTTTCACCTCGAACAATTAAAACCTATGAATAGCTGAATACGAATCCTGGACAACTCGCCACAAAGACAACCCGCCCCAAGACAACCCGCCACAATACCCTGGACATCCCGCCACAATACCCTGGACAACCCGCCACAATACCCTGGACAACTCGCCACAGCCTTTTCGGACAACTCGCCACACTTTTTCCCATCATGATTTCTAGATCTAAAATGAAATGAAATTGTCATTTTTCATGATTTTTGTGCTTTTATAAACACAGTCATTACAAAGAATAAAGAATAAAGTTGATTTCCCTAATTGTAACAATAATATATATTGAAATGAAATTGTCATTTTTCATGATTTTCGTGCTTTTATAAACAGTCATTAAAAATAATAAAGTTGATTTCCCTTGTAACAATAATATACTTTTGATCTAGAGGTCTATAACAGCTGCATTTTTCTGTCCCAGAATTTTTTTATGGTAGGATACTGGAAGCACTGGTCTACCAAACGCTTTTTCGCGGCGGCGGCGTTCTTAATTGGTGATGGCTCGATTACATTGCTTTTGTCGAGCGAGTGGATCAGATTGGATCAGCTTATTTTGAAGCCTTTATGTCAGGGCCTGCACTTTTTGAAAAAGTATGTTAAAGAGAAAGAGGAAGAAAGAACGAGTGGCCTGCTAGTTTCACAAATGATGTTTCAAAATATGCTCATCTTGGCGTAATTAAATGCCTAAATCCCCTGAGCTTACAGGGGCTCCGTCCTCTGGAACCCACTAAGGGCCCTAACGTGGGCCCATGGATGCTCATCGGACCGTAAGTATACATACATAAAACCCATGAGCTTCTGGGGGCTCCACCCCTTGACCCCTGGACCCCACTCCACGTCAATTTGCGCTCAACTCACTTTGCTCACTATATACGCTCTATCAGATTGTTGATACTCCACTTCAAAAAACGTTCCGCCAGGGGCCTGCATGTTACGTGTAAGAGTGGTGGCGATGCAGATTTTTCTTCTGCCCCAAAAACGTTTTTGCGCATTACGCCACTGCCCCTGGAGGGTGAGCCCCCTGGAATATTCCCCACCCCCCACCCAAGTGACCCAACCCAATCCCAAAGTGCTTCCGGCGCGCCAAATTGGTTGCGATGTCAGGAATGCTCGTCCCGGCCTCTTTGGTAATCCTGGCAGTGACAACAAATATATTCCCCACTGAAATATAGTACTACTACTACTTCACTACTACTACTACTACTACTACTACTACTACTACTACTACTATACTACTACTAATAATAATAATGATGATGATGATTACAATTTAACGACGACGGTGATGATGATGACGACAACAATAATAAAAAGTACTAATAATAACTGCAAGAATCCAGACATTGTCTTCAGGGACAACAACAAAGTAAATTTCATCGAGGTCATCGTTCCCCATGACATCAACATCGCCATCAAAGAAAGAGACGTCTCAAGTATGAAGACCTCAGGATAGAAATCGAGAGGATATGGAACGTTCCATTCAATTCAATTCATTTGATATCATTCTCCATTAAAAAAATATTAAAACATACAAACATGGTATATCTAGCGTTAAGCAATTAAGAAAACTCGTAAAATTCATAACAGTTATAATACAATTCTTTTTGTTGGATCATAATGCTAAAAGGCGTGGTCCTATTTTTGTTACTAAAAGTGTAATAGGCCTACTCGTAGTGGTAGACAAACCAATCCACGTGATATTTTAGACTTATAACTTTAAATTGTATGTAGGGTATACTTAGTCTTTAGCTCATGTTTATTGTGTTTTAGAAATATAAAAATGTATATAATCATGTCTATGTATTTTATTATCATATACTTTGTTTTATATATTTTTCTGTATTGTGTTGTAAATATGTAGTGCTATCATACCCCTGAAGGGGGTCCATAGAGTCAAATGAAATTTTATCTTATCAGCGATCCTATCGCTTAGCGTAATATCCAGTCTATACAGGATCACACAGAACTCGCTCTCAATAAAAGATTGATTACAAGAAAAATGTGGGGTTAACAAAAAGGGCAATTAGCCTTATTAGCGTCAATCCCTTAGCAAGTATATACTGTATTGTTGAGAAAAGAAAAAAAGGGAAAGGGAAAGCAGAGGGAGCCTGAACACCAAGAAGAAGAAAAAAGGGAAGGAGAAGTGCATTAACTTAAACGTAATGTCATTTATTTTGACTGGAATACAATGATAGAATATGGGATTTATACAATCGTTTAAAAATACTAATTTATTTAGAGTTTTTCATATTAAACGGGATATTTTTCCATAAAACTGGCCCTTTAAAACATTAATTTGTACGGAATTTTAGGAAAATGAAAATTACCAGCATTACGAGTTTCATGAGAATGTATTTCATAATTAAATTTCAATTTACATGACATGGACCTTTGCAATAAACCCTTGCCACATAAACAGAAATATAGCAATATTTAATTATTTATATCACGAAAGTAACCCAGAAAATCTAGAAATAAACCACATTCCAATTTTATTTCGCGGGTCAACTGCCCACCCCCCCCCCCCCCTAGTACGCCAGTGCTTCCAGTATCCTACCATTAAAAAAATTCTGGGACAGAAAAATGCAGCTGTTATAGACCTCTAGATCAAAAGTATATTATTGTTACAAGGGAAATCAACTTTATTCTTTGTAATGACTGTGTTTATAAAAGCACGAAAATCATGAAAAATGACAATTTCATTTCAATATATATTATTGTTACAATTAGGGAAATCAACTTTATTCTTTGTAATGACTGTGTTTATAAAAGCACGAAAATCATGAAAAATGACAATTTCATTTCAATATATATTATTGTTACAATTAGGGAAATCAACTTTATTCTTTATTCTTTGTAATGACTGTGTTTATAAAAGCACGAAAATCATGAAAAATGACAATTTCATTTCATTTTAGATCTAGAAATCATGATGGGAAAAAGTGTGGCGAGTTGTCCGAAAAGGCTGTGGCGAGTTGTCCAGGGTATTGTGGCGGGTTGTCCAGGGTATTGTGGCGGGATGTCCAGGGTATTGTGGCGGGTTGTCTTGGGGCGGGTTGTCTTTGTGGCGAGTTGTCTGGACCCCACGTACCGTATATAGAAGGGGGTGTGTCATGTTGTCAGTGATGACGAAATTTCTGATTGAACGGTACGAGTAAACATAGACTATCGGAACGAACCATTGCCAATTTAATACCATTAGATGTGTATGGCTTTTCATCTTAAAGAAAATCTAATTTGGCTTTTTATTTTGGAGAGGAAGGCATTTATATAGGAATTCTATCTTAAAATTAAATCAATGAATATTCAAACAATATATATACAATATAATTTTTACCATGATTACTACTCCTCAGATTGGTCTTTGGTTAATCCTCTACCTTGGCGATCAATAGGAAAATGTGTACGAAAATAAACGAGGGAATTATCGCTATGTATGAACGCAAGATTTTTTTTCACACCGAATGTCATGATATCCGGACTGGTAAAAGCCATTTCTCACTTTAGATCACTTCTGCTGCAAAGTTCGTTTCCCGGCCTTTAAAGCCTATCTGCACTAGTTTTGCCAGGAGGGATTAGACCTCCCTGCCGTGGTCACTGACAGGTGTTTATCTCATCAAATCAGCTCTCAATAAACATACTAAAAAGGGGATCATGGGGGACCAACGGGTGTCGCTTATGCATTGTTTAATATAGAGGGCAAGTAGTCCAGTCCCAGTTTGTTTGCCTTTATAAATAGTGAGGCAAAGCAATAAATAATCAGTCTAATTATTTGTGACCTCTTTGCAAGCTTTCGTAGCTTGTTATGTATGAAAAGGAGTTCTTTCTGGAATCTGGGCTCGCCGCGGTGAACGAAAAAATTTAGATGCCCCCCCCCCCGACCCCCGCGATCCAATTGGGTGGGTTGAAGTACGTACGGTGTAGTGGTGTCAGGGGCGTACGCAGGGGGGGGGGGGGGGGGGGGTTGGGGGGTTCAAACCCCCCCCTTTGGTATTTTTATGTATGTAAACCCCCCTAAAAAAACCTAAACCCCCCCCCCCTTTGGTTTGGTTTTGTTTTGTTTTGTTTTGTTTTTATTATTTTAAAAAAATAAAATAAAAAATTAAAAAAAATTATACCCACGGCTAACCTAAATAAGGTGACCTTACCCCCCCCCCCCCCCCCCACGACAAAAAATGTCAAATTATGAAATTTCGAGACAAAAAAAAAAAAAAAAAAATGTGTCCCCCCACTGAGCGACTTTTCGGCCGGCGCGATTTTCAAATTTTCGGGAGCAAAATATTTTAAAACCCCCCCCCCCTTGAAAAAATCCTGCGTACGCCCCTGAGTGGTGTTGATGGCGTTGGTGTTCTCACAACACTAACACCATGCAGCTTTCGAAATCAAACTGGAATTCACCCAATGTTTTTCCTTGGCCATTCAAAAAGAAATATTAAAGGGCATGCTGCTTTATGATGGGATACATGCGCCACCTCCAGCTCATTTGAAATGCTCAGCTTGAGTGCAGGGGCGGGCTGGGCGGCGGAGCTACCGGCGGAGCTACTACCAAAGTGGGAGGGGGTACCCAGGCGCGGATCCCCCCCCCCCCCCCCACTGAGCAAAATATCGGCCAGCACGATTTTCAAATTGGAGCACACTAAATTTCAAACTGATTTCAAATTTGGGCCTCCCCCCTCCCCCCCTAAGAAATCCTGGATCCGCGCCTGGGGGCACCAACATATAAGGGCACCGTGTCAAAGTAAAAGGGGCACATATCATAGGTGATAAGTAATAGGGGCACTTTTCAAAGTAAAATGGGCATTTTTCCTTTGGAAAAGGGGCACTTTTGAGGCACTTGTAGAAAAGGGAGGACTGTGCCCCCCCCCCCCCCCCCCCGGCACAGAAACAGCATATTTTTGGCCCATGCATGACCTGTTTTCATGCCTCAACTCCAATCCAAAAAAAAACTTTAATCTTTTTATACAGAATCGGGTCTTCATGATGGAATGGAATACAGCTAGCTCATATTTGACAGGTTGGGTAAAAGTCGTGAATCGTGCCCCCCCCCCCCCTTATCTGTATTTTAGCTTATTCTTAGAAAAGTATGGGTAAATGCCTCTCCCCGTTTAGTTCCGACAGACCGACTTTGCATCTGAAATCCTTGGTCTTTCATCCGTTGCTGAGTTATGTTTGGTAATCACTCTACTTTTGCTAATCTATGGTAGTAATAAAAACACACTTGAAAGGCTGGCTAGGCTCGATGGGCTAGGCTTGCCATAATCCGGAAATACGTACAGCTGTTTCATTGGTTAGCTCAAGGGGTGTCCAGCGTTGATTCACATGTGTACAACCGGTTCGGAGCTTCCTCGCCTAGGCCTAGCTAGCGCTAAGCTGCACCGCACTGATACGTATACGTGTGTGCTATATTGTAAGGTCTTTTACGAGTAAAAACTGAAGGGCTACCGCAACGATGGCGCCGTCTTTGACAGATATTCTTTGCAGTGTTCTAACTGTGTTTTGTATATTTTCAACAGAAAATAGCAGATCATGGACAGAAGCAGGTAAATATTAAATTCATTTGTTTTCGTAAAAAGAAATGAGAAAAAGAAGTGAGAGTTGAGACGAATGATTGTTGGTTGCCGAACTGTCTTTATTTCAGTCACCGAGTCGGTTTCAATTATCCCATTCACTTACACTCGCACGAAATAGATTTAAGATTCATCAAAAAGTAACAGTTAGTTAGCACTGACTAAGTCTAGCCTTGGTGAATTGTGAATAATGAAGTGTGATACTGATAGGAATGTAACCAAGCGACATTATCCAACAAGAACGCTTCATCATGTTCATACAATACAGGCAGATAGGCCTATGGCATTTGATTGCGCCACACATTTTCATTGGTCTCACTTTTCCCAAATAACCATCTGGCAGAGCTACCAAGTGTCACGCATTCCGAGGGTCTGAAAACGCTCTCACGCACGACGCGCGCTAGATTTTGAAAAAAAACGCTATACATTATACTTGTGTTATACCCACGCCCAGTCATGAATATGTCACACATTGCTGATCTTTGAACTTGGCGTCTCTGATCTGGTATGGGGAATTCTTTAGTTTAATGAGACTGACAGTGACTGTGACATTTGTTAACCTTCCCTATACACCAGTAAACAGTAGGGGGCTATGGGCGCTAGTCCGAGAATATTTGAATCGTCCGCACAAATGAGGATCCTCTTCGTAAACGCGGACACAAAAATAAGGATCGTCTGCATTTTCGCTGATGATTTTCGCGATGCCTAAAACTGGTTCTGTGATGATTTTCTTGATGAATTTTACATTGACTTTGTACAGAGGCTTTCACGTTATGAGCGATAATTCCTTTAGAAGACGGACAATACAAAAAAGTAGACAGTGAACTGGGGCCTTAGTTTTATTACGCGGAATCCGTTTTTCGCATCGCCAGCGAGCGGCTCGGAACTCTCGAAACTCTCAAGAGCGCCAAAGAAAAAAAACGTCAGTGAAAATGTGGACCATCGCGCATACAAGGATATCCTTGTTTATGCGGACGATCCTCGTTTATGCGGACGATCCTCATTCTCGGACCAGCGCCCCTACTGATACACAGACGGTTACCCCTGCTGCACACACAGCTCATGGATTAACTACCGTACCGGTAGCTGATTTTTGCCCGGATCCGTCAAAGAGTTTGACCTCAGTTTTTCTTTATCTAGTCCGACTACTACTACTACTACTAACTAACCTTCAGAGTTCGCTAGTGTCTGAGTAGTGAACTCTTCTTTCTTCTCTTTAACACATAGCACTTTGAAATCGGTCAAGAATTTAACCATAAATGTGAAAATTTATCCCCAGAGTAATTGCGCATTGTAGTTTGTTACATGTATGTGTTCCTGATGATAATGAGCTAACAGTAACCTGTGATTTACATTACCAAACGGCAAACACTGATCTCTGACAAGATTTTGTGTTGTTGGTTTGGCTGCAAATGTACATGTAAATAAATGCAATTTATTGCCAATTTAATACTTACTTTACAACAATAACGATAAGTGTAAAAAGGTGCACGCAGGGAGTTCGCTAAATTCACTGAAAACTCTGTGTGCCCCTGAGTACAGCAAACTAATCGCTATCTTCTAAAGTTTTGGTTGTACAGTATTTAAAAAAATATATATACCGGTCAGGGACTTTGTCGCCCCACTTTCAAACTCAAACTGCCTGGATTTTCCAGAATCTCACAATGATGTGTAAAGGTACAGTACATGGGTGTCGATAGGTTGGGTCTCTTTAAATTAAAGTAGGAAAGACAACTTGTCCAGACGACCATACATTGTACATGTACGTGTGTTGTAAGAGGAATAGAATAAATGAGAATAGAAGAGAAAGGGGTCTTTTAAACTCATAGACATCTACTCAATTATCAGTTCTATTTCTCTATGAAACATACAACTATCATGACGGAAGATGCATTTCAACAGCGACCGTGTACTTATGGTGAATTTCATTTTTAATAGACATTTTGTTTTGTACAAAGAATCAACAAACAAAAAATTATAATCATATTGTGAGAGGAGTCAGAAGTCTTTGATATTAACTTAACTTTGATATTCTTGCCTAAATATTTAAGTCTGCTACTAAGCACCAAGGTAGCATTAGACAAAACTTTTAATTTTACTGATATTTCTTTTTCTCATTGCAGTACAAATGGACTACGAGTATGTGACGTGCGGATCAACAGTAAAACTTATCAACCAAAAATATAACGTTAGATTACATTCACATGATATACACTATGGTTCAGGGAGTGGTCAACAAGTAAGTATAATGATTCAAATGAACCTCTGAAATTTTTCTGAATGTTTAAACATGACACAGCCTGTCAGCCATTCAAATTACTTGATGTTGCATGCCATAGTTATTTCCTGATATTAATAGCTGTTATTTCCTGATATTAATGATATCAATAGCTGTTATTCAGATATAATGACATTTCCTGTTGAAATTTGTTTGTTAAATGAATAAATCATGAAAAATGATATGAAGATATATCAGCTATGATAGATTTCTATAGTTCCACTCAATTGAAATTGACATGTAAGATAAGGAATACAGCCCCAGTGGACCTTAGATGTTTTGATATATCATGCATGTTAGATTCTTTAGAGCTTTATTGATTCACCATGTCCACATGATCTTGTTACCTGACATAGGGCTGGTGTCGCATTGTAAACTTGCTCAGGTGAAAGTGTTGTCAATAGGTTGATTATTAATTGCAATCCTTGTGGAGTTTCAATTTTGATAAATGATTGAAAGGGAACATATTGTGAACTCCTTTAGACGTGTTGAAATTGTAGTGGTTTAATAAATGCCTGGGCATCTTCAATTCTTGGGTTTGTAGAGCTCAGTACATGTACATACATGTAGTCCTTCCACTTGTTATGTTTCATATCCTTCTTTTTTTCTTTCTTATTTTACTTGTAGTCTGTTACAGCCGTCGATTCAACTACAGATAAAAATAGCTATTGGCAAATCAAAGGCAAACTTGATAAGAACTGCATAAGAGGGTAAGTCATTGTTCGAAAGTTACTTTAATATAACATTTCTTTGTTCTTGATTGCACTATTTTTTCTGCACCGGCATTTGACTTTTTGCCAAGAAGTGAAAGGATTTTGTTTTCATTCAAATTACCTCACACGTGACATGACTGACTAATACAATGCGTATGCTGAACATTGATATTATAGTCTTAAAGTTAATAATATTCAGCTTTTATCTCATTTTCGGAATGGAAGCTAAGTGAATTATACTCATTAAGTATTTACCTAAGCTTTTATTATGGAATCTGTGAGTAATATACCTGAGTAAAATGACAAACAGCACCCAATGTGTCCCATCATTTCTCATTTGTGAGAGCGATGAGAAAAAGAATAATTTGTTTTGGGGAGTGATTTTTATCTCTGGAAAAGTGGAAAAAAAGGAGCTTGGAAAAGTGCGGAAAACATGAAATATATACAGGAAGGAGGGGTGATTTGACTCTAGAAATCTTAAGATTTTAAGAATAAGGTAAGAGGAAAGTCTCCAAGTGGAAATTGAACAGCATCAAAATCAAATCTACAGAGAGCTTTCCTGAACAACAACAAAAATATGTTTTTAATATTGTGGGAGAAACTAAATGTGATGATCATCCCTAAAGATACTTCTTTTCCTAATCTAGAAAGATCAATATCATCATTATCTAGACTCTTAAAAAGAAATTGTTTATTTCCTAAGACTCTCTTTCCTAGAATAATCTCTAGTTATCCTGTAGTCCTTGAGTCCGTCCAGGCACCTCTTCTATATCCTTTCTACTCCGGTTACTATCACCATGACGATATCTAAAGACCTGTACAATCACTCTCTGCTTGACCTCACCTCCCTTGGACAAACATGATTAGTCCTCTGGCCTGGGGACCGACCCTAGAAAGGAAACCACAGTCCGGCCATAATGAATGGGGATTGTTCCCATGGCTGGGGTCCTTTGTGTCCCTTGGTCACCCTTTTCTGTAGGGGAGTCACATGGACCTGCATGTGTGCACTGGACATGCGATCATTTGTGTGCACACCAGGGTACATGCGTGTACATGTACGGGGGTTCACACAATGTCAGGAACTGCTATATAAACATGTGGGTAATCTCACTCCATGCATCATACATGTGATGTTACACAACGTGTTTGTTTTTCAAGGAAAAATCTTTTGTATCCATCTCCAGAGTTACGTAATATTGATGAAGGACAAATGGTTATCAGCTTGAAGAGTTATTCTATGAACATGCTGAGATAACAATGAAAGAGCATGCATGTATGGAAGTTGTTTCTAAAAAAAGAAAGCATGATTGATTTTGCATTGATGGAAAAGACAATGGTGTGTTCACAAGGCACACAGTGGGAAGTTAATAAGTAATGATTTTTTAGAGTTGGTATATGATTAGCAATTAAAAGATAAATTTCTAATGGTGCACACAATGTCAAAGATGAATCAATATCAATCTGCCAAATGTGATTATTTTGTATGCTTCTGCTATTCACCTTTGTAATAAGTTCATTTTTTGTGAAAGCAGAAAAAAAAGCAGAAAAAAATAAGAAAACAAAAATAAGAGAAAAAAATGGCCACAGTTTGAAATGATAAGAAAGTTATAAATATTATAAATATGAGATCAACGAATCTCTAAAAATATTAAAATTGGCAATTATTTTGGACAGGTCAGTTCTCCTGTTTGTTGTAGCTTTTTATTTTCTTCTAACTCTTCTTTCTTGGGGCATTACTCAAAAATACGTTATTGAAAGCATATACATGTACATGTACATGTAGATCTTCCAAAAATGAAAGATCCTCATGTGTAATCAGTACATTTTGGTCATTTATGTCTACCGTATGTAATCAAAGGTGGAAATCAAATGTCTTTAAGGTTACATTAGAACAATGAAAATGTGAATCTTTAATCTTAGATCTTTATTCAAAGTGTTGGAACAAATGGGAAATTATTTGTGCTTTAGATCACAGTGACATCCCCTACCGTATTCAGTCTTTTTCAAAATCCATAACTTTTTCATTGTTAGTCTGATTTCATTCTTACTTTCACTTATCTTGTTCTAATTGATCTGTTTTGTTTTATAGCATATGTTATCAAGGTTTAGTTTCCCTACGATTCTGTAACTTAGGTCATTGTGCCTAACATGTCTGTATGAAACACGATATCCTGACTGTTCTCTCCATGTTCTGTGTCTATATCTAGAGCACCAGTTAAATGCGGAAGTACAATAAGGCTTCAACATGTAGCAACCAAACGCAATCTTCACAGTCATAATTTCCAGTCGCCTCTCTCATCAAACCAGGAAGTGAGCTGTTTTGGGGAAGATGGGCATGGTGATGAAGGTAAGTCAAGATGACCCCATAAGCTTCTCAGAATCTTCATTTTTAAAGAGAAGGTTGAGTTCTGGGAAGAGGTGAAAAATAATTTGTCATTGCTATTATGCAAGTGTGGAAGAACAACAGATCAAAAAAAATGTTCCCTGAAAAGCATAGCTCTTCAAATGCCTTAATATTCTAAATATGCCATGTAACAGCATAAAAATCAGGACAGATTTTTATGCCACATGTTTGTGTAGTCCCATATACGTATTTCTGTATTCAGTGCTCGTAACTTTACCAAGACTGGCCAAATTTCTTATCATTTTGATGATTCCAGAACCTTGCAGTACACACCGATACGTATATGCTAGATGATCAACATTTTCTGATCGATTCCACACCGTTTCTTCCACAATGCAATCGCATGACCAGAACTCAACGTCATCTTTAAGTGAAAGTAAATTTGAATGTTCTTTTTTCTTGAAGCTAAATTATTAAATTCCTTAGATTATTGAAAAAGATTGCTTAGAAAAACAGCATGAAGGCTGCTTGTGTGACATAAGAGCATTGCCATATAGATCACAGAACATATATTAGCAGTAACCATACATTAAATTTATTCAAAATCAATTGAATAATAAATATATAAAAATATACCCATTGCTCTGTTTGACATTTGCTTTCAACAAGATGTACAATCTTTGTTTCACCACTTAATGAATCTGTATTCTCCGTACAGGTGACAACTGGGCAGTAATATGTTCAACAACAAACTGGAAGAGGAATGAACCAGTGAGATTCAAGCATGTAGCAACAGAAAAGTAAGTATCAAGTTCCTTATGATTATCTTCTTGATGATTACCCAGATATTATTGTATGAGTGAATGAAGTCTTTTGTCAACTTCTTATAGACTCCTTAATTTTTAATCTTGGAAGTAATTATACACTTTTAACAATATTGATTATGTAAGGGCTAAACTGTGTAGGTGCAATCTAAAAATTGAAACTTCAGAATGTGTTTTTGTCCTATATAGTTTTTCATTTTTTTAATTCCCACCTGTTGTCCACACATCCATTTCATCCTTCTGCCTATTGTATTTGTACTATGTTCTTATCACTAAATGTCTTGGCTACCTGAGAGTCAATGGGCAAGTTTTTTTCTTTGTTACTTGTGAGAAAGCTGCCAAAAGCCGGATCTTTAAAAAAAATGTTTTAAAGTGAACGTGAAAAAAGAAATCTTCCTCTATATCACATCACGAAATCAGATCAACCTGAAAAACTGATTCAAGATTTAAGGGTATATCACAAGTTTTGAGGCTCTATCTCTGCTTCAGGGTATAATGAATGTCTCCAAAGCCTTACATTTATCTTGAAAGTCCAGCCTATCCAACAACAATAGTCATTGTCCCTCGGAGAGGACCTGAAGCAGTCGGTCCTCTCTGGTTGCTTACTAACAAGCATTTATGCATTCTTAGCAGTCAGTAAAATAACCACCACATACTTCATGATGTAATAAAGCCCGCTTCCTTCTCCTTGTCCTCTACAGTTACCTGAGTATGTCCGGCCAGACCTACGGGAGACCTATCCACGGTCAGAGGGAAGTGTGTGGTCTATCGTCCCTGAGCACTGCTAACCAGTGGAGAGCGGTGGAAGGCATCTTCGTGAAGCCCTCAGAAGGGTCCACAGTGAGCTAATGATAGTCTGTGTTATAATGGATTCCATCATCAGATTGTCATCGTTCTAATATTGTTCGGATTAACGTCTGTGTTCTGTTGGTGAACAAATAATTATACATTTATCGTTTATTCAGTGCTAAAAGAGCATTAACTCTGTGTTAAAGTATATGATTTAATGGCCTTCTGGCTCCAAACAGACGATATGTGCTCATATTAAAGAGTTTAATCAAACCTCTCTATGAAGGCCATCTATGGGATACACAAAATGGCCTTTCTAGACAGGTTCTACAACAAGAAGTTTTTCTTAAGAGGATAATTATTGTAAATGACCACTCTAGAAAGATGGCAATTGTAAAGAAAATACCACTGTACACAGATGACCATTACACACAGATAACTTTTATACAGAGGTGGCCACTTAGACAGGTTTTAATTCACTTTCTATTTGTGGCGATGGGAATATGTTTGGTGTACAGCAGCTGTCCAATACTGATGCTGCTTGTGCAAAGTTCTTTCCCCTTTTTTTACAATTTATTATTTAGCTTTTGTTGTATTGGTATCGTCATCCATGGTAGGAGATATAACACACAATTAGTTTAGTTTTTTTTTTGGGGGGGGGCGGCAGGGAATGTGAAGTTTTTAAAATTCTGTTCAGCTCTTTTTGAATCCTTGTCTATTTATTAAGTCCTAGCTCATTTGGGTTAAAACGGGATATTAGAGCTGTTCAGATCCAAGAGGGTCATTAACTCTGATATATATATGAGTAAACACCATTCTTGGGCCAAACAGACGATATGTTGTCTGAAGTCATTCATACCAGACCTTCAACATTCCTGATTCCTCTTTCATGAATATTTCCAGTCATTGTTTTTCACCAATTAATTAAAGATCAAAGGAAGATATTCTTACCTTAGAATTCCATTCATGCCTAAGTTTTAGCCTAAATGTTGTATTAGTACTTATAGCTCATTAGCACAAGGTCTTCTGATCCCCATTCCTTAAAGAATAGCTATAACATTATACTCTTATCACATTACCTAAAAGTGTATAGAGAGAAAGACTATTTGACAATTTTCTTTTCATTCGACCTGAAATTTTTTGAAAGCTTTATGTCTTTGTTAGCCTTTTGTCATATTTGTTTGTTTTATTCAATTTAAAAATTAAACCAAGTTGCAAACTGTTCCAAGTATATATTTATGGTTTCACGTGGCTAAGTTTCAGGTTAAGATACTTAATGAATAAAACACTGCTCTCTTACAAGGGCTAACTTTGACAAAAATGTGCCAAAGGTTTCTGGTCTGTATAGATTCCGTACCTCACCACTTACACTCTCCCAATATAATGGTAGCACTGGAAAATAAAGAGTTTTGTAAGAAAAAATATGCTTTCTTCCCTTCTAATCCCACCTGTCACAAACCTCGTCAAACTTTTGTCTCTGCTTTGGAGTCGGTCATTGTTATTGTTGCAATTTAAAGGAACAAACTTGATTCTTAAGCCGAGTGTACATGGAAGTTATTTTCACATCTTAATGTATTTTGATATATCCAGTTAACACTTTGTTCATGATTACTTCACTACTGAATTTTAGCGTTTGAAATTTCACAACGTTTTTTCTGGTCTAGAGGGAGTGTACATAATTATGCAGTATTGATATATCTTGCATTGAGAGCAAGGAGAACGTTAAATTTACTCCACATGTGTTATCTCTAAGTTAACGCTCTTTTAGCTCTGAACAGATGATATCGTGTTAGCACAATAATCTGAACTCTGGTGCTTCAGTGTTAGGTGGTTGTCAAATCAAATGTGAGAGTTCTGGCATTGGTCTCAAGTGTGTTGAATGTATTTATACGAGCGTGGATAGTGTTTTCATTTTGAAGAGAGAGGGGTTACTGCACTTCTAATATTTTCAATATCTGTTGAAATGCAATCTTTTCAGTTTATTGCAATAGAAGGATGTCAAATTCACAACAAACTGTAATCACACACTAATACAGTTATATGTACACACTCACTTGTGCATTATGTATTACTTCTACTTCACAAAGTAGTTCCATAGAATGTGAAAGTCATAAGAGATTAAACTCTGTCACATTTTCTGGTAAGGAAATGGAATTTTATTCAGACAACACCCTGTTGTGTACTCAGATTTTACTGTAGATTTAATGATTATATCTATATCATTTTAAAAATCATTATTTGTTGTGATTTGTCAAATATGTTAAGCTGTTCTGTCTCTACATGTTTCTCAACAATTCAACCGTTTCTATTCTTGTCTATTTTCACAATATTACTCTTCACCACTCAGTAATAAATGTATTAACTGTTAATGTCTATTATTTGTCTATTGGTGTATGAAGAGTAAAGTCCACATGGTCTTCCTGTACTCACAAAAATAAAATGTTTTAAAGATTAAAATTCAAGTCAGATTTACATAGTAAGAGCATTTTGCTTTATTTATTTATGCATAAGCTGAGTGATATCATGATATTTTAGTGTTTGGTAAATTAACTTTGATAGGCAGATTAAAAGAATACAACGTATGGAATACAGGAAAGACCATGTGGAACTTTTAAAAGATGTAAAGGAAATCTAGTTCAAAGAAAGTCACTTTATTTGTTCAGCCGTATGTCGACGTGATATTACACTGTTTTTCCACAGATTTCTACAAGAAAGTGTTTTGAGATGTTCTTTGGAATCAGTTGTGATGGGTTTTCTTGTATGTATAACCGGTATTGTAAAGACGAAATAGGTTTAGGACAAAGCGGTGTAATACGCTTTGTTGTAAATGAGAATTGTTTGGATTATATGACGGACAAATGGGCTGTCCTGAAACTAGTGTTTGAAAGAAAAAGGTGATGTGGTTATTTGGTCGTTAATGTGCCTTCGATGTGATGATTTTTTTTTCTTCTTCATATTCCAATGACTTTTATTATTGCAATTATAATTTCATTAAATCAGTTACACATCACATGATAAATAACGTTGCATGTTGTTTTTCTTGTAACAGCGAACTTGAAGGATAGTGTGTGAGATGGCAGTGATTGATTGGACTTGGGTATAGGTTTAGTCAGTCAAAAAGAAAATGGGAGAGAAAGAGAATTAAGGAGAGAGAATGAGGGAAGAGACAGGCAGGAGAGAGAGAGAGAGAGAGAGAGAGAGAGAGAGAGAGGGGGAGAAAGCTTGACGATCGAAAGGTGAAGGAGAAAATGGAGGCAGATTATGTGAAATAGAAAGAAATTAGAGACATAAAGAACGTTTTAACTACTTAAACCAATTATAGTAAGAGGGGGAGAATCAAGGGTCACACTCGTAAATGGAGAAGACCTCATACGCCGACCCCGTGAGAAAAATATCAAGGAAAGTCGAAGTGTAAGGGCCTTTTAAGTGTACACACCTTCCTAACGCCATATGGGGAGAGTGGTGGGCTTTGGGGCGTCAAACCAAATTTGCCGACAAGGTACGAGGATAGTTTTCCATCGGGCAAAATATCCCAGTCTTCGAGCAGCCATCATCTGAATATTATCGGGCAGTGACTCCCAGTGAGGTTGTCTCGATGTGAGGAATCTAAATAATAGCGACGGACTAATTGAAAACATATAGCATCCTAAAACGTCGTTAAATACAGGAACAATTTCGCACATACACACCCCCAACAAATAATCATAAAGCAGGGGAGCAATGTTGCCCTTTGCGATAATCAATGCCATGGTAACCATGAAAACGGTCTTCTCTGTACTATTTTAGGATTGATAGACTAGCTGTTGTAGCTTGTTCACCATCAGTGGCGGTTCTTTTGCCCTTTCAAATGTTAGACCCTGTAAACACTTCTGTTTCCCCCAGGGATTTATTTGAAGTATTAAGCCTCAACCCCAACTTTATATCTGTCCCTATCTCATTGTTACATATAGGCCGATTTGCAAGGTTTTATGGCGGTCACAAATGTCGGCTCATTTCCAAAGATATGACATTTTCCCATATAATTTTCATTTTAGGAACATTTAATGTCTGAAAAGAATGTTTGTATAAAGCAGATTTATGGAAGTGATCTGAACAGACAAACAATCTTGTCAGTGACATTAAATATGTGTTTCCAATCAGGCAATATCTGTAATTAGAAAAATTATGGATTCGATCGAGCTATTATTATAATCGGCGTTATAGTTGCTATGACACCGCAAATTGATGAGACAACAGTGAAATCAAGCATGAGATCGAGCTGGCAATTAATGGTAATTCACCTTCCATCATATTGCAGATGTTCGGTCTCTTTACTCATTAAATCTAGGAGCCGGTTCCGTGGGGAGATTTAATGAGTTAGTTTGAAGCACCGGTACACAGCCGCCTGAATGAAATCAATAGGGCGTTGCTATGGCGCGCTACCAAGCCTATTGTTTACGTAGCATACACGCGCGGTCAGCACAGCAATAACACAGCGATGTAGCTAGCAGCATTGCACAGGACACGCACACAGTACACAGAAGAACATATTCTATCGCAAAAAAACTACAAATTGGAGGAGATATATACTACTTTTTGATACTTCGGAACTGTAACTATAAATATGGCCGATCAAGAGCAAGAAGAGGTATGTGTTAACTTCCCTTTTTAGTTTTCTTATTTAGATCTATAACAATTATAAAGTGTTGTTCTGGAAGAAAATTCTCGTTCATGAAATAAGTTTGTGAAGTTATTCGGATCTCCTACTTATATACGGCGCGCCGTCGGCCTTTGGGCTATATGGGCCGTGTGTGTATGTTTAAATGGCAATTCGATCATCATTCTCTCAGATTATAGAGAATTACGGAAAATGTTAGTGTTGAAAAAGAATGGCAAACCTTTCAGTCCAGTTGTTACATAACATTATATGGCTAAGTTTCAGTAGAATTCCAACGGTGATATTTTAAGTTTACAACTTTATCATATTCTCACTCGATCATATGATTTTCTAACTATATTATCATATAACTGAAGGTTAAATCTGAATTATGAAGTCAATTATATTTGCTTTTGGATCATTCTTTATTTGTTTTATTAAAAACCCTCAAATATTATAGACGATATGTACATGTACTTGTATTTGTATAGTGGATTAAAACTGATTGTCTTGAAAAGAAATTTTAATAGGACAGATTTTGCTTGCAATATAAAAGCGGGAAATAGATCTCGAAAACATTGAACGACTTTACAATCACATGCTTAATCTTATACTAGTAACAAATCTATTCTGAGGCCTCTGGCATGAAGGATTTTTGTATAGGTACGTTCTATCCAATTTTAAACACTTCCTTTATTTTCATGAAAAACAAGCATTGAATTTGGTGTGCACAGTTCCTGCTTATATAAGGACCGAGTACAAAACACTTTCCGAAAATTTGTTTGTATTCACTTTGTTTTACTGTCGAAAGTAAGACAGACAAATGTGCTGATACTTGAAATTAAATTCCTTCTCATTTTGGAGTTTTTAGTCCAACAGATAATTTATGTCCCCTACACTCTTATTTCCACGGAGTCAAATTTCACTCTAAATGGCGTCAGCTGGGAGTCAACTCTATTCCTAGTTAAAGTGACACGGATTCCGAATCAATTTGACTCGGATTGTGTGGCATCTGCTGAGAATTGACTCAATTCAGAGTCAAGATGACTCCTTTTCCGTGTCACTTTAACTAGGAATAGAGTTGACTCCCAGCTGACGCCATTCAGAGTGAAATTTGACTCCGTGGAAATAAGAGTGTAGCTTGCACATACATTGTACAGGTAATATACATGTATTGCATTATTAAAGAGAAGGTTGAGTTCTGGGAAGAGGTGAAAAATAATTTGTGAGCATTACTCATTTTTATTATGCAAGTGTGGAAGAACATCAGTTAAGACATGTTCCCTGAAAAGCATGGCTCTTCAAATGCCTTCATATTCTAAATATGCATGTAACATCGTAAAAATCGGGGGGGGGGGGCGGCTTTTTACGCCACGTGTTCGTGTAGTCCCATATACATCTTTCTGTGCAAGTGTTTGTAACTTTACCAAGACTTGGCCAAATTTCTTATCATTTTGATGATTCCAGAACCTTGCAATACACACAAATTCTTATATGCTAGTTGATCAACCTTTTCTGGTCGGTTCCACACCGTTTCTTTCACAATGCAATCGCATGACCAGAACTCAACTTCATCTTTAAACTTATTTTCTTTCTACCGTAATTTCGACCAAACAGGTTAGCCAGCAACAAGAGGGTGAAGAGCAACAAGAACAAGAGGAAGAAGTAAAGGAGGAAGAAAAGGAAGAAGGAAAGGAAGGAGAAAAGGAAGAAGAAAAGGAAGAAAAAGAGGAAAATACAGGTAAAACATTATTATATACTAAGTAATATCAGTATAACCATATTCCATTTTTGCATTTGCATTTGCATTAAAAGAACTACAATGTAAATGTTAAAATGAAAGGCAAACTAGTGAACAGAATTGAAAGTTGGAACAAAACCCCCAAAGAGTTAGTTGTCAAATGCCTGTTTTTTATGTTTAGAAATGACTTTCAAAAGTTTGAATAAAATCCCTAGTATGATCATTCTCAAATAACTTACTTTATTTAGATATGAAATGTAAGGATTATGATTAATTATATACACCTGTACATGAATAAAGTTCTTTTGTAATCCTATATTCATGCAGTATTGTTACGCAGGTCTTTAGAAAACTGTTGAGATGAAACAGGGTAGGTAAATATAATTGCATTTATCCTACTAAGCTCTTTTATATGTTCCCCCCATTTTGTAGTACCAATTATCTATATGATATTATCTTGTTGAAAAAATAGAAATGTTGCTCCATTAACAAATATTAAATCTTATTCTTATTCTTTATTACAGAGGAAGGAAGTGATAAAGAAAGCCCAAGAGCTAAAAGAAACAAAGCTTTCATTGCTGCAGAATTCAACAGAGTCAGAGAGAGTTTAGATGTCGAAAAAACAAGAATAACAAAGCCTGAATAGTAAGTCAATATATTTTACTTTCATTTCATTTGTCTAGATCTGGTAATAGTCCTTTTTCTAATTTGCTTTGTTAGATTCATTAAGTTGTAACAAATGTTATGCTTTGAAGAAAAAAAGGTAGTTCAGTAAACTTAGATTTTCACAAAAGGCATGCATGAACAATTCAAATAATACTATGGATGTCTTCTTTTTAACTTATGCAGTTTCTTTCTATTGTAAGCAGTTGATCCTGTAATTCTGAAAGGGTTTTAAACTTTTGTGTTTCATTAAAAAGTACCACTTCACTCTTAGATGAAATTATAAGTACAGGTAACAGTATTTATGAATAATAATAACAATCAGGATTTGTATAGCGCTTAATACAAAATAACACCTGTATAACCGCATTACAGATATTATTACCCCAGTCATCGCATTCATTCATGCACAATGTGCACCATCTCTACTCACTGGGGAATATTTCTACCATATGGACACGATGAGGGCATATGGCAATTACTAACACAAAGGCTTTTATTAACCCAGGTCCCCATCTCCTGGGTATGGAGCGGCAAATGTAGATTAATGCCTTGCCAAAAGAGATTAGGGCCGTGTCAGGGATCGAACCCACGACCTTTGCATTTCAAGCCAAGTGCTTAAACCACTCAACTATGACTGTCATTGTAATCTGGTATTATTATAGAGTGTTAACTTTCATTTTGTTTATGTTTTCTTTTCTTTACAGCAAAGAATATTCCCCTTTTATCTGGACTAGCCTAGAACCATACCATAATACATATACTGTCAACTATCTACTAGATTATGTAAGTATTTATTCATGTCTCTTTTTTCTCAATATCTTTTAGAACTACAAATTTCCATAAAGGTTTAAACATACATGGATATATCTCTATTAATTTATGTATAATTAAGTAATTAGATCAATTTATATAGCGTAGTTACTATATGATTATACTCTACTGCATTGTGACGAAGAGAAAACTCATAACAGTGCCACTTAACAGACACACAATGACCAATATTTAAAAAATCCTGAAAGCAGGTGCGTCTTCGACAAAACTTTAAAGACAGCAATGGATGAGGCATTTCTTATGTCTAGTGGTAGGTTATTCTGAAGCTTTGGTGCATGGCAACTAAAAACGCAATCTCCTAGAACTACTTTTGTTTACAAGTGAGGTAGCTTTAGAGGCAGCTTGTCCTGTGTACTTCATAAGTTATGTGCATACATATATATGGATGTGATTTACGAAACTCAAAGGGAATCAATCTTAATACAATTCTTTTATTTATAGGAAACTACTTAAAATATTTCCTAGACAACAAAATACACATTCCTGTAAATGGTTGATGATTACAGTATTTAGGGTAAAATAGTTACCATGTATCAATAATGTATCACATCCAAAGAGAACATACAAAGTCAGTTTGTACACTAGCTGCCATGTATTAAACTTAAAGTATGTCTTTCTAGTATATAAAAATCAAAAGATATCCAAGGAGTTAACTGTTTTTTATGATTTTTCTTTCCCTCCTAGCCTGAACATGTCCGTCATGGTTACATCACGAGGAAGACGGCCATTGGAATCGTGGATCCTGAAGTATCACATAGCATGGACACGTAAGTCTGCAACCATACGCTTAACATTAAAACGCATGTAGGCCTGCTGGTAATAATCATCGATACCAGTTTCAGGCTTTGGCCTGGTTTCAGGCCCTGTACATGTCACCCTCTGGCTCAGGCCTTTGCCTGTTTCTATCGTAGGGAACATATGGCAGTCTAGTTATCTACTATTTTGTGGGTCTTATTTCAGACTATAAAAAGTAAAAGTAACCGGTATCCCTGCATGATGACCAGTTTAACTGTGAGCATGTCATACTTTCTGAATTTTGTGCTTGTGATTATCCAGTGGCGTAGCAATGGGGGGGGGGGGGGGGCTGTGCATTTGTACATCTGAATTTCTGTTGCTTGTTTTGTGGGATAATGTTCAGTATACGATGATATTTTATCATTTACAATACTTGTCAGCAACCCAAGTTATATGGACACAAAAAAGAGACATTATCATTACCGGTATGTGATTCCTTGTAGTCATTTATAAGTACTATAACCATACACTATGTTAACAGCTATTTGTAAAATCATCTGATCATTGACTGAAATAAGTAATACTCCTGGGTACAGTATGTGAAATCTGTAAAATTTCATGTAAAGAAATTAAGGAATCACATTGTGACCCGCTAAGTGGAAGTGTTTTCTTGGTGCCATTTTATTTTTAATTATATTTTTATTCCTTTCCCCAGATCATTAGACGAAGTTCCAAAGTCTTCACCCAGATCGCCAAGGGAGGAGTATATGGTGTAAGTATTATGTCCAGTACCTCTTCAAACACAATGTACACACTGGTATTTGTATGATTAAGATCAACATTTTCTCAAGAGCCTTGATCTTGAAGTATAAGTAGAATCCCATAGAACTTGGTTTTTGTTTAGACATCGTAAAACGGGAATATTTCATAAATTGTAAGTATGGTCCATATTTGAAAAATTTCATGCTGTAAAATAATTGAATCATAGTTATTTTGTGATTCAGAAAACTTACTTGCTTAGAAAGTGGCTATCCTTCGCCACTCCTAAAGATGAATGTCATTAAATTTCTGTGGCTTTACATCAGTCTCTACACATGTACATGTATATTAGAATTATTAAAACATTATTCAGGCTTAATGTCCTTGGTAATTAAGTTAGACTTTTAAATTGCAGGATTTGACATGGTTGCAAATTTTGCTCATCACTGATTCACCTAAAGTGGATGTGATCATTCATTGTTAATGAACTATATTTCTTATTTTTAAACCTGACACAGACCAAAGATCAACCGAGGAGAGAAGGCAAAGGCTGCCAAGGGAAGCACCAGATTACCTCATTGGCCGGTCGTCAAGTATAACAGACCTTCCATGGCTAATGAGAAGCAGCTCAATTGGGGTGATGTGCCAAAATTAAGGTGAGACTTAATATCAAGATGCTGTGATAATATAAGGGGGGCATTTTAATTATTAATGTATATCTCCTTGGGAATAATCAATGAAATTTTGATATCTTTTGTGATGTTATTGCAAAACCAGTGCAGTGTCCCTCTTTGCAATTTCAGTAAAAAACATTTCTTTGTGATGGAATTGTTCATTTGAAGGTTCTGTCATATTGAGAATTTCTAAATCTACATCTCGTTTAAGATCAGGCACATTCATAGACTGAATTTATAGATTTACACTACAAATAACTGAAATCATTATTTATTTACATTGTACATACTTCTTTCCCACACCAAGTTGGTACTAAATTGACCAAGTGCTTTGTTACATACTATGTGCATTTTACTGCGCTCTTGATGACTAGATTGACAGCTAGTTCTAAAGATCGTTTCTCACCACACTACTTTAATTTCCAGTTTAAGGTTGGATACTGGATGGATATAAGCAACATGGTGTGTAAGTGTAAAGCTTAAAAAGTGCATATACGGAAATGCTAAAAATGAAAAATGATTTCTGGAAATTATAATCATCGTATGTTGTGCCATACATGTATGTCTCTGGATGAATATAACAACCAGCTCTCTTGTATAGCTTGTAAGTCCAATTTCATTTAATTCTTAAATTTGTCTTGTTATGATCATAGTTTGTTGTGCCATATGTCTGGATGATTAATCAGCTCTCTTGTAGGCCTATATCGTGTAGTCTAATTTCATTTCTTTCTTGATTTGTCATGTTCAGAGAGGACCTGCACACAAAGTACAGCAGCAACGCCCAGGACAGACTCAAATACGATTCTAAGCGGACCAAGCACGACTGGTATCGTATGGACTTAGCTCAGCTCAAGGACATCAACGAAGTCAGCCGAAGCCACATGAAAGTCACCTGCCACGCCTACCTAGGAACCTCAGCGGGTGCCAAGAAAGCCATCACCTCATTGGCTAAAGTCTTAGAATGATACCTTGATCGGCCAATCACACTCGTTGTTATATACAAACTCTTTTAAATCCTGTAAATAGCTGGCATATTTTATTAAAGGATTGTATATTGATGTCTCTTCCAATCAGCTGACCTCCAAGGTGTCTTCATTTGTCGGATCTTCTCATTGGCTGGTGGGTTTCTGACCGACAGAAATGCACCAATGAATATCACTGTCATGTATTGAAAACGATTGTTTTGTATTCTTCAGCAATACAAGGAAGAGATTGAGGGTATTGATGAGACTGATGCTTTTTATAGATGCAAGAATCATGTTCACCTATGCAAATGTTTCATTCTACTTGTATCATTATGTAGAGACTATGCAACTTTTCTCTATGAGTAGAACAAGAGTTGTATGGGTATTCTGTGTTGTCTTCAATAAGCTATAATGTTATGTTTTCATTCTCTTTTGTCATGAAATTAAGGTAGGTAAGCTATCTTCAGGGTGATACAATCATCGGGTTGATTTGTCCAATGCTTCCATAAGACATGGGGTATACCATGGATTAGTCAGGTAACTCCTGGCTGGAATGCTCCCCAGGGAGTGGAGATTCTGCACACATTTTGTGCGGGCATTGTATTGAATCCAATGACCGGGGTAATAATATATCTTTAAAGCAGACATCAAAGATGTATTAAGCGCTATATAAAAGCAGAATTATTATTAAAATGGGATGGATTTAAAAAACATACATCACGGATATCTCCAATTCCGTTTAACCGCCTGTCAAAACCGGACGGTTTTCGGTTAAACGATTTATTTAAAAAAAAAAAAAAAAAAAAAAAAAAAAAAAAAAAAAAAAAAAAAAAAATCATTTTTTTTTTTTTTTTTTTTTTTTTTTGGCCATGTGAAAAAGCAGGAAGGTGATTTAACTGAAGGCGCCGATTTGTGCTTGTGAACTAGTCACAAATAATAGTAACAATGTCGTTTTAGAATAATGTGTAAGATCATTAAAGTAAATTAAAAACAGTAGAGGACCTAGGATAGAACCTTGTGGTACACCATGTGTTAAACTTGGATGAATATATATTGAGATCTATTACAAAGATTACTTTCAAACCAAGATGACAGACAAATTGGAGTGTTGTTCGAGTTTCCAAGTGGTAAGTCATCACACCGATTACTGAGCTGGGAGACATTGCCAGGCATAGTGCCAGGTGGAGGGGCATAAATCGAAACTTTAAAAAAATAAAAAAATAAATAAAAAAAAATTTTAAAAAAAATTAAAAAAAATAAAAAATTATTAAATTTTTTTTTTTTTTATTAAAACGGGAAAACGAAACCGTCCAATTGAAAACGGAATCCGCCATGGGCGATCGGATACCGGACGGTTAAACGTTTGACTACAGCACTACTATGCAGCTCCTGATGTGCTGAATTGGTAGCTAGGACTAAAGCTGGTATTGTGAGTAGACAAAGTTTATTCCCATTTGTTGTGTTCCAATAAAGGTGTATTAGCAACGGCTCCAGGATTATTCGATGGGGGTGGGGCACAAGTGTATGCAAGACATCTGCCAAGTGAGTACAACATAATTTACTTCATATACTTGGGGGGGGGGAGAAATATCTCTTAAGCATATTTATTTCTCAAAAATCTGTGACAAACATGCCTGTGTATCAAGTTGAGATTTTTGGTAAGAAGGCATTATGCACTGATCATAAGCCCCCTCCTGTTATGATCAGCTGCTGTGTACAATTTTGTATTTTTTATGGATTATTCACATCATTCTAAAATGTATGGTGCTCTGTATAATCCAAGAGACTTGTGTGTTAATTTCTTCCAGAGTTAAATGTTTTTGTAATGGTTTATTTCAATATATATTTGTTTTTCGTTGTCTTCTTTAAAACGTTTTCATACATTCACATATTTTTGTGTAATTCAAGTTCAACATTCTACAATAATGGAGATAAATTACTAGCAAAGTGATTTTTGTCCAGTATCTTTAAAATGGAATTCTGTATTTTGCTGGGGGTGTTTGGGGGGGGGGGGTCTGTCAGAGTATGACACAAGGCACGATTATTCTATGGTGGAACATCACCTTAACAAATGTATTATAGTATGTTTTTTTAATAATTAATTAGTATTATACCTTGTAATTCCAAGTTACTCTGGAAGCATGATTTGCTGTAGGGTCTGGTTCATATGGAGCAAACTTTACACTGATCAAATGCACTGAACGGGTCTCTATTTGTGACAATTTTGTAACCAAAACTGTCTCAGTTTTTATACAAGAAAATTTATTGCCTGTTGTATGACAACTGAATTCCGTCCATTTTGAATTTGGGCCTTTTCATGTCATTGCACCGTCCATACTTTCTGTATTTAAAATGTATGAAATTGTCTGAAATTGTTTAGAAATGTGTAATTTGTATCAATGCTGTATGTATCAGAAATATGAATATGAACTATTTAAATATCATGTTTATTGGTAAAATTCAATTCCAAAAAAAGTGAGTCACAGATTTCTTTATCAATGTGTGTTTCTTGTTACGATTCAGTTAATGAGGTAGGAAAAATGTGTTAAGGGGATAAGGGGAATGGAAGAGAGAAAGAGATAGAGAGAGGGGGGGGGGGGACGAAGAGTGTTATGGAGAAACAGGGAAGAGGGGAGTTTGAAAGGAAGCATGGGATAGAGGGATGGAAAATAAAGGAGGTAATAGGATTGGGATAAAATGTCAATGAGAGGTAGGGGAGATGAGAAAGAGATAAGAGGTTTGTGCTAGAGAGAGATAGAGGGGGGGGGGAGGGAGTTAGAGAGGGGGCAAGAAATTTGGGGATAATATAGTTTAGATAGAAGTTGGAGAGAAAGGGGATGGAAAGGAAAGGAGAGACAGTATAAAGGTTTTGATTAATTGATGATGGAACCAGGAAAGGGTGTTATGGAGAAACAGGGAAGAGGGGAGTTTGAAAGGAAGCATGGGATAGAGGGATGGAAAATAAAGGAGGTAATAGGATTGGGATAAAATGTCAATGAGAGGTAGGGGAGATGAGAAAGAGATAAGAGGTTTGTGCTAGAGAGAGATAGAGGGGGGGGGAGGGAGTTAGAGAGGGGGCAAGAAATTTGGGGATAATATAGTTTAGATAGAAGTTGGAGAGAAAGGGGATGGAAAGGAAAGGAGAGACAGTATAAAGGTTTTGATTAATTGATGATGGAACCAGGAAAGGGTAAAAAGGGCTACCTTATTTTTCTGAAGAGGGAGGGTCCTACCCCTGCTGCCACTTAGTATTTTGTTTTCCGTGTTGGTATTCATGTAAGCTTTAAAGCCTTGAAAATAGGGGATTTTCTCTCAAATTTCCAAATGTAAATATATTACTCCAAAATAAGAATCAAGTAAGTACTTTACAAAGAATTAAATGTTCGATTCAGCTACCTCACTTTCTGACATACAAGTCATGTACAACAAAGGAAATAGAAAATAACAACACGACAGTGAGTTGAAATATTTTACAATTTATTTAGGTATTTCAGCAATTAAAATAGATAAATAAATAATAAATGAATTCGATTTGATGATCAATTAAATGTACAACTTTTTTAACACACATTCAAACTTAAAGGGATCGTTTAACAATGTTAAATCTGAGATACACGGCCCTACGTTTTATCAGTGTCTGTGATATGGTGTAATCTTGAAGCCCTAAAAAAATCGCGCTTCAAATTGATCAAGAAGTGCCTCAAAAAAGTAAAAATCTTGGAGTGACCGGTTTTACCATACTCGTTTTCCCCAATAGACTGTAGTGTTATGAAAACCGTCAGGCGAACGGTTTTCAAAATTTGTAATTCCAATCATAAATATCTTGATAATCAGACAGGCGATCGACTTGTAAAAGTCATGGGGTTCCTGACTGACCTAAAGGTTTATAATTATCATTGCATCATGAGCTAAATCCAGAATTTTGTTTCAGAATCTGAGACAAAGTTACCGGATCCCTTTAAATTAAATTTAATATACAATCATGTACACTTCTGAGCATTTATAATACAAATTTAAAAGACGATAGTCCTGGGATGGGCCTAAAGTGGGAAAAATGCAAAATGTCCTCTTGTATGATTATGATCTTAATTTCGTAAATTCAGAAGGCAAGGTGTCTCTATAACATACTAGTACACGTTATGACTAGGCTACTGTACTATGAAGTAGCTTTGCTGGAGTTTGGGTGTTAAGGGGGAGGAATTAATTTTTTGTGACTTCATTGTAAATTTTGGCCTAATTAATTGAAGCATGGATCCAACATATTTGACAGTGTATACACTCAATAAATAAAGTAATTATTTTATATTTGCCAACTTAACAACTCAACATCACTCTTGACACTCATGTTTACAATCAGTTATTAGAGTACCAGACTATCTACATATAATTATGAACAAGTATCTCAATTTTTCAAAGAAATATAGAGATGTGTCCATTCAGTGTAAACAGAATAAAATAGTATTGATGTAGAATGAACGATATCAGCCGAATACATCTTTTCAACTTTCAAGGTGAATTCTTCAACCCTTTTATCCTACACACCATGTACATGTACCATATTCAATATCAAAAAGCGACGTCAGATGCACAATAGGGCTATTTACAGCATCTCAAGAAAGAATCATCATTCCCTGTCAACCGATGTCCGACAACCCTGGTGTGACTGCCCTTGATGTTCAGATTCCAAGACCTTGGTCCATATCAACATTTGAGTTGAGATGAGTTTATTGAGTTTATTGGTTTCACATTTCATATGCAGATTCAATACATATTGATTTACAATTTATACACATAAGACAATATACATATAAGACTTATTGTTTTATAATTAAAAAAATTATTATAGTAATTGACAAATTAATCAGACTATAAAATTATATACAGGTATCACCAAATATGTTTGACAATTATTAAAACCCAGACAACACAAGTACAAAACTGTGAAATGTGCAGGAATAGCTTGTTGTAAAGAATAGGTTCCTGGGAGAGGTGGAAAAATGACCATTAGAACTGAACAAAGCTCAAGCGAAAAGGGCTTTGATTTGTTCTGGTTTTTCAGCAGTTGCTAATTAATCCAAGACATTCCCATCACCATTAGAATTAGAACCAAGCCCAAGGGCTTTGATTTCCTTCACGAGTCTGTTCTGGTTTTCCGCCAGTTGCTTGGCGTTGGCCTCATATGCCTGCCGAATATCATCTTGAAGCTTCTGCATGGCAGCATGAATTTGACTGCGCTGTTCTTCAACCTCATCCTCATCCGCATTATCTTTTAGTTTTGCCACTTTGGCCCTGCATTGCTGCATGAGCTCATCGACCTTCAGCTGCATGTCTTCCTCCATGTCGTCCTGTGTAGGGCAGGAAACGTTGATATTCTTGATGACATCCTGCAGGGATTGTACCGTGTGGCCTTCAAACACGGATGACATGTTCTGGTGACTCTCCAAACACAGCTCACACATGAACGCGTCACAAGCCTTACAATAAGAGCTCGCCTTTACTTGAAGTTTGCAAGCAGTGCACTTAATATCCCGCCTGGGACGTGAGGGTCCTCCAAACTTACTGTGGAGCTCGTCTATGAGATCATTGACTGCTTGGTTGGACGGGAGATCGTCAACGCGATTGTCCTGCCACTTTGTGATCTTCCTGCAGACTGGACACACCATATGGTCAAGTTCTCGATGAGATATTTCGTATCGCTTCAGACATCTTCGACAGAAGGTGTGTCCGCAACCCACGAGAGTGGCGTCTTTAAACACATCGAGGCATAGCGGACATGCCAGTCTCTCCGAGTAGGCAGTAATCGGGTCTTGTTTCTGCTCAGCCATGGCCAATAAATAAAGTAATTTAAGGATCTATTCCACAGTGTTTAGGTGACAGTTATGGTGGTGTCTTATTAGCCTTACTTAGGCTTATAATCAAAGATGATGCCTGTATATAGCGGCTTGCTACTACTTTCTCAGTACATAACATCCAGAGTAGCCATATCAGCGGTGTCACTTTTGTATGGCGGGAGGAACATAAGCCAACGGTATAAAGCTTGCATGTACACTTGTTCACGTGACAGCGATGTGAATGATAGTCTTACTAGAATATGAGCGAAATTCAGGAAATAGATTTCAGTTGTATGCAATTTAGCAAACCTCTTCTTTGTTGTGTTCGCTGAGCTGAAAGGTTAACGAGGTGTCAACAAGTAAATCTTGCAGTTTTCTTAACAATTGTATAAACAGTTAGGTGCTCCTTCGGTTGTGCCCTGCTCCTTTAATACCGTGTGTAAAAATGTTGAACTTGATCCAGCGAGTACTACATGCACAGCTAGCTAGTATAGTACACACACAAACCGTATGACCCGGATCAAAATCAAAATCGCAGTGCAGTGGTATGTTCGCGCGCTCGGCCGGGGAATCCCCTACTGATATTTACTCCGCACTGCATTATTGTATCCATGGTTTGCTTTCCCGCCGCTTGATGTTTATTCGGAAATATTTCAATTGAAAAATATGCATGTTGAAAAGAACACCATGAAATATGTTAACATCGTAATAAGCTATGTACTCATGTATATATTTTGTAAATATAATAGCAGACCTAAATTACCCCTCGTGGACAATTAACCCCCCCCCCCCCTGACAAAAATTATACTTCTATAAAAAACCAACTTATTTATCAGGGTATAGACTTCCCCTTTAATGAATAGGGGGGGGGGGTATTTTTTTTAAATATTATTATTATTATTATTATTTATTTATTTATTAATTTATTTATTTATTTATTTTAATAAAAAAATTGTGGGGGGGGGGGTAGTCCTTATTGTCCTTGGGTTGCTTGTCCTTGCTTGTCCTTGAGAGGGGCGTAATTTTCAGGGTGATGGGGGGGGGGGGTAATTTTCCACGAGGGGTAATTTTCCGGTGGATTATTGTCCTTGGGGGTAGTTTTCCAGCGGGGGTAATTATTCAGGGGTTATTGTCTAGGGGGCAATTGTCCTGACACGGGTATACTCTTATATTCGAGGTAGTGGCCTCTGGGTAGGGGCACAGAATCATTATTACCCTCCATCTAGCATTTGAAGCCTAGTATATGGTTGACAAAACTTGTGCAGTGTATAGCACTGAATTAAAATTTATTATTATAAAAGAAGTTTGGTGATCAGCATTTGACTCTTATGATATTGCTTTTTCTTTTCTTTCTTCTTTACGCTTCGCCTGACCTAGCCAATTTGTTTTAATTTAATTCAATTCAATTCATTTTCGGTTTTATTGAACATGACTTTTAAAGTCAAAAGACAAAATATTGTCATATTTACAGTAAAATACAAGAAAACATGAAATAAGGATATAATATAATAAAAACGCACATTGACTGAGAGTCGTTTAATGATAAGTACAAAGAAGATGGTGAATTCATGCATTAAAACAGATAATGTTAAACAGCAATTCTAATATTGAATTTAACTATACAAGATTAACGGTACAGTGTATGCCAGAAGTAAACGAAAACAAGTCAATTTATAACAATTAAAAGATTGGCAATTCAGAATTCACAAAAAAAAAAAAAAACTTTGACAAAATACAAGGTAGTGCTGTAAGTGAGGTAAATGCAGAAACAGAAAAAGGCAAAATAGGCCTTCAATGATTACAATGAATTATGCATGATACCATCTGCCAATACATTTTGTACATGGCACAGAAAATAGTAAAGATATAAATGTGGAATATGGTACTTAACAGAGAATGTAAACAAAGTTACAGAGTTTATCGTAAAAGAAAGGAACATAACATTATTTTATGCTGCTGTGATACACTGATGTAATAAATGCTCTGGTTGTGCTTAATATAACACTAGATCCCGTTCATGGATTACAGACAAAAATTATTAATTAATCTTATCTTCAAACATTCTCTTTTTTGATATATATCTGTGTCGTTAGCAACATCATTTAATTATGTCCAATAATATAGACCCTGCTATACACCTCTTTCATGATGTACAATATGTAATCAATCGAACTTAAATTGACAATTTTAAAAAGCACATTTATTTTCTGTGGCAAACGATACAGCGATCTACAGCCCAAAGGGAGCAAAATAGATCACCTACAACTGTTTTATTAGCGTATAGTGGAGTAAGGATATTAAGAAAATGAATGAATACCGGTACGCAGTAATCAGAAAGGATGACACCCGCATCATTTTTATACAACAGAGTATAAAGTGGATACATTTTAATTAATTTGATTTTATAACATTCACTGTGTAATAGGATATAGTGATACATATATTTCACTTTAAAGCCTATAAACGATGACGTCACAAATATAGATTAACACATGGTTGACATAACCGTCCCAAATACGTCGTCTCATGATATAAGCGAACAATATACATGTATACGTGTATAGCTAAAACGTTAAAGAAAATATAAGTGGTTGAACAAATATCATGACGAACCTGATCAAAATTACGTCCATAATACAAACAGATTTATGTAAGTGTATTCAAATGTTGCCAGTTCTCTTCCGATATGTTATGTTCTCGTAAACATGGTGCGTACAACACATTCAATTGATATTTGACAGACCTAGCAACGAATGAGGCCTTCATGTTCATTTAAAGTTCAATAATCTGTGCGTCCCAGAAAAAACTAAATCGAGAATTATCGATGTTTTATCATAACTTAATCACAATTATAATTAATACATGACATATTTGTAAAGCGTAGATCCTCTTCTTTCATTTGATGCAACCCATATGATGCATGTTTCACGCATGGATGATTAAAAACAATTTGAAGAAAGGGTACCAAAAAGTCATGTGGCGAACGATATCTGAATTTAAAAGAGAAAATCACATTTCAAGAAAGTTCATTTTCTGCCCTTTCATAATAGGACGCCTCAATCAAGAAAAATGAGCCAAGAAATCAAAGTTCTGTTTGATTAAAGTAATGCTTGCATACATATGAGGTTATTCAACATTTCATTGATTTCCAAAGCGTAAATAACCTCAAGTTTTAATGATTGTTCAGCTTAAATACAATATGCTGGAAATATAATATTTGGTTTCCAAAAAATCATTTTGAAAGGCACGTGCAAATATATATATATTTAAAACAGCACTGATGTTCTTTTGCGAACAATCATACGCTTTAATCTTATATGATAACGGCTGATTTTCCCCTTATCAAATAAGAAAGATTTTTGTAAATTGACTGGAGCATTTAGATAAATGAAGTATACATATGGCTACATTAAACTTCAAGCGTATCATTAAATAGCCTACAAACAGACTTGTTGATGTATAATCTTCCATCAATATACATTGTAATGGCAGTACATAAACTGAAAGTTTCTTTAAAATTGACTTTTTTGAAAAATCACACTTTATTTGAAATAAATGAAAATATAGATTAAATAAAGATCATTGCATCCATCTTTGATTTGATATCAACCGTGCCCTTTGTTTTTTTTAATCGCCACGCGGTGAAGGCATTGCCCTTTTTCTGCGATAGGCAACGAAAAACAGCAAAGTAGTCATCGAGTTTACGGTGAACACAGCTCCAAGAACAAGGAATACTATAGTGAATGACCGGCTGGCATCCTTTATAAGACCTGTATACAAACGAGATATTAGGATTATTGGTTTTAGAAGTCTTTTAGCGAGCAATTTATCTACCCAGGTGAGGTAAGGCCAAATAATAAAAACAAAATTGTTTAGCGTCCTGCCTTTTTGAAAAATAGAAAGGAGGAGGCCCTTTTTTCTTTTATTTTTTCTTTCAAAATGGCGGCTCAAAATGGCCGCTCGGTAGATTTTCCCGGACGCGTCATTTTTTTCTGCGGCACAAATTGGGGCTTTAAAAAAAAAAAAGAGGTCTTGATTTAGCCCTAGCCCTAACCCTAATCCTAACCCTGAACTTTCCTATGTGCTCAACACGCACCTAACCCCAATCTGTGCCGCAGAAATAATAACGCTTCACTTCCTCTCATCAAAAGGAAATTAAGATGACGAGATCCGAGATCTTTGATTCTCCTCCTCTTATCCAAAGGAAATTAAGATGACGAGATTTGAGATCTCTGATTCGACTCCTCTTATCCAAAGGAAATTAAGATGACGAGATTCGAGATCTCTGATTCGCCTCCTCTTATCCAAAGGAAATTAAGATGACAAGGCTCGAGATCTCTGATTCGCCTCCTCTCATCCAAAGGAAATTAAGATGACGAGATTCGAGATCTCTGATTCACCTCCTCTTATCCAACGAAAATCAAGATGACGAGATTCGAGATCTCTGATTCACCTCCTCTTATCCAAAGGAAATCAAAATGACGAGATTCGAGATCTCTGATTCACCTCCTCTTATCCAAAGGAAATTAAGATGACGAGATCCGAGATCTCTGATTCTCCTCCTCTCATCCATAGGAAATTGAGATGACGAGATTCGAGATCTCTGATTCACCTCCTGTTATCCAAAGGAAATTAAGATGACAAGACTCGAGATCTCTGAGTCGCCTCCTCTTATCCAAAGGAAATTAAGATGACGAGATCCGAGATCTTTGATTCTCCTCCTCTCATCCAAAGGAAATTAAGATGACGAGATCCGAGATCTTTGATTCTCCTCCTCTTATCCAAAGGAAATTAAGATGACGAGATCCGAGATCTTTGATTCTCCTCCTCTTATCCAAAGGAAATTAAGATGACGAGATTCGAGATCTCTGATTCGCCTCCTCTTATCCAAAGGAAATTAAGATGACGAGATTCGAGATCTCTGATTCGCCTCCTCTTTTCCAAAGGAAATTAAGATGACAGGGCTCGAGATCTCTGATTCGCCTCCTCTTATCCAAAGGAAATTAAGATGACGAGATTCGAGATCTCTGATTCGCCTCCTCTCATCCAAAGGAAATTAAGATGACGAGATTCGAGATCTCTGATTCACCTCCTCTTATCCAAAGGAAATTAAGATGACGAGATTCGAGATCTCTGATTCACCTCCTCTTATCCAAAGAAAATTAAGATGACGAGATTCGAGATCTCTGATTTGCCTCCTCTTATCCAAAGGAAATTAAGATGACGAGATTCGAGATCTCTGATTTGCCTCCTCTTATCCAAAGGAAATTAAGATGACGAGATCCGAGATCTCTGATTCTCCTCCTCTCATCCATAGGAAATTGAGATGACGAGATTCGAGATCTCTGATTCACCTCCTGTTATCCAAAGGAAATTAAGATGACAAGACTCGAGATCTCTGAGTCGCCTCCTCTTATCCAAAGGAAATTAAGATGACGAGATTCGAGATCTCTGATTCACCTCCTCTTATCCAAAGGAAATTAAGATGACGAGATTCGAGATCTCTGATTCGCCTCCTCTCATCCAAAGGATATTAAGATGACTAGATTCGAGATCTCTGATTCGCCTCCTCTGATCCAAAGGAAATTAAGATGACGAGATTCGAGATCTCTGATTTGCCTCCTTTCATCCAAAGGAAATTAAGATAACTAGATTCGAGATCTCTGATTCGCATCCTCTCATCCAAAGGAAATTGAGATGAAGAGATTCGAGATTTTTGATTCTCATCCTCTCATCCAAAGGAAATTAAGATGACGAGATTCGAGATCTTTGATTCTCCTCCTCTCATCTAAATTAAGATGACGAGATTCGAGATCTTCGATTCTCATTCTCTCATCCAAATTAAGATGACGAGATTCGAGATCTCTGATTCTCATCCTCTCATCCGAAGGAAATTAAGATGACGAGATTCGATACCTTTCATTCTCCTCCTCTTATCCAAAGGAAACTAAGATGACGAGATTCGAGATCTCTGATTCTCATCCTCTTATCCAAAGGAAATTAAGATGACGAGATTCGAGATCTCTGATTCACCTCCTCTCATCCAAAGGAAATTAAGATGACGAGATTCGAGATCTCTGATTCTCATCCTCTTATCCAAAGGAAATTAAGATGACGATATTCGAGATCTCTGATTCACCTCCTCTTATCCAAAAGAAATTAAGATGACGAGATTCGAGATCTCTGATTCGCCTCCTCTTTTCCAAAGGAAATTAAGATGACGAGATTCACATTCTCGTTCCAAATGAGGCGATAGATTTTGCTTGGTCATTAAAAAAAACTTAACCTGGATCTTCCTAAAAACTTTCTTGTTTCATATATCAGATCTTGTTTCAGGAGGTTAGAAAATAAAATATTATTTTAAACATTAGATTACTTACTCAACGATATCTTAAATTTTGTTCGCGTGAGAAAAACTATTCATTGGTATCTGAAATATGAATCAGTTCATTTCTAATACAATTGTGAAGACTTTCGAGAAAAAAAACCTAATAAATTGTTTAGGCATGACGATGACAAATTACAGCCATAATCAGAACATGATTTTGTTAAGGCTATTTAACGTGGTATTGAAATTTCCCCTAAGCGGATTTTTCGAAAGTGGTTGCGATCGTATTTTCTAGATATAAGGGTCTCTCCATGATCATTGGGTGGTTTATAAGTTTTCTGCATATTGAAAACAATTGGATCATACATATATGAGAAGAATGTGAGCATAAAGAAAAATTAATTAAATCCTGTACCTGATATAAAACCACCGACGATTGCTCCCATTCCAGCCATCAGACCTTGAAGTCCTGCAGCTAGCGCAAAGTTTTTGTCAGAAGCAGCATACTTCGGGTAAGCAGCCGTTGAAACTTGGCACGAGAAGAGACACCACCCCTGGATAAAAGCTACCACGCACATCTCTGGAAAGGTTGTAATGAGCGGGTCCATCAGAAATGTGATTGCTGATATCATGTTGAATATGAAGGAGAGGAAGATGGCATTGGCGCCAAAGTAGATCAACGCTATGTAGACCAATCTTCCAATGATTCCCCCTGCACCAGCTAAAGTTGACAAGAAAACTGCGTCGGAGCTAGGGATACCATGCCATTCAGCTCTCGGCACCAAGAAGAGAACCCAGGAATTCACTCCAAAGAAGGTCAAGAAAATGGAAGGAGATGAAATGGTCATCAGAGGTTCTTGTATACAAATGCAGCTTTGAACCAAATTCTTGAATTTCTGTTTTATTGTATTGTCATGACTTCCAAGAGAAACTGGCGGTCTATTTTGTTGATTGTCTTCTGTGATCATAAAATTAGAGTTAGTAGGTTGTCGTGTCTTCCTGAGGTAACGTTTCGAAGACCGTTCTTCATCTAGAATCAAAGCCTCTGTCTCTCTTTCCGGATTAGAGCTTCTTATCGGAGTTTCTGGAGGATTCCTCAGAGCGACACTTGCCGGAATTGCATGTAAACTGATACCACCCAAAATAAGCATAGCTCCAACATAGCCATATGCTTCAAGCGACCTCTCCACGATATATGGTGCAATGAGCGCACCCGTTGTGTTGCCCAAATTTGCGATTGCAGCTACCAGAACGTAATTACCTTTGAAATATTCATTGAGCATAATTTTTGATGACAGATATCCCATGGACAACCCAGTACCTGCATGGAAAAAAAAAGGAGGCGGCATTTTCATTTCGTTAGTTGTCTAGCATTTAGAAGAATTCATATTATCAATTGATTCTAAGTAGGCGATGTCCAATCTATCCTTTCAATTTAAAGCACATCAAAAATGTATTACGAAGCTGGTTAAAATATATCAATGAATAGTAATTAAATATGATGAAGATGATGATGATGTTGATAATAATAGTATGATAACACGTTATTAAACCCAAAGTCACCGTATTGGAAGTACAGTATATTCTTCTATACCAATTTCATTAAATGTTTACATCAATTTTTATTATTTTCCTCTTCTTTTCTCTTCTAGTCAGAGTTTCAAGGAAGGAGGGATCTAATACGTGCACCATCTCCACTTTGTACAAGGTTTACCTGCATGGGAATCATTTATTGCAGTAATTACACTGACTTTTAGTAATCCCTAGAGGGTTTCCACTTTATACCTGTGGTACAAAGTGGCAAAGGTAAGTCTGCATTCGTCTCTAACTTATTAATATAGAGGTTATATTAGTTTTAATAAACGATCGTCATTAGGTTAAATAGACATTTACAAACCTTACATAGAATCCTTCATTTTTCAAACTAATTTCACGATCAAGTCAGGCTTTGAAATCAGGTTGTTTGCTGGTTTGTTGGCACGTTGGTTTTACTTGACTGCATGTATGCTTGTAAGTAAGCAACCAGAGGACCGACGATTTTAAGTCCTCTCCGAGGGACTTAGTAATGAGGATGTAATGCCTTATCAAAGGGCGATATAGCGAATCGAATTGGTTTCGAACCCGGGATCTCCAGATTACGAGACCACTGCTCTACCACTGAGCCATCGCCCCTCCTCTATGTCACACTCACGATCCACGCTTAGACTTATAATTTCAAATCGATGCCACTCCCCCTCCTACCTAAAACTGTATCCTTCAGATTCATATGTGATTAAAACATCATACTTACAAGAAGAAGAAAAAACTATGACCTACCTGTTATTGTAAGGCTTATCACAAGAGCTGGTACAGACATAATCAATCCAGCAGTAGCAAGGCATGCTGATGATAAGATCGCGCCAATTAGAGCACACGTCCGAGGCGTTACCACACCTTTGATCAATGCATAAGCTACAGCAGGGCCTATAAATGTACAGTTACGACGATAATAATGTTAGGTGTAAGAAATCTAAAGAAAGATTAAAGTGGTCCGTGGTGTTGACAGTGATCAAAAGTTGTGCTGACAATAAATTGTCTTTATACAGTGCGTCCCAGGAAAAACGAAACCGAGAAGTATCGATGTTTTATCATAACTTAAAGGTACTATGTCCCTTTTGCAGCCAACCTCAAATGCTGTAGAACTTTGCAGGAATTATGAATATGTCGTGTATGTCCTATCTGTGAAATTTAAACGTTGAGCAGTGTCCTCATATTCAAATTATGCAAGGAAACCCGTTTACTTGCTAGACTTAACTGTCAGACACTATTGAATGACTGACTGGCTTTTTTCTTTTTTGGTAATAACATACATGAAAAGAGTTGTAAAGGGTACATGAGCATTTGTCTACATCAATAATCCACTTCTTGTGATGGCCAAGATTAAACTAATTGAATCTTTGCGCAGCATAAAACGTATTACCATTCGGTACAATTGTCTGAAAATCAAGACTATTACTTTTGGGCTCTATAGCCCTAAAGTCGATTTGCCAACTAATAGTCGTTATTTTCCCACTTGAAGACATTTTCAAACCCCACCTTTTTAGGGATGTTCTAAATTAGTATTATCTTTCAAATGCAGTTGGAATTTAACTCTTTCATTTTTTGGCCCGCAAATGGGACATAGTACCTTTAATCACAACCATAATTAATGAATGATACATATTTGGAAAGCTTAGAGTCTCCTCTTTCAGTTGATGCTACTCATGTGATGCATATTTCACGCATGAGTGATTAAAAGCAATTTGAAGGAAGGAAACCAAAAAGTAATTTAGCGGGCGGTATCTGAATTTCAAAGAAAAGTTCATATTTCTAGAAAGTTCATTTTCTGCTCTTTCATATGATATTTCATATGAAATATGCATCACGTGAGTAGTATCAACTGAAAGAGGAGACTCTAAGCTTTCCAAATATGTATCATTCATTAATTATGGTTGTGATTAAGTTATGATAAAACATCGATACTTCTCGGTTTCATTTTTTTCTGGGACGCACTGTACAGTTTCATAAACTGATCAATGGGTCAAAATGCCTCCATTCGAAAAAAAAGAGCGGGAAAACAAACACAAATAAGCCAGGCGTACTGATGTTACCCTTTTATTGTATCCCACCATATCCAATGAGAGTGAGCTAGTTTTTGGCGGAAGTGCCCACGGGATTCCCGAAATCATGTTTCAAGGAACAAAAAACAACCCCCCAAAAATGCCGGCCTCCTTTTCTGACAATCCTGGATCCACCTGTGCTTGTTATTTTTCAAATAAATATTATAGCGTTCCAGAAAACATTCAAAATTAGAAAAAAATGATAATAAATTAATATTATTTATAGAGGGAGCCACAGGAGCCCTGAAGCAAGTGCCATTGATTAGCAGAGTTTGGCCAACCCGGTTCGAGTTGGACACAATATGGCGACTACTGCTTTGTTGGACAAACACAAAACAAAATAATATACGCCATGTTGTGACCCAGTGAAACTCAGTTGGCCAAACTCTGTGTATAGATGGCTTTGTATTGTCCCATAGCCATTGATTAGGAGAGTTTCGCCAACCCGGTTTGAGTTTGACACAATATGGCGACTACTGCTTTGTTGGACAAGCACAAAACAAAAGAATATACGCCATGTTGTGACCCAGTGAAACCAAGTTGGCCAAACTCTGTGTATAGATGGCTTTGTATTGCCCCATAGCCATTGATTAGGAGAGTTTCGCCAACCCGGTTTGAGTTGGACACAGCATGGCGACCACTGCTTTGTTGGACAAGCACAAAACAAAAGAATATACGCCATGTTGTGACCCAGTGAAACTAAGTTGGCCAAACTCTGTGTATAGATGGCTCTGCCTGAAGTAATTCATCACGGCCCAACAGGAAATGCCTGAAAAATCATGTATTTTACTGACTAAAATATTAAAACATATCATAATGTGATGAACCTATTGATAATAATCGTGGATAATAAATTATACATCATTATACACCATGGGCACCTACACCTTCAATCATAATGCTTGAAGTCAATTTTCTTGATTAAATCGTAAATATTGGCCCAACGAAGGGCTCATTATCACTTGCTTGAATAAGGAAGTGATCATTAACAATATTGCATGCTTTATTGATATCATTATAAAGAAGTACGTCAAACCACGTAATTTCGAAATTCCAGCTTATAAGTTTAATTTTGAATGCTAAAATCGAAGTTTGAAAACACATCTTTGTAAAGCTGTCCCATGCGGGACCTTTTTGTTAACTCCCATACGAAATTTGCGTTCAATGTAAACTAACGGAGATCACAATTTTGGCTTTGAGGACAAATTCCAAATGCCGAATCATCATATCTCTGGTAAATGGGAAGGGACTTTGAATACAGACCTCAATAGTCAATACACATTCGGTTGAGCGCTTATTGTGATGTCTATCAAAGCCTACTGTACATCATACAAAAGCCCGGGGCAACTGTCTCGTATCGAGAGCATATTGTATAAAGACAGGAGCATATAGTACATGAAGATCTCGGTTGAGTGAAATTCTCCCGTCGTGTTTGTTTCCGTCATGATTGCGAAAGCGCTCTAATGTTAAAAGGGGATTACATTGTTATTATCATGAGCTATACAAATTTAACGATATTCTTGTTATTAGAATAGTAGAAGTAGAAGTAGTTGTTGTTGTTTTTAATTTTATTAAGTTTTATTTCAGTAGGGTAGTTCCATTCAAGCCAAAAATAAAGTTAATGGCCTGCTTTCCGAGGAAGCCCTACATTATACAAGTAAATAAAATAACATCACATTTAATACAAAACAACAAAAATTTAACACAGATTTTACTAGTATAATAATTAAAACAATTAATGGATACTCTCAACGAATACAGTACAAAAATTAAATAACATCAATAACCAGGGCTTACAGCCGATTTTTCATTAACAAAATCTAGCACTTACTATTATATTAGGAAGGAAAAAAAACTCATGGGAGATCGAACGAGCACCCCCCCCCCCCCATGAACAAAAACAATAAGGCAGCTAAAAAATTTCAACATTTTACATGTTTGGACTTCTAAAGAGTGTGGGATAAAGATCAGCAACACATTTTAAATAGAGGCAATAAACTACTTGATTGAATATCTAATATTTTTAGGAGTAGTCGTAGTCGTAATGGTAGAAGTCTTAGTAGTAGTCAAAGTTTATGGATCAGAATAACTTGAAATGTTGTGCCCCTCCGGAGGCCATTGCCCAGGCGTGGATTCAGGATTTCTCAGGGGAGGGGGCCCAATTTTTTTCTTTTTTTTTTGCTCCCAAAAATTTGAAAATCGCGCCAGCCGAAAAGTCGCTCTCGAAAATTTGAAAATTTGAAAAGTCCCCCTCGAAAATTTGAAAATTTGCATCCTCCCTTGAGCGCCAGGGGGGGGCATCCCCCAATAAAGATCACGTGTTTTTACATGGTATTTTCCCAGGGGAGGCGGGCCCCCCGGTCCCCCCCCCCCCCCCACCCTGGATCCGCCACTACCATTGCCATCCAGTTCTTCATTCTAACTTTATTTCCTACTTATCAATCTTGTACTCACTTGCAAGATATATCAAAGCCGACGGGAGACTACACACGAAACCCAGTGTCCTTGTATTCGTCTGAAGAACCATCATCATGGCGGGTATCAGAACTCCGAATGATTTGGAGATTGACACATCAATACAACTGAAGATAAATTTACTGAGTAAAATGATGTACTTCCATGTGTTCTGAGAGTCCTCCATTTCGCTGTCCCTCGTCATTTTGCTCCAATTCATGCCACCAGAGCCCTGTTTCATAAAAGCAAAAACTGTAATTATGCAATTTGTATTTTAACAGTTATAGCAGAAAAATAATAGCAGGTGAGTGAAATACTTCACCACCATCACACACAAGTGGGAAGGAAGCATCCATATATTTGAATACATTTACTTGATAAACGACTTTGCATAGTACGTCACGTTATCAAGAAAATGCGGGTGCCCATTTTGTGCTGAGAAACTGTCGGGAAACTGTACATAATGCTAAGAATATCTTGCTTTATACGTCTGTCATAATTATACTTAGGTGGGGGAATCTTGTAGATTAATGGGCAAGAATACAATAAACCTCAGCTCCGAACAAGAATAGTTATTTCTTTGGGTAACGTTCCCTTTTTACAAAGATATCAGCCGAAGTCAGTTCCAAAAGCATTGCATGATTGAATTGTGCGAACATTTCGTACATGTTTTTCACATGCAGGCAATCCAAATTTTAAATTGCCCCTTGAAATGATAGTTGGAAAAGTATTTGCAATCAAGTTAATATGAAAACGAAATGAATAAAAAGTTCTCACCTGTATTGGAACACCGCCTTAGACTGTCGCCATTAAATTCAGTGTAGACTAAACAGGTGAACATACTTTTCAAATATAATATTATTATCACTCTGGGCACACTGGTGCGTGGAATGTGAATACAGTGAATATACATTCAGACTTTTTATATTTCTTTTTTATCACAAACGGAATACAAGCTTAGCCGTGTATATCTCATTATTTGCATGAATACTCGCTTTTTTGTTATGAGGGGAGTCTGTGAGAGGCCTTGTGGAACGTTTTTCAAAGTTTGGGGATAAAGTATTTACAATCAGGTAGAGCGTAAATAGGCTGGGGTCAAAGCTTAAAGGTAATACAAAGTTTTGGGAAATTTTGAAAATGGGGTGGATAGTGATTCTTTACAATTTTGATATATTTGGATGCCCCATGTGGATGTATTATAAGCACTAGAACATTTAGCCCCTAAAACACTTCTGTTTTCGAGAAAAATTAAATATAAAAATTTACCGGTGCTCCCGGTAACTTTTGATATATTTCAAAAAGCGCCTACGGCCGTACAAAGGTAGCTGCGACCATGAAATTCTCAGAATATGTAGTTGTGATATATAATTTCCAAACGGGAAAAGCTCGTCGGTCGATTTTAGTCAAGAAACATTGTTTTATAGCTTAATTAATATCTTGACCTTGAGAGGGAGCTATACAACATAAAGACTTTATTATTTACAATTTCATAACTTCAGACTCGATTTCAACTGCGACAACGATCGATGAATCTTTTAGGATCGTATATGCTAACAATATGTTAATTTGAACCAAATTCATGACCCCATACCAAAACTTTTTATTACCTTTAACTCTGAAGCTTAGGGTTTTATGCATTTAATTATGGTCAGATGAGCATATTTTGATGCCTTTATTCTTTCTTTCTTTTTACTTTTTCAAAAAAGTGAGATTGACCAAGACATGCATATCAATCCTAAAATTAAATATCGAAAACGTAAATTAAATATAAGCAAATTGAACAAACTTTATTATGGTGAGAAGTAGTTGACAATTTGGCCAAACATTCACCCAAAAAGTAAGTAGTAGGAGGGGAGAACTTGGCAGTTGAGCCCCCCCCCCCTCCCGCCTCCCGCAAAAAAAGTAAAAATAAAAGTATTACATAGGAATAAACTAAGAATCTTATCTATTGCTTGCTCCAAGTTCATGGGGACGAATCGATTCATTTTGACCCAAATTATTTTTTATTATAAGACATTTATAATATATGTTAAAGACTATCGTCTTAACAATTATAAATAGATGTCGTTCTCATTGATGACCTTCACCTGAATACTGACCAACCCGTTGATACATTATTACAATCCAACCAGCGATATACGCTTTAGACATCCATCATGATTGTAGGCCTACTCACAGACCTCCTCCTTTAATGGACCTTGTACTTTTTAAAACTTTTGTGTCCATCTTTTTACAAAGGAGATGATATTTATTCAATTTTTAATTGACAACGCATTTTTTTTGTGGTGACCCAAAATATTACAAAGAAATCACGAATACATCGCTTCCCTCTTCAAACTTGTACTATTGTATTCGGAACAGAGGCGCAACTGAACCATGAATTCTCTATCTGTAGTTACTATTTGCAACTGTAGAGTGCAAAGAAAGGCCTGGGAAAAGGCGGACAAAATATGCTATCGTGCGGTTATGTGGTACCGTTTTACATCTAGGATAAATTTTGAAAAATTGTTTAGTTTATATTCAGAAATATGAAGAGGACCGAGGTTTATGCATACGTGGTGAATACGACATTGTGACGGACTGGCTTCGGTGGAAAATTAACGATACATGACAAATTACCAGCTTCATCTTAAAAGCAGAATGAGACTTTCTCCTTCTTTCTACCTTTTGTTAGATTGCACGGACATAATTTGGGGATAGAAAGAAAAAACAACAACATTGAATTATGTCTGGGAGCAAGGAGGCCGAAGGCTTGAATAAGACCAACGTGGTAAGAAATGCATCTATTTTAAACTCAATCATGTACCTGCACAAAATATGATACAACTTTAATGGGTTACTTCGAATCGTCGGGTCATCGCGTCTGGTCGGTGGTCGCGTTACACGGCCTTTCGTGAAACAAAAACGAAAGGATCATTTTTAAGCCCCCCCCCCCCCACTCCGGGGTCGGAGTGACGGCATGCGTGTTACCAAAATGTCCGGTAAAGGGGCACTTTTCGTGCGACAAAGTCCGGCCCGAGAATTGTTTAAAAAAAGGGGTGTATTTGACTTTTCACCCGGAGATTTCTTTAAAAAGGGGGTGTTTTTCTTTTTTTTCTCTCATCTCTTTGGACTCCTGAGAAATTATTCCGAATTAAGGGGGTACATTGAGCAATTTTCCGTATTAAGGGGGGTCTCCAAGCCCGCGAAAAGCCCGCGAAAGGGCAGTCCTCAGATAGGGGGTGCTTTCAAAAAGAGGGAACGAGCATACGCGTACCCTCAATAACACTGAGTGGGGGGGGGGGGGGGGGGTGTTTAAGGCGCGACCTTTCGTAGATTTGTTGTTTGTAGATGAGAGGGGATTATTTCACAATCATTACTCCCGACATTTCGTGCCTAAGGGGGCATGTTTTCGCAAAAAGTCGGGTGACGCGACCACCCGAACCGACGCGATGATCAAGTAGGCCACTTTCATTGTGCCTATATATATATATAAGTACCACTCAAACCGAAGAGACCGACAACAGATCGACAAAAGACGGAGAAAAAAATTAATCCCGAATGGCTGGATTCGTTCGGGTCTGGATGCGGTTTGGCGGTGTGATTGGTGAGTTAAAGAATGATTTGCCTAAACATGTATGATCACACGAGGAAAAATGAGTTTTGTTTCCAATGTTGTTGTTCTTGTTGGTATAACATCTCTACATTTTATTAGTATTGAGACTCTAGTTTTGTTATACTCGTATTTATTTCATTCAGTTTGATTTAACATTGAGTGTCTGTTCATGTGCAGACAAGGGTGGGGAGAGGGAGTACCGAAGTAATATCAATGTGCTTATCGGGCTGAATTATATTTATTTTTAAAAAACAGTTTAAAGCCCATCTGTACTAGTCTGGCTAGGAGGGATTAGACCACCTAGAAATGTCACTGACAGGTGGCTTCCCATCAACTCAGCTCTCAATAAATTAACATAAGAAAAAGAGGATCATGTGGGAACAATGGTCACCGATTAGGCATTGTTTTCTATCTAGAGGGAGCAGGTAACTACAAGTAGTACAGTGGGCCTTTAAGAGGTGGCTCCAAATCATCCCTGCAGCTTTTAAACCAAAGGTAATAACTTAAGATATCATTCCCAAACAGGATTCATCTCTTCATCAGAAATATGTCAGTCCTGACGACACCTCGGTCGAGATGGTTAGTATGACGTCGAGTATGACGTCGAGGAATAGCCGTACGAATTGGAATCCCTGGAGCCGGACATCGTACGACGTCGTCGGCGAAGCATCGCGGAATCAGAAAATCGTTAGCTTGGTCAATGATGACGATGATGATGACATTGAAAGGAAAATCGAAGTGGGCAGCTCGATGACTCGAAGACGGGTTCCTCGTTGGTTTTCCCGCGCTGTTTTGATCCTCATATCACTTCTTGTAGCAGCTGTACTCGTCACTATCTCGGGTAAATATGAGACAGGCAATATCACTTTTTAGTAATTTCATATTGGTCATATTACCAAAAATATTACACCCGATTCCTTATCAAAATGATGTAACACACGCAAACATAATTTATGATCGGCTTTCTGATACATGATTATATAGCGTGTCGTATATAGAATTTAACCTTTTGATTTGCAATTTTATTTGATAATTTTGCAACGTAATACCTCCAGAAAGAAGAATAGGTTATTCAATATTTTAACTTGGTCATAGAACCAATAATATTTAGACCCGATTTCTTATCAAAATGATGTAACACACACAAACATCATTTTTGATCGGCTTTCTGAAACATTATTGTATAGCGTGCCGTGTACAGAATTTCATTTGTTAATCTTAATTTTATTTGAAGATTTTGCAACGTAATACCTCCAGAGAGAAGAATAGGTTATTAAGTATTCTAACATAGCCTAAGAGAATCATAATAATGCAATTATCGTCTGCTGTGAACCAAAATTATCGGTTTTGTTCTTTCATACTCTGTTGTTTTTGTTGTACATGTATCTGATATCCCATTGCCCTTCTGTTCCTGAAATGTGTATACTTTCAGCACATTATATACATGTATGCAAATATTACATCCATTTATGTTTCAGTGATACCAATGGTTCGACGTGAAACGATAACAGCGACGACTACGACAGCGTCGATGATGACTATAAACTCGACTACCACTCCGACGTCAATTTTAACAGGTAACATTTGAATAATGGTCGGGATTAATTCAGATGCATTTTGAATTTCTGCATCAAAATGTGTAAGCTGTAAAAAAATATATAAGAACAAAATATTTAACAGTTGCATTAAAAGAAGAATTGGACGATTGTGATCCGTATATTTTCTAATGGGTACTGAGAACGGAGAAAGCGGACTCGGATATTAATATAAAATGAAGAGTGACAAGAGAAAACGAATTGCCAAAATATTTTAAGTAGAACAAAAGGGGATGGAGAGGGAAACACTAACGAAAATATAGATAGATTATATCGATAAAGATAGGAGAATGGTCATTCTAGCGTTGGCTACAGGTAGAGGTAGAAATAGAGATAGAGATAGAGGGAGAGAGGGGGGGAGAGAAAGAGGGAGAGATAGAGAGAGAGAAATAGAAAGAGAGAGAGAGGAGAGAGAGAGAGAGAGGTATATCCCCACTAGAGGGAACCAACGTTTATATGATGATGACGATAATGATGGTATGGTGTCGATGGTGGTTGTGGTGGTGGTGGTGGTGGTGGTGGTGGTGATGGGATGTTAATAATGATGATCATTATGGTGAATATTTATCGTGATGGCGATGTATATCATTGTAATACATTTTCAAACAATACTATTTTTGTATTACTTACTTTACCACTAGATGAAAATAAAAGCTGCTTATTAGGCGAGTTCTGGTGCGACACCCATGCTGATGTGCCCGAGTGTATTCCAGAGGAATGGCGATGCGATGGAGAGTTAGATTGTACGACTGGTCTCGATGAAAAATATTGTGAAGGTATTAATAATCTCATCTTCTTATGTTTCCACATTTTGGGCCGACAAACGACATAACCCTCAAATCCTATCACCCATACTCATTATATCAAAGTGGACGTCCGATTTGTTTCCTTCATTAATCCACATCTGTCCTCTCCTTATCTGTATTAATCCCACTCTCCCTCTCTGGTTATCAACACAGATGTTCCGCCTATCACCAGCACGACTGCACAACCCCTCTCATGCGTTGCCTGGCAACAAACTTTCAACGAATCGTGTGAGCGGCCGAGCTCCTCGGCCCAATGCGAGTACGTACCTCAATGCCAAGCCGACGGTTCTCAGTGGGCTAGCATCCAGTGTACGGTAGATCGACAGACCTGCTGGTGTGTAGACCAGGACGATGGAAGGACTGTACCAGGAACTTTCGCTGGAGTAGATGTCTTAATCGAAGGAGAGATTCCGGATTGTCTATGATAGTAAATGAGTCATTCTAGACCAAGTACCTGTCCCGAAGTAGTTAGCCCAAATGATTTAACCCAGCAGGCCTACAGCTGTATTTATTCTATAAAAGTTGTTTGGTATCCTCACCGTATAGCAGTCAGGTTCATCTTTTTAGAGCCCTCCCCCCCCCCCCTCACCCCTCAAACATGAACCTAAATTCGATCGATTTTAAGATCGAAGATCAAACTTTCTCAAAATAAAGTAGTATAACTGTACATCGCAAATACAAGAACAAGAAATGACATAAAGTTCTGTCGGAAAGCAATTGCCATATATATATACATCTATTAGAAGACGGGTCAATCCTTTTTCTTTTCAACCAAATGTACACCCTGGTCAACCTCCCCGACTGCTCTCCCCCCCCCCCCCCTCTCTCTCTCTCTCTTTCTCCCCTCCAATCCATTATGACGTACATGTTCCTTCCCATCTTATAGTCTCATCTACTCTCATTTCTATTTATTTTGATTCCTGTATCTCCCACCTTTCCCTTTTCCTTCTTGACATCTTTCCCCAATGTTTTGTTTAAACAAAAATAGATCTTCCATAACATCATATTTATGACTACATGTTAAGAAGACAAAAGGTTAATAAACAGCCACTGTCAAACCAGCTTAAAAGTTTCTCCCATTTTTATTACAATGAAAAAGTGTGTTACAGCAACATAGCTGTATAAACCATTGCATTAACTTGGTGCATCCTTCATAAATATTCATCATTGTCTAGTTAAAAAACAAACAAATATTTCTTCTTCTCACAAAATAGCATTTTCTCAGTGCAAAATATTCACACCTACATTGTGCATGTTATTTTACATACAAAGTGTGACCATGATTTACAAGCTGACTGATACGATTTACCTGCTATTCATTTTTGTTGGAAACCATCTAATTACAAAGATTTCGAAGAATTGACAATTTAGATCAAATGTATGCATGTACTCCATTCTAAATTCAATCACATTATCAGTGGCAATGCTGTCAAACAAGATCATATTTGTAATAGTGTCTAAATAAATATTTTAGTGAATGTACAGAACAGTTGTAGTAGAAGTAGATTAACTAGCTTGACAAGATTAAAGAAAGGAAGACAATAGACAGAGAAATGATGAAAGGAAAAAGAAAATAATATTATGACATACACAAAAAGTGAAACAGATGGTTAAGAGGGAAAAAAAAATAGAAAAAGAAACAAGAGAACGTCACAATTGAAATAAAAAGAAGACGAATATGTAAAATGGAAAGGAAAGATAGTCAAGATGAATTAATTAAATCTTAATAAAAAAGTGAACTGAGTGAAAGAGAGAGCAAGAGAGCAAGAGAGAGAGAGAGAGAGGGAGAAAGAGGGGGAGGGAGAGAGGTATAAATGACTGACTACTTCTCCCTTGCAGTCATTTAGTCTCAAACAAGTTATTCTGCAAAATATCCAAAGCAGAAAAATGGTATCACTGATCAAGACAGACATACATAAAACTGTATACGTGATGCAAACAAAAATGTTCTTTATACTTGGATCGGTTGTTTTAAAGAGTTTGTTACCAAGTTTGTTGAGGTGAGTATGCAAATAAATTATTAAAAAACATATAAGTGACCTGAAGTTTTAATTTCAACTAAACAAGAATAAAATGACAAAAATGAACATTCACAAAACATCATATTTCCCCCAATACAACTGATATTTAAAAGATATATGGGTAGAAAAACTAACCTGATACAAACTAAATTGTAACTAAATAAATACGATACAAACAAAAATAAATTGCATGATGCATGACAATGAAAATATATTCCTATGAAAGCTATACATAAATATATTTAAAATTATTTTAGAAACATAAAACTAAATGGTAGCAAGACAGTTCTACATACAGTAAAATAAATAGGTGGGTACATACTTACAGCTATAACAAATAACATAGCATACTTATATGAGTAGTTCACTAGAGAAAAGCACTGTTTTGGTAGATCTAAATCTGTCCCTGACAATATATAGCACTATGGCATTTTTTAAATCATGTCTTACACGAAAAGAACTCAAACCTTTACCACTGAATGGTAATATGATTGTTAGTAATTGCGTTATTTTGTGGAAGTTTATCAACCTTACATCCAACATAAATGTAGCTTATGCACATCCTGAAATCCCCGTTACGTAAATTTTAAAGGGTCAACAATTGTTTTAGATTCTCACTTTATTTTATCAATTATAATAGTTTGCGTACTGTGAAGTAAACATTACATTATGATCATAGTATGTCAACAGACTATTTGATCAAGAAACCGGCCACCGGCTGATTTTAAAGAGTTGGCCGGCGGTCGGCCGGTAATCGGCGGGGCACCAAAATACGCTCGGTGCCCGGGCTTTCGCCGCCCGGGCACCGACCTAATCGAGCGTTCGCCGTCGAGCGATTAAGGTCAAAATCGAAGCCACTAGGTCAAAGGATGCCGACCGATTTTGGACTAGCCGCCCAGTGACCGACTGATCTCAACGGCGACCGGGCGGGGACTGCTCGGCAGCCTTTGACCTAGTGGTTTCGATTTCTGACCTAAATCGCTCGACGGCGAACACTCGATTAGGTTGGTGCCCGGGCGTACTTTGGGCGACGAGTGAAAGTGAGCAGGCGCCGCTCGAATTTCAACTCCGCGCTAAAACTTCAACAGCGACCGAGCGATGCCCTAAAAACAAGCCGCTCGGTGGCCGGGCGAAATTGGCTCAAAACTCGCCGTCCGGCCGCCGAGCAGGCTACTCTTAGGTGTTGTGACCATAGCTTTACGGGTCTCAGAAAGGTTTTTCCACGTCACTCTGTTCACTATCATTTATATGCAGATGACAAACTAGTTTCTGTTTCTTTTCCGCCGGAAATATCCGACTCGTTCGGCAACAGAGAAACTTGTTCACTCACTTATTTCTTCACGTCTGGGTCTCGGCAACAGTCTACTCTATAATTTACCAAATTTACAAATTGCACAGTTACAAAAACTACAAAATGCAGCTGCACGCACCATTTCTCTGTCAAGCAAACGTAGTCACATTACACCTATCTTAAAAAAATCTCCATTGGTAACCTGTCAAAGAACGTATAATTTAAAAAAATCTTCCATTAAAATGTATTGCGATGGCAGTACATGAACTGAAAGTCTCTTTAAAATAATCCTTGTCTTTTATACTGAAAATACATATATATCAACTAATGTATATTGCATCCATCTTTGATTTGATATCAACCGTGCCTTTGTTTTTTAATCACCACACGGTGAAGGCAGCGCCCTTTTTCTGCGATGGGCAACAAAAAACAGCAAAGTAGTCATCGAGTTTACGGTGAACACAGCTCCAAGGACAAGGAATACGGTAGTGAATGACTGGCTGGCATCCTTTATAAGACCTGTATACAAACGAGATATTAGGATTATTGAGCTGAGAAGTCTTTTAGCGAGACATTTCTCTACCCAGGTGAGGTAAATTGTTACACGAATTCCACGATGACGAGATTCGAAATCTCTGATTCTCCTTCTCTCATCCAAAGGAAATCGAGATTACGAGATTTGAGATCTCTGATTCTCCTCCCCTCATCCAAAGGAAATTGAGATGACGAGATTCGAGATCTCTGATTCTCCTCCTCTCATCCAAAGGAAATCGAGATGACGAGATTCGAGATCTCTGATTCTCATCCTCACATCCAAAGGAAATTAAGATGACGAGTCTCTCATCCAAAGAAAATTAAGATGACGAGATTCGAAATCTCTGATTCTCCTCCTCTCAACCAAAGGAAATTGAGATGACGAGATTCGAGATTTTTCGTTCTCATCCTCTCATCCAAAGGAAATTGAGATGACGTGATTCGAGATCTCTGATTCTCCTCCTCTCATCCAAACGAAATTAAGATGACGAGATTCACATTGTCGTCCCAAATGAGGCGATAGATTTTGCTTGGTCATGAAAAAAAACTTAACCTGGATCTTCCTAAAAACTTTTTAGTTTCATATATCATATCTTGTTTCAGGAGGTTCCGAAATAAAAGAGTACTTTAAACATTAGATTACTTACTATACAATATCTTCCATTTTCTTCGTGTGAGAAAAAAAACTATTCATTGGTAACTTGCTTCTATTAATCAAAATATGAATCAATTTATTTCTAACACGATTGTGAAGACTTTCGAGAAAAAAATCAACCTAAGGCAATTGCAAGAGGTTCGTGCGTCACCTAACGAATTGGGCAGGCATGACGATGACAAATTACAGTCATAATCAGAACATGATTTCTAAAGGCAATTCAATGTGAAATTGAATTTCTCGAAAGTGGTTGAGATCGTATTTTCTAGTTTTAAGCAGTGGCGGATACAGGGGGGGGGGGGCCGGGGGGCCCGGCCCCCCCCCCCCCTTGAGAAAAAAATCATGCAAAATCACACGATTTTTACCTTTTTGGGGGGTTGGGCCCCCCCCCCCTGGCGCTCAAGGGGGGGGGGGGTGCAAATTTTAAAATTTTCGAGGACCCCCCCCCAAAAAAAAAAAAAATGTGCTCACTACCCCCCCCCCCCCGCTTACCCGGGAGCAAAAAAAAAAAAAAAGGTGGGCCCCCTCCACTAAGAAATCCTGGATCCGCGCCTGGTTTTAAGGGTCTCTCCATGATGGCTGGATGGTTTATAAGTTATCTGCATATTGAAACATTTGGATCATACATAGTATATGAGAAGAATGTGAGAATATTGAAAAACTAATCAAATCCTGTACCTGACATAAAACCACCGACGATTGCTCCCAATCCAGCCATCAGACCCTGAATTCCTGCATATAGTGTAAAGTTTTTATCAGAAGCAGCATACTTGGGGTAGGCAGACGTTGAAACTTGACACGAGAAGAGACACCACCCCTGGATAAAAGCTACCACACACATCTCTGGAAAGGTTGTAATGAGCGGGTCCATCAGAAATGTGATTGCTGATATCATGTTGAATATGAAGGAGAGGAAGATGGCATTGGCGCCAAAGTAAATAAACGCTATGTAGACTAATCGTCCAATGATTCCCCCTGCACCAGCTAAAGTCGACAACAAAACTGCGTCGGAGCTAGGGATACCATGCCATTCAGCTCTCGACACCAAGAAGAGAACCCAGGAATCAAATCCAAAATGAGTAAAGAAAATGGAAGCAAATGAAATGGTCATCAGAGGTTCTTGTATAAAAATGCAGCTTTGAACCAACTTCTTGAATTTCTGTTTTATTGTATCGTCATGACGTTCAAGAAAAACTGCCGGTCTATTTTGTTGATTGTCTTCTGTGATCATATGATTAGAGTTAGTAGGTTGTCGTGTCTTCCTGAGGTGACGTTTCGAAGACCGTTCTTCATCTAGAATCAAAGCCTTTGCCTCTCTTTCCGGATTAGAGCTTCTCATCGGGGTTTTTGGAGGATTCCTCAGAGCGACACTTGCCGGAATGGCATGTAAACTGATACCACCCAAAATAAGCATAGCTCCAACATAGCCATATGCTTCAAGCGACCTCTCCACGATATATGGTGTAATGAGCGCACCCGCTGTGTTGCCCATATTTGCGATTGAAGCTACCAGAACGTAACTACCTTTAAAATATTCATTGAGCATAATTTTTGATGACAGATATCCCATGGACAGCCCAGTACCTGCATGAAGAAAAGAAGGCGACATTTCGTTAGTTGTCGAGCATTTAGAAGAATTCATATTATCAATTCTTTTCAATCTGTCTTTTCAATTTGAAGCACATCAAAAATGTATAAGGAAGCTGGTTAAAATATATAAATGATTGTCACTCTTAACATGACCACGCGTCGTTTGGATTAAATAGTATATAGTTAGATGATGATGATGATGATGATGATGATGATGTTGTTGATAATAATAATAGCATGATGACAAATTATTAAACCAAAAGTCACCGTATTAAAAGTATGTTCTTCTTCACCCATTTCATTACATTTTCACATCAATTTGTATTATTTTTTCCTCTCCTTTTATCTTCTAGTCAAAATTTCAAGGAAGAAAGAAGCTTGTGCACAATACGTGGACCATCTCCACCTTCTTCAAGGTTCACCTGCATTGGAATCATTTATCGCAGTTATTTTACTGTTTTTAGTATATTAAGGTTAGTTTTAATAAACGATTATCATTAGGTTAAATAGACATTTACAATATCATTTTAAAACAAAATAGTACAAACTAAAATAAAAATCCTTCATTTTTCAAACTAATTTCGCGATCGAGTCAGTCTTTGCAACCAGAGGACCGACGAATTTAAGTCCTCTCCGAGGGACTTAGTAATGAGGATATAATGTCTTACCAAAGGGCACTAGCGCATCGAATTGGTCTCGAACCCGGGATCTCCATATTACGAGACCACTGCTCTACCACTGACTCATCGCTCCTTCTCTATGCCACACTCGTGATGATAGCCTTTACACAAGGCCACATGTCTGATAGACGCCGAGTGACTTATCATGAAAACCTGAGTGAACGCCAGACTGAGCAGCGCATCCAAGTAGCCTTTAGCAATCCAGGTTGGATTTCTTATGTTAACCTTTGTTTCCGACTGGAATTCTCTACCGAAATGGTAGCGTCCAATCAACGAACGTACCTCGCATTACGTCAGCATATGATTTTTTTGATTTTTTTTTTAAATAGTTTTTTTTTTATTGATTCCAAACAATACAAATTAATTTTTAGAAATACATTTTTTTTCCTTGACATAATTCAAAACATTTACATTACATACATTGTACAATTGATGAAAACAAAAGTAAAATGAAATCAGTTGTATCATAAAACAAATAACCCCATCCAACCAAACACACTACTACTACTACTACTACCCCCCCCCCCCCCTCCCCATCATGCGACACACACTCCACCCGACCACACTTCCACCACACACTGTTCCTAGCCCCCTCAGAATACCCCAAATTGGAGCGACAGACAAAACCGAAACAATCTATTTAAAACATTTAAAACAAAATCATTTAAACGAGGCTACAATAGTCCAGTGTAAAAAGTTCATGAAAACGTTACTTGTTCCCACTTCTGTAAATGTAAGGCCAATTTACCTGCCCTCCCTGCAATATTCTTTTCTTCTTCCCTAAATTCTATCAGTTCTTTTTGAAACTCCCCCAAAGACAATATTACGGACTTTCCCCTGCATCTATATATCCAATATTTCAATGCAAAAATAATAGTACATACATATAGTATCCATCACACATACAAACATGGATCTGCTATGAACTGACGTTCGGGCTAAGACCACTGACCACTGATATGGAACGAAACCGATACTGGTTCATTTTATATACAGTGAAAGTCCAATTATCTCACTTATGATTGTTAGCATAAGTCATCAAATGCTTCCTATTTCATTGTAATTTTGCATGTAAAATAAATTTGAATGTGATATTTTGTATATATCAATTATATGTTCATCTCATAAGCAAAACGTATTTACGTCTTTTACCTTTTCTTACATGTTTTGATAATGAACGAATCACGAACGAAGCCAACTGGGGGTGGCCGTTCTAATTGGTCAATAAAATCCAAAGCTATGAATAATTCATGCGGAGCAGTAATATCTAGATTGCAAAAGGCTCTCGCGGCTACGCCACTCGATCGCGCGTTCACCATTATTGGATCTCTAGATTCATCTCAGCCATTGATTTGGGTGGAAAATAGCCAGAGTCACGAGGCCTTGTCAAAAGCTATCACAATTCACGCTTAGAGGAATTCAAATCGATGCCACTACTACCCCTCCTACTGAAAACTGTTATCATTCAGATTCATATGTATTCATATATAGCTTACCTCAATTGATTAAAACACCATACTTACAAGAAAGAGAAAACTTTAGGACCTACCTGTTATTGTAAGGCTTATCACAAGAGCTGGTACAGACATACTCAATCCAGCAGTACAAAGGCACGCTGATGATAAGATCGCGCCAATTAGAGCACACGTCCGAGGCGTTGCCACGCCTTTGTTCAATGCATAAGCTACAGCAGGGCCTATGAACGATAACAATGTTAGGTGTAAGAAATAGGGTAGCAAAGATTAAAGTGGTCCATAGTGTTGATAATGGTTAAAGTTGTGCTGAAAATAAATTGACTTCTTCTTTTTATACAGTTTCATAGACTGATCGATGGGTCCAAATGCCTCTATTCGATGATTTTTATCCTTTCATTATTTTTATCCCAAGCTAGTTTTAGGTGAAAGTGTTCACGGGATCCCCGAGATCAAGTTTCCGGGAAAAACGAAAAATGCCGGCCTCCCTTTTCTGACAATCCAGGATCCACCTGTGCTAGAAAACATTCAAAATTCGAAAAAAAATGATAATAAATAGATATTTTTTTTATAGATCCTACTGGTCCAGTAGAGATACCCGCATCTCTTTCTTCTTGCCCATTTGTGTGACAATTTCAACAGATTTGTATTAATCCTTTTGGCTTAAATTACTTTTTAGATCGTATATAGACTAAATAAAAGTTGGCAACAGAACCTCGTGGCATAATTTCGAAAATTATCTTTTTAGATAACCTTTTGCCTTTTTCCTCTGCGGAGGAATATGTGTGTAATATATTTGTTACCCTTGTGACTGTGCCAAACACTGTGGATTTCTTTTATGGTAATCATCATTTGTAAATGTTAGCTTAACCAATATTATCATTTGGGGCACCTAAAGGTAGCCCAGGAGCCCTAAAGCTATTCATCACGGCCCAACAGGAAATGCGTTAAAAATCATTTATTTTACTGACTAGAATATTAAAACATATTATAATGTGGTGAACCCATCAATAATCATCCTTGATAATAAATTATACACCATGGGCACCTACAACTTCAATCACTATGCTTGAAGTCAATTTTCTTCATTAAATCGTAAATTTGGGCCCACCGAAGGACTCACTGTCACTTGCTTGAATAAGGAAGTGATTATTAACAATATTGTATGTTGATCTCATTAAAGGTAATACAAAGTTTTGGGAAATTATGAAAATTGGGTGGATAGTGATTCTTTACAATTTTGATATATTTGGATGCCCCTGTGGATGCATTAAAAGCACTAGAAAATTTGGCCCCTAAAACACTTCTGTTTTCCAGAAAAACTAAATACAAACGTTATCCAGTCTGATGAATGTAAAGTTAAGCTATTTGCAGATGATACCAAGCTGTACTCTTCAATTGCTAACATCGACGATGGTAAGACTCTTCAATCAGAACTAAACAACCTTCTTGTATGGTCTACAACATGGCAACTCCCTTTCAACATTGAGAAATGCAAAGTCATCCACTATGGAAGAAGTAATCCCTTGTGTGACTACACGATGAATGATGTTAACAAGCCATAACCTGCAGTTCATCATGAAAAGGATCTGGGAGTAATATTCGAAGATAAAATGTCCTTTTCAAATCACATTGACACTGCTTGCAATGTTGCAAACAGGAAATTAGGAATCATCAAGCGTACTTTTTCAACTATGGACAACAAGGGACTCACACAGTTATACAAGTCAATTGTGAGACCGGCACTAGAATATTGCTCTCCCGTGTGGCACCCTTATAAGAAGATACATATTCTCAAAGTGGAAAAAGTTCAACGTCGTGCAACTAAACTCCTACAATTCTTTCAAATCAAATCTTGACAAGTACTGGTCACTGAAGAAGGACAAGTTTAATCCTGATGAACTATTCAACTGTCCATGTTCATCGTAACTGCACAACGCCAAATTCAACAGTACCCATTAACGGACACCGAGGGGCAAATAAGTTTTGTATAACTTTATGCCTACTTCCAAGGTATGATTTCCAAGGTATGAAAAATTTACCGGTGTTCCCGGTAAAGTTTGATATATTTTATATAGCGCCTATACGGCCGTACAATGGTAGCTTTGACCATGAAATTATCAGAATATGTAGTTGTGATATATATTTTCCTAACTGGAATAGCTAATCGGACGATTTTAGTCAAGACCCATTGTTTTATAGCTTAATTAATATCTTAACCTTGAGAGGAAGCTATATAACATAAAGAGTTTATTATTAACAATTTCATAACTGTAGACTCGATTTCAACCGCGAAAACGATCACTGATTATTGTAGGATCGCATATGCTTCCAATATGTACATTTGAACCAGATTCATGACCCCAAACATTTGGTTTACCTTTAACAAAGAAATGCGTTAAAACCACATACCTTCGAAATTCCAGCTTTCAAGGATAAATTTTGAATGCTTAAGTCACATGCTTAAAAACACATCTGTGGAGAATGCGACAGGCTTTGTAAAGCAGTCCCATGCGTGACCTTTTTATTAACTCCCACACAACCATGAGGCGAAAGAGGCAAGGAATTTGTGTTCAATGTTAACTAACGGAGATCACAATTTTCGCTTTGAGGACAAATTTCAAATGTTGAATCACTATATCTCTGGTGAATGAGTACTACATGCCTCAATACACATTCGTGCAACCGTCTCGTATCGAGAACATAAATATAGTGCGTCCCAGAAAAAACAAAACCGAGAATTGTCGATG